CTTTCTCTTTGCTGATATACAGCCAAGTACGCATTCCTGTGTGACTTCAGTCTATACTTTCGGGTTTCTTCCCACCACAGGCTTTTAAAATAGCGGCCGCGTGAAATCAGTCCATACTCTAACCACTGATATTGCCCACAATAGATTGTATGTTGGACATGAATTTGATTAGAACTACAAAAGCAGTGTAGTTAAAAATGTAAATAAACTACAAACATGGTGGATGCGCAAGACCAGTTGCAAGTAAAGAGGCTTTGGTAAAGATGTTTGAATGACTGTTAGTCAATATCTATGTTATATTTCATCTGCAACAACAAAGTGAACGTATATCAAGATATGTTTGGACATTAATTTCTGAATGCATAATTATCCAAAGACCTGAGGAGATTTCTCTGCATGAAAGACTCATGAATTAGCAGATTATCCTGTTTCTGCTTCTCCGATAAGGTAGAAAATTAAATATAAAAGAAATGTTCGATTGACAGCTCATAATTAAGGAACATTATGATCTGTTAACGAGGAATTAGAATGTCCCCAAAAGGCTTGCATACTCCGCTATACACACATTTAAAAGTACATACTTTTAGGGTGTAGTACAAGTATGTGAATTGGGACGCAGCAATGGTATTTCCTCTCATTGGTGGCAGTGTTCTGTCAATGACCGGCTCAGCTGTGACCGCTATTATTTTCCAAGCATCTTGACTTTATCTTCCCTTTTTTTTCTGACAAAGTTCAAACTGAGTTATGGCATCTCATGAACCGTACAAGCACTGCCATTTTTTTACTGGAACACGTGACACACACACAGGACAAGTCCCTCAGCTCAAGCAAAAGTGTTTTGTGAGTTGATTTGTTCAGTTTTTGTTTGTTCTTCATTTGACCAGAATCAAAGCTCTGGTCTGAGTTCAGTGGAAACAGTGTTTGGTCTGCTGACTGGCTTTCCTCATTGGTCCGTGAAACCGTTTTTGTCCATTTTCTTGAATGCAGTCTTCCACTTTTTTTAGTTGACAGAAACGAAGAGATGAACTCTATTTTTAAAAACTGTGACGTCTTCAATCTTGCTCTAGAGCAGCTTATTGTTCCTGTTTTATTAATCGAATGGGCTTCTCACACTTAACTCTAAACTCTGTATAAAAAACCCTATGCTTTAATTAGACCTCACATTGTAAATCATTTCCCCTCGGTTGTAAGGTTTAATCATCGCAGATTTTAAAAAACGTTCTTGCATACTTAAAATGAACACCATAAATCAGACAAGTACAGCACACAACCATCTAAAATGACAGTCTAAAATGATTTGTCTTAAACATTAAAAAAATATGACACACTTTATCTTTAAATAGTTCTCTCTGCTTTCAACACTCTACATCTATTATTTTTGGATGCAGCATTAATGTATTATTGGGTTTAATAATTATAGGGCCCTAAAAAGGTTTATTTAGCCAATTCTGTATTCATTTTTTTTCTGGAGTCTGCTTTAATTAACAGATTAAGTCTAATTAATTAAAATTATGAAACTTTTAACCAATTCAAATACGAACATGCAGAATTCTTTTGTAAAAAGTTTTATTTATATTTACAGATACTACCTGACAAAAGTCACGTCATCGATCCCAGTTGGAAGAGCAACAAATAATAACTTGACTTCTAGTTAAATCATTTGAAAAGGTGGCAGAAGGTTGATTTTTCAGAAGAATCATCTCTTGAACTGCATCCCAATCATCACAAATACTGCAGAACACCTATTGGGACCTACTTGGACCTAAGATTCTGACAGAAATCAGTCAAGATCCGCAGAGTGGATGGCAACATCAGCAGTTGGAGGTAGCAAGACATTTGTGCTGCCCATTACATTACAAACCACAGGAGAGGGCAGATACTTCAGCAGGATAGCGCTCTTTCTCATACTTCAGCCTTCACATCAATGTTCCATGAAGGTCAAAGTGCTCCAGGATTGGCCTGCTCAGTCACCAGATTTGAACATTATTAGGCATGTCTGGTGTAAGATGGAGGAGGCATTGAAGATGAATTTAAAGAATCTTGATGAACTCTGGGAGTTCTGCAATGCTTTCTTTGCCATTCCAGATGACTTTATTAATCAGTGATTTGAGTCATTGCTGAGATGTATGGATGCAGTCCTCCAAGCTCATGGGAGTCATGCACAATATTCATTCGTTTTCCACTGCACCATGACTTTATATTCTATACTGTACATTATTTCTGTTACTTGACAAAGTTTTGTCTAAGCAAAGTCAGACCTTACTGTTTTAATGAAATCATTAAAAATCAAGGCATGATCATATTTTATTTTGGCAAAATAAGCGTAATCTAGAGGCCTTTGGCTTTCCTATAAACCACTTCTGATACCAAATGATCAACTAGAAGTCAAGTTATTGTTTGTTGTTTCTAAAACTTGGATAGCCAAGAAGACTTTTGACAGGTAGTGTAGTCTTTATCGTGACTTTGGGTGTTTACTCATGCATTTTATTCATTTTTCTATCCAAAATCGGACAAACTTCATGGGTTCTGCAATTTTCTGCATCATGGATATTTGTTTAAATTTTTCTTTTCATTCAAAATTTGAATCCATTTGGTGGTTAGACCCTCATACATAGCTTAACCAATGGTGTAAGTTTGGGGCAAGGCCATTTGTTTTCGACCAATAGCATGAAAGGGAATTGTTTAGGATGTCTGCATGAAAACTAAATATTTTAGCCGTTTTGCTTTGAAAAATACTATAGAAATGATACAAAAATCTAAATAATACTGTCTTAATTTCTATTTAACGCTCACTATCACTGTTAAAACATGATTGTTTCTACTAAACTATCTTCCAGCAGCCATATGAAGTGCATGGCTGCGTCTGAAATCACAGTATATATAATAATACAAGCAATCCGAGTAGTATATCCAAAAATTCATAGTATTTAAAAAACAGTAGGTGAGAAGTACCTGGATGACCTACGACTGTACTTCCACTGAGATTTTAAAATGCGCAACCAGTTGAAGCCATGCATTCAAACATATTTTCTCTTTTGTTTTCTCATAATCGAAACTTAATTTACTTGTGATCTCGAAATAACTTGTTTCATCGTGAACTCGACATAAAAAGATGTTTTTTCTTCATCACAAAATAATTTTCTTGCTATCGCAAAATAACATAAGATGTTTTTTCTGCTTATTGTAGGATGTTAGACACGCATATCGCATTGCAGCTTACACTTACCACAGTATTTGTCAATAACTTGCTGAAAGGACGCATTAAAGCAAAGTTAAATGAAACGAAGCAAAAACATTCTCCATAATTAATTCACACATTCAACAAATTATTTTATGCCATCTAGAATACAATACAGCATGCCTTGTGTACCTTTCTGTTTTTAAATATTCGACACAATTTTCAAATAACATTCATTCATTCATTTTCCTTTGGCTTAGTCCCTTTATTCTTCAGGGGTTACCACAGTAGAATGAACTGCCAATTTTATCAACCATATGTTTTACACAGCGCATGCCCTTCCAGCTGCAACCCAATACTGGGAAACACCCTCACATTCACACACATACACTACACACAAATTAGTTTATTCAATTCACCTACAGCGCTTGCTTTGGACTGTGGGTGGAACTGGAACACCTGGAGGAAACCAACACGGGGAGAACATGCAAACTCCACACAGAAATGCCAACTGGCCCAGCTGGGACTCAAAACAGCTACCTTCTTGTTATAAGGTGGCAGTTCTACCCCTTGAGCCACCGTGCTGTCCAGGTATAAATATTAATAATAATTAAATAAATAAAAGCCAAAAATATCGTCATAGTTTAAGCTCGTGAAATTTTGTCGTACGGTGCTGCGAAAAGGAGCGGGATTAAACAAGATGATTAGACATTAAAAAAAGCGAGCGATTGATCTATATTTAAAATTTCTGTCCAGAGAGGTTATGTTTTGATCCTCGATTGGTCTCACGCAGTTAAGGGATGCGATTTCGCAGGTCAGAGTTCTCCAAGCTTGAACATTCCAATGAAGCGCTCTCCGAAACTTGATGCACGAGCTTGCGTTTCCGGTCTGATGCATTCGCGTGCATATGATTGAAAGTCTATAGGAAGAAAAGTTGTGCTACCACAGCTTTAGTTTGTGAAACTTCACGTCAAGATTACGGAAAAACAACTTTTTGTTATGTCAAGATAACGAGAAAATAAAAGTCAGGATCATGAGAAAATAATATTCAAATGCATGGCCTCTTAAGACTTCTGTAATGATACCAAGTGAGAGAATTCATGAATGTAAGTTAGTAAAAAAAACGCAACTAAAGTAGGTAAGGTCACAGGGCTGCACAATATATTGTTTCAGCATTGTTATTGCAATGTGATCATTCGCAATAGTCACATCGCGAGTTTACGCAATGTTGAGTCTGAATTGATCATTCCGCAAGTATTTATTGAGCCCTGTGATTGTGTGAGGGTTTTAAAGCATTCAGGCATAACTTTGAAAAATTAAGAACAATTTTATTGAATTATTAATAATATGAAGACTATGCAGTATTATTTTACATTTGATTGTTCATTTACTGTGTACCTGAATACAGTTTGACTCCTTAAAAAACAATAAAATGTTGTTTAATTAATTAGTATATTTTCCTTTATTAAATTTCTCTACACTTATAGATTTAGTTTATTATATTTTAATGCACACCTAAACAGAACCGTCCCAATCAGTCTAAAACGGTCAATTCTTTTCAAATATTTATTCTACTCATCTCATGAGATTCTATTGATATCGTAATATATAATCGCAGAATAAAACAATATCGCATTGTTAAGATTTTTCAAATATTCTGCTGCCCTGGTAGGTCATGTGATCAGGACAAATAGCGGATATAGTACACTCGAATTCCATTCATATTACTTGAATTTATACTACAAACAACATACTATGTTTAATGCATGTGTATGAAATTCAAATTCAAATGTAAGTTGTAGGCGATTTCAGACGCAGCCAATGAATATCCGAATGATTTAATTTAGGTTTGTTTGGTTGTTGAACTGCACACCTTCTAGTTCTGCATTGATTCACACTATATATCTCCAGCACTGCAATATACAGCGCCAAACCCTGTTCCATAATTCCTCCAATGTACAAGTGTGAAAAGCCCTAGAGATATGCTCTCAAACGCCGTTCAAACACACAGACACACATCACATTCATTTCTTGTGCCCAATTCAAATATGACTAAACTAAAACAAAAACAAAAAACTAGAGTCCATATTCGGCCTTCCACTGGTCTGAGAGTGCATTGGTTCCTCTGTGTAGATTGAGTGTGTGTGGTTAAAGTCTCATGAAATAGCCCTGACATGTTGAGCTGCCCTTGATTTGAGGCATTCAGAGTCCACACACACACACCTACACACTTTCCTCACAGCCTGGCGCTCACAAACCTGAACCAGGAAAGAGTTTAGGATTGAAAAAGCGAGAGCCAGGAGTGACGTGCACGCTGTAGTGTTCTCAGACCAGCGAGGCCTCGGCTAGTCATAACTCTGTGATCTCTAACGGACTTTCAGACAGGGTGTCGCTGCCTTTGTTTCTGTGTAACGGTGTTGATTTGGCGGACTCTGTTCGGGCGTTGCGTTCGGCGTACAGGCCGCCGTCTGCATGCAAGGCTTCGAGGGAACGAGCCAGAGCCCGCTGGTCATCTTCGGGCAGGCTGTTGAGGTCAGAGGTTAACAGTGTGCCCGTGCTGCCGTGCACCGCGTGTACCCCATCAGGACCCCTGAGCTCGATCGGGAGCTTGTGCTTGAAGCGAAGGGTTCCCCGACCGCCGATGCGCTCTTCATCATCCTCATCCAGGTCACTCTGAATCAGCTGAGAGTGGAGAACATGGATGGATGAATAATGTAATGATGAACGCATGCATTAAAGTTAGAATAGAATTGAAGATGATGCAGGATAGGAGGGTTTTTTGGTGGACGGAAATATGAGTGAGTGAAATAACAGATTGATTTCATGATTATTGGATGGAAGGAGAGATAGACACAATGGTGAATGGGTGAATATGAATGGATATATGGTATAATTGGTTAGCGAATTGGTTAATTAATGGATGGTTGAATGCATTTATGGATTGGTAGATACAAGTATGATGGGGAATAGAAGGAAAGAGTGATGAACATGCATTAAAGTTAGAGTAAAATAGAAGATGGTGCAATCATAGGTGGATAGGATGTTGTTTGTTGGATGACGGAAATATGGGTGAGTGAAATAATAGATTGGTGGATGGAAGGAGAGACGGACACAATGATGAATAGGTGGATATGAAAGGATATATGGTATAAATGATGATTGATTAGTGAGTTGGTTAATTAATGGATGATTGAATGTATTTATGGATTGAAAGATCAATGCAGAATGGGTGGATGAAAGGAAAGAGTGATGAACGCATGCATTAAAGTTAGAATACATTTGAAGATGAATGCCATCATAGGTGGATAGGATGGTTTTTTGGTTGATAGAAAAATGAGTGAGTGAAATAATAGATTGGTTTGTGCATTGATTGGTGGGTAGAAGGAGAGATGGACACAATGATGAATACGAATGGATATATGGTATAAATGGACATTGATTAGTGAGTTGGTTAATTGATGGGATGATTGAATAAGTTTATGGATTGATAGATCAATGCATAATGGGTGCATGAAAGGAAAGAATGATAAACACATGTATTAAAGTTAGAACAGAATTGAAGATGATGCAATCATAGGTGATTAGGATGTTTTTTGGTTGATGGAAATATGAGTGAGTGAAATAATAGATTGGTGTATTGATTGGTGGATGGAAGGAGAGATGGACATGATGAATGGGTGGATATGAATGGATATATGGTATAAATAAACATTGATTAGTGAGTTGGTTATTTGATGGATGATTGAATGAGTTTATGGATTGATAGATCAATGCATAATGGGTGGATGAAAGGAAAGAGTGATGAACACATGCATTAAAGTTAGAACAGAATTGAAGATGATGCAATCATAAGTGATTAGGATGTTTTTTGGTTGGTGGAAATATGAGTGAGTGAAAAAATAGATTGATTTCATGATTATTGGATGAAAGGAGAGATGGACACAATGATGAATGGGTGGATATGAATGGATATATGGTATAAATGGACATTGATTAGTGAGTTGGTTAATTAATGGATGGTTGAATGCATTTATGAATTGGTAGATACAAGTATAATAGGTGGATAGAAGGAAAGAGTGATGAACGCACACACGTTAGAACAGAATTGAAGATGATGCAATCATAGGTGGTTAGGATGGTTTTTTGGTTGATGGAAATGTGAGCAAGTATAATATTAAATTGGTTTCATGATTGGTGGATAGAAGAAGAGATGGACAAAATGAGGAATGGGTGAATATGAATGGATATATGGTATAAATGGACATTGGTTAGCGAGTTGGTTCATAAATGGATGATTGAATGAGGTTATGGATTGGTAGATCAGTGCATAATAGTTGGATAGATGGATGAATGAATGATTGAATGAATGTAATGATGAATGCATGCATTAAATTTAGAACAGAGGACAGATGCAATCATAGGTAGGTAGAATGTTTTTTCACAAGTTGGTTAATTAATGGATGATTGAATGAATTTATGGATTGCATGGGTGGATAGAAGGAATGAGTGATGAATGCATTAATGTTAAGATAGAAATTTGGACATATGAAATCATAGATTGATGCATGGAGTTACAAGTTGGAACATATATAGATGGATAAATGGATGCATTATGGGTCAATTAAAGGATTGATGGAGGCACAGTAGGTGGACAGAAGGAATGGATGGATTAAGTGATGAATTAATGCATAGTCCGATGGAATTAAAGACGTGATCACAGATGGATACAGTGAATTGTGGATTGACAGATTAATGAATGCAAGAGGGGATGACAGAAGGAAAGAAAAATGAATGGATTAATGCATTATGCATGAAAAGGAGGAATAGCGGGTACAGGTATAGATGGATATACAGCGTTTGAATTGAATTATAAATAGTTGTAATCATAGATTACGCATTGACATGCATGGATAGATAAAGGGATGTGTTTGGGGAGCACAGAAGGAAAGAAAGATAGAATAACAGATGACAGTATGGATACAATAAATGGATGCACAGGTAGATGGAATGATGAATGAATGCAAGATTGCAGAGAGAGAAAAGGAGGAAAAATAAAGATCAGAAACACAAAAACTCACATATTTACAACAGTTTAGAAAATGGAAGCAAGACATCTGTGAAGTAGTGAAGAGCTGTGAAACTTCAGCAGAGTCACATGACTCTTGAGAACCCAGGCTTTCTACTAATAGGACAGTGAAGTGCAGTGCAGTCAGCCAGCAGTGAGGAACAGGAGTGTAGAGGAAGAGTAAACACAGCACTCCGGTACATCGCCCACCTCTGTGACTGATGAGCGGTCACCCTGGCTGGTTGACTTGGTGACCAGGCGAGCGGCAAACAGCTTTTTGAGTCTCAGGTAGTCATCCAAAACCACATTGAGCAGCGAGCCCTGATTGGATGGCAGCATTGGTCAAGTGGCACCTTATGAACTGAATCGCTTAACATGAATTCTTAATCTCACAAAGAAACATGACCTTACTGTATAGTCTTATACTACTAAAACAAGTCTAGCTTTGGATAAAATAACAAACGTAAAAAGGTTATTCACACTTTGAGTCTAAAATGCACTCAAAATTGTTTTTTTTCTTCTTTTTTTTTAAGAAGAAGCATATTCTGTGCCATGATGGTGTGAAATAATAGCTGTCATGCCAACTTGTTACTGTAAACGGAAGCTTGCTATTCTTGTTTGTAGCATGGAAAGATGCATTTTGTGTGAATGGCCCCTAATGGCTGATCTGAAAATACAACTGAAATAAGTTTGTTGTGTCGGCTGGATGTAAATTTGTAAAGCTTGATATTTTTTGCTTGTTTGTATAGACTGATTATACACGCTCGCCATTTGTAAAAGCAAAATCGAGGCTGCGGTGGGATGAAACCCGGAAGTATCGTTGGGAGTTACATATAAACATTGTGTTCTTGTCTGTATATCTTATTAGCAAAGAGAAAGTGACACAAATTTATAATTTCACCGCCTTCCGAGTGACCCGAAGGTCCGTTCTGATTTAATGGAGAAGATAAAAAGGGATATCAGAGCTCATTTTCAGCTAAGTTAAGGGAAATGGCACTAGTTAGCTAAAGTTTTCTTTTCCAAACACACGTTTTAGATGCCATTTATCAAACTTGAGTTAATGAACTGATTATTTCACTATATTAGACTTGTCATGATACTAAATTAAAAGAAAAACTGTCAATTTCCAGCTAACATTTAAGCATTGTTGATGGCTTTCTTAAAACAGCGCTGATTTGCCATTGTGTTCACGTGCTCAACATAAATGCTTGTGATTGGCCGAGAAGGTCATCAGTTCACCCATCGCTGTTTACAGAGCACAAACACAGACGAGCGATTTGCTGGATGACTCGACTGATCTTGATGGCTGCTTCGTGCTCCAGTCTCCGTGTATCTGTGTTTGCACTGGGTGAAGAGCGGTAAACTGAGTGCAAACACAGATACAAGGACACTGGAGCACGAAGCAGCCGTGAAGATCAGTCGAGTCATCTGCATTTAGCGACGCTTCAATGTTAAGCAACGAGAGCGTGCTACAGAGGACTGTTTTATCGCTTACCGGGCTAACTTACATAGGCTGAAGCAGGAAAGCGTCCCCATGGTGTTTAACTGGTGCCATGAACTGAAGCCTTGGAGGACACTTAAACGTATTACTCTTACAGATGTTGTTTGATGCTAAATTCCTTTTAATTGTTTAAATTAAACTTACTGAATGATATTAAAGTGATGTTTACACTATATCTGCACTTTGAATTTGTGGCAACAGCTGGAGGTTTGTAGTACACAGCATGTTACTGCAATGTTTACAGTGCTGGTTCTATACCTCCAGGTTTCTTCCCACCGCAGCCTCACTTTGGTTCTTTAAAATGGCGGCCGCATGAAATAAGCGTATTGGTTGCTATCAGAAAACGAATTTGGTTTGTTTGTTTGTTTTTGAGTTAAAGGTATCATTCACCCAAAATTTTACTCATTATTCACTTTCCCTCAAGTGGATGCAAACAGCCATGACTTTCTTTAGTCTGTTAAAAAGAGGATATTTTGAAGAAAGCTGAACACCTGTAACCATTGATCTCCATAGTAGAAAAAAAAAACAAATACTATGGAAGTTAATGTTTCCAGGTTTCCAGTTTAAAAAAAAATATCTTCTTTTGTGTTTAAAAGAATAAAGAAACTCAAACAGGATTAGAACAAGTGAAGTAATGACAGTAAATTAAAATAAAGATTTCTGGGTGAACTATCCTTTTAAGGCTGGAAACATTTTAGCCCAGGTTTACAAAAAGGCACATAATACAAAAATCTATTTTCCCGCTATAGACAACAATTCTCTCCAGTGTAGAGGAATGATGTCATGCTCAGTAGATAAAATGGTTTCTCTAAACCCATTTACAATGCTGGTAAGTGAATAATGAAGAATGTTTTTCAAAGTCCAGCCAGTAGATGTCAGATCTGCAGTGAATGTTCTCACCTTAATGGGCCCTTCTCTCATGATTTGCCCTAGTTTGGCAATGTTGTCATACTCCTGAATAGCAGCTCGTAGATATCGGTCATCCTCTGGTTTAGTGGCCTGAGGCTCCCGTCCAAATGTACCCTTTAGAAGTAAAGATATATGTTTAGTACCCTATAAAGCGAAAACTTTAGCTATCTACAAATGCATAAAAAGAGAAGATCACATTTTTTACAATCATAATTTTTTGTGCTGGACTGTCAGTGGAGAAATCAAAGCCTGGATCTGGATCAGGGTAAAAATCTAATATATTATCATTTTCTAATATATTATAGTTTTAAAATTTCAAGTTAGAATTGTATAAAATATTTATAAACACTCAAAATAAACTACAGACTTATTTTAGTTCGCAGGAAATTTTAATGTGACCTTCACATAATTTTCAATTTTTTTTAGATAAAAGTATTTAAATAATTATTTGTGTATGGGTCGTAATAAATACACAGACTAAATTTTAATGCCTTTTAAATATTTTATTTACTATTTTAATATTAGGTACACCTTACTAGTACTGTACACCCTTTTGCCTTCAGAACTACCTTAATCCTTTATGGCATAGATTCAGCAAGGTACTAGAAATATTCCTCAGGGATTTTGGTCCATATTGACATGATAGCATCACACAGTTGCTGCAGATTTATCAGCTGCACATCCATGATGCAAATCTCTCTTTCCACCACATGCCAAAGGTGCTCTATCGGATTGAGCTCTGGTGACTGTAGAGGCCATTTGAGTATCGTAAACTCATTGTCATGTTTAAGAAACCAGTCTGAGATGATTCATGCTTTATGACATGGAGCATTATCCTGCTGGAAATAGCCATCAGAAGATGAGTACACTGTGGTCATAAAGGGATAGAAACGGTCAGCAACAATACTAAGATGGGCTGTGGTGTTGACAAGGTGCTCAATCAGTATTAATCGTCTCAAACTGTGCCAAGAAAATATCCCCCACATTACACCATCACCACCAGTCAGAATGGTTGATACAAGGCAGGATTGATCTATGCTTTCATGTTTTTGATACTACCACCGGAATGTCACAGCAGAAATCAGGACTCATCAGACCAAGCAACGTTTTTCAAATCTTCTATTGTCCAATTTAGCCTGTGTGAGTTGTAGCCTCAGTTTCCTGTTCTTAGCTGACAGGAGTGGCACCTGATGTGGTCTTCTGCTGCTGTGACCATGTCTACATGCCTACATGCATTGAGTTGCTGCCATGTGAATGGCTAATTAGAATTTTCCATTAACAAGCAGTTGGACTGGTGTACCTAATAAAGTGGCCAGCAAGTGCAAAGTTTATTGTTTTAATTATATATAAAAAAAAAACAGTGAAGAAGTCACTTTAGTAATCTACAAATGCATAAATAGAGAAGATGAAATTTTTCGCAAGCAATATTTTTTTAATTTGGGTTGTCAGTGGAGAAATCGCGGTCTGGATCACGATCAGGGTAAATATTTCAATTAAATAAATGTTATTGTTCCATCAAAAATATTTAAAAACACTCAGAATAAACTATAGACTTATTTTAATTTCCATGACATTTTAATGTGACCTTACACACAAAAACAAAGGCACGCGAACTGTCACTGAGGTGGTACCTTTTCAAATGGTACACATTTGTACTTAAAGGGTAAATATTGGTACTGTACCTCAAAAGTATATATTAGTACCTAAAAATTTTAAGAGGAACACCTTTGTACTTATTAGGTACTAATATGTACCCTTGTGGCATTAATATCTACCTTTTAGGTACAAATTTGTACCTTTTGTGAAGGTGCCAGCCCAGTGACAGCTCGAGTACTCTGAGCGGGTGGTGATCATATTTTTTAATACAATTATTTAAACAAATATTTATGTGTGGGTGTTAATAATAATATACAGAAACAAATGTAATGCCTTTTATATATTTTATTTACTATTTTAATATAAAGTTTATTCTTTAATAAAAAAATTATTTAAATAAAGTGAAGGAGTCACTTTAGGAATCTACATGTTATTTTGAGTGTGTGTATTACATGTGTTCGAGCTGGGCTGTTCCAGAGGTCTGCAATGTCACTCAGGTCTTCAGGAAGGTCGTCCTCGTGCTCCGCCTGGGCTGCTAACTCCAGATTCCTGCAGAAAGGGTCCAGCCACACTGGATTTGCTCTACAAAAGAGAGACAGATCATCATTGTGATACAATTCATTAAACTACATCATTTAGTCCAGGGGTCTCAAACTCAATTCCTGGAGGGTCACAACCCTGCATAGTTTAGTTCCAAACCTACTGCAACACACTTACCTGTAGGCTTCAAACAAGCCTGAAGCCTGTGTTTAATTAGGGTTGGAACTAAACTGCTGAGCAGAGTAGAGCTTGACTGCTGTGATTTAGTCTATTCCAGATAGGCACAATCATTCCGAACATAGTTGGACAGTTTCACCAATGTAAAAATTGTTCAACCTCAAAACACGCAATACATGCGTGTGCCTCATGCAGGTGAGTGGGCTTGACAAACCACCTGTAGAAAACACACTCTTGCTGACAGTTTAACTGTCACTTGCACCAGTTTTGCACCAGACACTTTCTTAAAATCACTCATTATATCTCTTTAAAAAAAAAAAAAACATTGTGCATTTATGAAGTGTGTTTCACACAGATGAATGTGTTTGACAAACCACCTGTAAAAAACACTATTCTCCCTACCCCTTACTCTAGCACTCAATTCTCTGAGCACTAATAGTTCACTTGTATGATAAGCACTTCTTGTGTTTATTGCCTCTACTTGTTAAATCACTGAATGCCTCAAGACACTTTGGACAAAAGTGTCTGCTAAATACCTAAATGTAAAGCCATGTGACCAGTGTCTGGCTCTCTCACCCTTCAAACGTGTACTTGTTAGTGTTGGGCATATCCAGAATATCCATCAAGCCCTGATTTCCTGCAGATAAACAGAGAAAGACCAAACACACTGTTACTGTAACAACACAACACCATGCCAGCTCTTCTTTTAAAGGATTAGAATCTGCTTCCTCCAAACAGCATGATGGGACAGTCCCAGCAACTTACCTGTGGAGCCTGCAACTACTGCCTTCAGCTTCCTTTTATGCCTGTTAAAAATTAAAATGTAAATAAAATGAGATGCTTGCAAACCCCTTAGATCGGGAAGCATTTAACAGGAAGTGAGTCTAATATTTTAAGAAAATCTAATCCTTTATCATTAGAAGTGTTAAAAAGTTTGCACAAAAAAATGAAAATGTATTCCCTCTGAAGTGGATCAAATCCTTTATGAGTTTCTTTGACTGTTGATCACAAAAGAAGATATTTTTGAATAATATAGACTTCCATGTAAGGAAAAAGGCTACTAGTTATTAACATTCTTCAAAATATCTTCTTTTGTGTTCAACAGCTAAAAGAAACTGAGGATAAATTCGGAAAAAGTATAAAGTAATTGTTTTAATATATAAATTTGTCTATAATGGTTCTAAGATTATATAAAATATAATGTCCGAATCTGTTCAAGAGTACTCACACTGTGCGGTAATACCAGTTCATCAGGATAAACAACATGGCAGCAAGAAAGAGTAAAACTGCCAGAATGATGATGGCCATCTGAAACACACAAACACAAGTTTATGCTGTTTACAGGGTTCCCACACTTTCATCAACAGCAGATTTAAGGACTTTTTAAAGCACCATTCATTTAAGTATCAAGCACCCCAGCATATGTAGTGCAATTAAAGTCCTTACTGTACTTAACATTTCACTTACACTTAATATTTAGGTCACGCTTTATTTTGATAGTGGTTTATTTTGGTGGGGTTAGAGTTAGGGTTAGAGTAAGTTGACATGTACTTAGTTTCTTATAGTCAGTTAAATGTCTGTTGAAGGAGCAGAATCAACAGATATTATGCAGAAAGTCTACTATTTAAATGGACCATCAAAATAAAGTGACCAGTTTTTACGTTAAAAATGTCAGAGTAATTTTTAAAATTTTTAAAGTCATCTTTAAAAAACTTTAATAAAATGTGCTGAATTTAATACTGGTAATGTGTAAATGCGATTTCTGAAATATTGCTAAAATATCAGTGTTCTTGCAGTGTGATTTAAATTCAATATTTTTAATTTAAGATTATCAAATTTTGAGTATTGAGCATAAATAAAGGGGAAAAATTATTAAATCAACCAAAAAATTAATAAAAAAAAATAAATGAAAAAATAAATTAATAAAAAATAAAATAAATGAAAATAAACAAAATATTGATAAAAATAAGTAAATGGAGAAAGTAAATAAATGAAATAAATAAATTAATAAAATGAAAAAATAAATTAATAAAAATTAATTAATAAAAACAATTAAATAAAAAGAAAAATAAATTAATAAAAATAAAATAAATAAAAATAAGTGAATAAAAAATATTAAAATAAAAACTAAATAAATATATGAAAAATAAATAAATAGAAAAATAAAAATATTGCTGGTTGTGGTTTTATTTCAAAGCTAAAAACAAATGTAATTTTTTGAATGTATTTGTTTATTTAACAGGAACATTGCTATACAAAGACAGACGATGCAGCGTACTCGGGGCATGTAGCATAAAGCTAATTTAATTTAATTTAATTAAAAAAAAAAAAAAACATGATAATGCCAAAAATATGCACATTTCAAATTTAATTCAACCACTTTCAAAGACTTGTGTTTGTTTTTGAGCACTTTCCAGGCCTTGAATCCCAATGTCTGAAATTTAAGTAATATTAAGTACTTTCAAGAAATGTGGTAACATTTAGAAAAAAAATATTGATATAGACTATTTTGAGGGATGTAAACAAAAACAATGGTGCCAATGCATTTCCTGTTTTAAATTTTTAGCTTTGGAGAATCCAAAAAGAGCCCCATATTGATAAATGATGTTATGATGTTTTAACATTAAGTTATGATTGAATTGCTTCTTGTTACAGTTCTGAAATAGTTTGATAACAAGCAGGAAATGTTTATGGGCCAATAAAATCACCACATTGAAATGGTACTAAAGCACATATAGCACACACGCACCTGTAATGTGGTGAGGTCATCCGGTGCGCGTGCAGTTACAGCAGGCTGGACATCAAGAATGTTGTAGTTTCGAAAAAGATTCCTCAACTGCTCCTTGTTCTCGTCGATCATCTGAATCACTCTGAAAACCAATGATCATTTGAGACTGTGGATAACACTATTCAAACACAACAAATCTCTGTATAAGCAGGGTTCTTTAACTAGGAAAACCTACAAAAGCATCTATTTTTGGGGGGTTTAATAAAGTTTTGATTATTAAATAGAGGCAATAAGAATTGACAAAAAAATGTTTCTTGGGATTTTTGATAATTACAATTGATACTTAGTGTGTTTTTGTGCTAGATTAAGCCAATCGTGGATAAATAACAGGGTTTCTACAGGTTTCATTAAGTCAAATTTAAGACATTTTAAGACCTTTTTAAAACCATTATGAATGAAATTTTAGACTTACACAAGGCTTTAAAGAACTTTAATAAAATGTGTTGCATTTAAACCTGGTAATGTTTGAATGCGGTTTCTAAAATATTGATAAAATATCTGTGTTATTGTAAATATTTGAGTTTAATATTTTTATTTAAGATTTTCTAATTTTTTACATTCAGTTTTTGACAACTGAGTATAAAAAAAATAAAAAATTATATTAATTAAAAAAATTAAAACTAATGAATAAAAAATGTAATTATTAAAAAATTCAACAAATAAAAATAAATAAATGAAAATAAATTAATAAAATAGGTAAATGTAAAAATAAAGTAAATAATGAAAAAAATAAAACATAAAATAAAGAAAAATAAACAAATAAAAAAAGTTATAAAAATTAAACTAAATAAATAAAATAAGTAAATAAAAAATATTATACAAAAAAAAATAAATAAATAAATTTAAAAAAATTAAATGACAACTAATGCCTTTTCTTAATAGTCTTGATCTGAAACAAAGTGTAAAACTAAATCTAAGTGTCACACAAATATTTAAAACAGTCAAAATAAATGATAAATCCATGGTAAAATGTTCCCAACATATTATATTATATTATATTATATTATATTATATTATATTATATTATATTATATTATATTATATTATATTATATTATATTATATTATATTATATTATATAAAAATCTTTAAATTATATTAGAATGAATATTATCAACATTATTATATATAAATACAGTATACGCACATGCATGGAAGTATACGCAACCTTATACAGTTAATGTTTGCAATATAACCCTTACTTCTCCACATCCAGAATACGGTTGGTCTGCTTGTTGACCACATGAATCAGCACATCAGTCTGAGCGAAGTTCACTCTTCCTTTTTTATCCACATGGAACTAAAAGAATAAAACATCCCATTCACTCATTTGCATCACAAGAGAAGTGTTCAATCTTACACACAAGTCAGTTATAATAGTTCTCATGTCAATAATCAATACACACACACACACACACACACACACACACACACACCTGCACATCATCAGTGTTGACTATGGCTCCTGTGATGTTGGACAGCAGGTTTATGAACTCCTCCTGAAAGAGCCGGACTCGCTCTGGGATCTCATTGATGACGATTTTCACCCGCTGGTCGTCTCTCAGAATGTAAATGCTCACCAGAGCTACGTCGCTGTGTCCGGCCAGATCTCTTGCCAAAACCTCCACGATAAAATAACCCGGAGCGTAAGCCATAAAGAGGTCAAACGTGCAGATGATTCCGTCAGTCTCACCTGAAAAAAAAACAAATGATCAGGACATGAAATTCAAATACACTGATCAGCGAGAGAGTAGAACATACAGACCGATGATGAAGACGTTTCCCATTTCTTCAGAGTCATTGGAGTGCAGTTTGATGTAGCGGATGGACAGAATGTGATAGAGAACCAGACTGTTGTTGCCAATGTCATTGTCAATGGCCTGAACCCGGATCAGATCCGATCCCACTTTAGCATCTGCAGCAACACCTGACAGAAAGAGAGACAGTGATTTCCTCTGGGCTTTAAAAAGTATGTAATAATCATAAAAACATATGTTAAAATGTAAAGGATTTCTACAATGAATAAAATAAAAAATAAATAATTTAAATAATACATATGTAAATAAATATGTAAAATGTATAAATATGTCATAATTTAAATAATAAACACATAGGAAATATGTCAATTAATATTTTATAGTAATATATATTTTATTATTAATATATAACTTAAATAATTAAATTAACTATATTAATATTTATATTATACAATAAAATAAAATACATTTCTAAAAAAATAATGTTTCTGATTTATGATTTTTAATTAGGGATGTAACGATTCACAGTGAGTCGATTGAAAATCAATTCAAATATGTGACAATTCAACAGTGAAATGTTGAATGTATCGGAGAGGGGTCTGGATGCAGTCCTGGTGCAGTGCAATCTGAGCTGTGTCCAATGCTTTGTAATGGGCTCACCTAACCCCACCCCTAACCCTACCCCTCACAGTGACGTCACTCGCTCCATTTGAGTGCATAGGGTCTGACATTGCATCGCTGAGTGATGCATGTCAGCTTGCATCTATCTGGCTGCATCCAGATACTATTGATGAATCGCGATACAAGTTTTGAACAGAGGGGGCACTGTTTACAGGTGATATTTCTGTAAAAAAAAATGTTAAATCCCAACACACACAGTAACAGTTTGTTTATATTAATGAGTAATCTTTAGTTTGTATTACTCTTTCTTGTTTTTAAAATAGCAATTTAGTTTTAGCAAAATATATAATATTTTGCAAAAATGTGCAGCATTTAAGAAAAAAACGAAAGGGCTCTTGTTCACCTTAAATTTGTTTTAAAAAAATTAGGTAAAAAAATCGTGACTAAATCATGAATCACACCGAATCGTGAGTCAGGTGAATAGCTACATCCCTGTTTTTAGTTATGCATTTTCTTCTGAAAAATGCGATTTCTTCCTCCATATTTAAAAATCTTTTGTTTTTGTTTTTTTATTCAGTGGTCTCTTAATTTCTTCTATATAATTTATTATTATGAATGATCTATTATTATATTAAATGGATAGTTAAAGACTCCACAAATACGCATGTTAAAGACTAAGGGCCCTATCCTACAACCGGCGCAAGGGGCGACACAATTGTTGTTTGCTAGTTTCAGCTTGGCACAAGAGTTGCTTTGACGTTTTGCGCTAGGCTGTTTAAATAGCAAATGCATTTGCACTCATTTGTGCGCCCATAGGTGTTCTGGTCTAAAAAAGGAGGCGTGTTGAGGCGCATTGCTGGCGAGTTGCTATTTTGAGGAACTATAATAGACTGTTTAATAGACCAGATCAAAGCCGGTCTATAGTCCAGAGCGCGTTAGTTGTGCGCCTCGCTTACACATTGCTTAATACACACAGGGTGTACAGCAATACGCAAATATCTTTACATATGAAAAGAATTAAAGGATTAAAATATTACAAAACATATTATTTTCTAGCCTACATAAATATAAAAACCTTTCATGCCTTCAACTCGAGGGGGCTTTTTCAGTTAATTTATAACAATTTGCTTTTGTATAATGTTATTATTATTAGCAGTATTGTTTATTATATGCATATTTATATTTGTTTTATTAAAAACAAGCTTAGGTTTGTCCACCTGTCAGCTTTTGTACCATTAGGAGCATAGCATGTGTATTTGGATATAACTCAGTTTTCTGAACACACTTCGTTATTATTTATTCAGTCATTTGCTGGAAATAGAACTGAATTTGGAAATAGTTGTGAAACAAATCTTTGCACTTAACAAACAAAATTATTTATGTATAGGCTAATGGATGTTTGTGGGTACAACAAGTTTTCCAATCCACGAAAGTGAAAGTAAAGAACGCGGAGGCTCGTCTCTCATTCTCGCCTGTATGCTCTGGTAAACTGTTTTCTTACTAGTGAAACGCTCAGCTTTGACATGACTGTTTACCTGTGGTGTACTCCAGCTTCGTGAATCTTGGTGACTGGTCATTGATGTCCTCCAGGAAGATTCTCACCTCCTGTAATGTGGGGTCACGGCTGGGGTCAAGCACCTGAGCCCGCTGTGACCTCTGACCTTTCGGAGGAGTCCAGTTGCGGTTACTTGAGGCTTTAACGATGATGGAGTACACTGGGATTTCTTCCCGATCCAGATCTTTCTTGACCCGTAAAACACCACTAACACTCAAAGCAAAGTTTCCACCGGTGTCACCTCCTAAAGAAAATCAATGATGGAGTTTTAAAAAATGATCAACATTCACTGAATACAGTCAGTACCACAAAAGTGCAAACACTTTTAATAAATAGAGATATCAAAAATTGTTGCTATAATTCTGTCTAGTAAGATAAAGGGCCAGGACAAAAAAAAAAAAAAAAATTCAATAAAAATATATCGTATTCAACACAGTATTATATGCACATTTATAGAAATTGATTTGATCATTCATAATCCAATGCATACAGAGCATCTGCTGACTTCACCTAACATACCTACTATAAACTGGTAAGTAAGGGCTGTATATTAGCATGCTATTTTGACCATAGTCGTTGTTCTGCTTACGTATACACAATTTCATATATGGAAATACATTTAAATCACAAATATAATGTACAAGTTCATCTATCTGTCCATCTTTCTTTCTTTTTTTCTTTCTTTCTTTTTGAAAATCTATCTATCTATCTATCTATCTATCTATCTATCTATCTATCTATCTATCTATCTATCTGTCTATCTGTCTATCTGTCTATCTGTCTGTCTGTCTGTCTGTCTGTCTGTCTGTCTATCTATATGTCTGTCTGTCTGTCTATCTATCTATATGTCTGTCTGTCTGTCTATCTATCTATCCATCTATCTTTCTTTCAGTCTATCTTTCTGTCTGTCTGTCGGCCTGTCTATGTATTTTATTTATTAGAATTACATATACATACAAATATACATACAAATATATTATATACATATACAATATTTTGTCTTATTTCTAGTCCAAATATATTGAAATTCTAAAGCCAAGAAGCATTTTTAGACAACTAAAAAAATGTTTTTTGTTTTCAGAAATATAAGTCAAAATTAAGCGTGTTTTCCCTTAAAACAATGAAAATATACTGCCAATTGGATAAGCAAAATGCTTTCAGTTTGAAATAAGATTATTTTACCTCATTAGCATTAAAGGGGTGTTCCACTACAATATCACATTTTAAACTTAAGTTGATGTGTGATGAAGCTGTGTGAACATAAACAACATCTCTGAATGTAAAATGCTCGAAGTTCAATGCAAAGTGAGACATTGGCTTTTACAGAGTTAGCTTAGCAAAGCCTACAGTGAACAAAGTTTGGGGACAACAAAAAAGGCACATTCGAGTTAATGATGTCATAAAAGCTTTAGGCTACGAGTATACACCCCGTGCAGTAAAGGGATATGGCCAGATGCCCTGTAATGTTATAGCAGAGATGCTTCATGGTAACATGGAGCCGATCTGCGAATCGCAACACATTATGTTAGCTGACCAATCAGAGCCTCTTGTGGGTGGGAAATTCAGAGAAATTGGAAAATATGACCGTCATTTTCATGTCAGCTGAATATAAAATCAAAGTAAGATATATGAAAAAATAACGTGACTTTCTACAAGTGAAGCATAAGCACACATTGCTTTGCATCTTATAAACAAAACAAAGACTTAGTTATCTGGAAAATGGATTTTGATTTAAGAATTTTTAGAAATTCAAACTAAAAACAAAGCAACAAAAACTTCAAGCAAAAATAGTTTTTTTGCAGTGTAAATGTTCAAACATTTTAACCATAATTATATACATAGGTTCATATAGAGTCGGGAACCTTTTTTGGCAAATGCATTTTTTAGAGAGCCATTGGGGATATATAAGCATCACATGTCGAGCAAGTCCATGTGTTAAAGATAATTTATAGAATTTTTTTTTTTTGCCATTAGCACTCATGAATGTTGTTTGAATTTATGTGCGCAAGGTTACCATAGAAATATATGTTGCATAACCTTTATTGGTGTTTAATTCAAGTTAATCCACAGTGCTGTACATGCGCATTGAAATGTCATTTTATTTTTATTCTTAATCATTTTGCTGTAAAAATATACAAAAAAAAAGGTCATTTTAATTGTATTGTCAATAGGAAACTAATTTTTAGAGACAGTTTTAATTTTTTATTGAAGGGAGACAGCTGGAGAGCCACATATTTTTGGTCAAAGAGCCACATGTGGCTCCCGAGTCATATGTTCCCTACCCCTGGTATAGAGTAAGGCCACATATCAGATTTCATTATTGGGGCAGTTTACATGGGAACGTTTCATTTCAGAATCTTTTGCTGACGCAACAAAGTTGTGCAAAATTGAGCATTTCACTGGTAACTTCAGGAGGAAATAATATATTAAGAAAGTCAGTAGTTGATCAAGAGTGTTCTGTCTAAGTTCACTGACCTTCAGAAACAGTTAAAGTCAACATTATTAGCCCTCCTGTAATTTTTTATGTTAATGATGTTAAACAGAGCAAGGAATTTTCACAGTATTTCTTCTGTATAAAGTCTTATTTGTTTTATTTCAGCTAGAATAAAAGCAGTTTTTTTATTTCATTTTAAAACAATGTTATCTCAATATTATTATCCCCCTTAAGCAATTTTTTTTTTTTTACAGAACAATCATTATACAATGACTTGTCAAACTACCCTAACTTGCCTAATTAACCTAGTTAAGTCTTGAAATGTCACTTTAAGCTGAATACTAGTATCTTGAAAAATATCTAGTCAAATATTATTTTCTGTCATCATGGCAAAAATAAAATAAATCAGTTATTAGAGATGAGTTATTAAAAGTATTATGTTTAGAAATGTGTTGAAAAAAATCAGAGGTGAAGAAACAGTTACTTTAAATGATAAGGCATAAACTTCTACTCCTTGAATGATGCATGACTGTGGAGCATATTTAAGGTGTACTATTGTGTCCGCACCTGCGATGAAGTAGTAGACGATGGCATTAGAGCCTTCGTCTGCATCCACTGCTCCAGTCACATTACCCACAACAGTTCCAGGAGAAGAGTGCTCCGGTACAGACAGAGACTGATACGGCAAACTTCCTCTCTAAAACACATGCAATACACAAAAATCAAGACTTAAGCAATAAGGGGTGAGAAAATGTCCAAGCTTTGCAAGTTATGACGTAAAAAAGTACTCCACACTATGTCTACTGTGTTATATCAGAACTATAATCTTTAAGCTGAAAACACAATGTGCTACAAGCTTTCTGTTGTCTTTTAAAGTATTTTAGTGTAATTCTAAACATGCTGAACAAGCTTCTTTTTGCTATGCCATCTTATTTCTAGAAAATAAATGAAAGAATAGTTTTTTTCTGATCCCAATGTAAAACGAATAATGATTTATTAAATTAATGAGTAATGACTTACAGAAGTCACTAACATGTACCTCAGTGTGACAGCAGTTTATATAGTCTACCAAAAAACCTTTCAACACATATACATGAACATAATATACATGGTATATTTAGAAAACATTATAATTTGATGACATTAAAGACTCTAGTTATGAATCACAGCACAAAAAAGTCCCAAAATACTGATTTATAACTATGTGCTATGTTGTAATAATTTTTATTTATGTGCTGTTGTGCTTCAAAATACTAGCTTTATGTCAGTTATTTTTATCACCTAACATTACACTTATAATTGTATTCATTTTAATAATTACATACTATAATAATTATGTTGACTCATTTTCCAAATTGTTGTTCCATAAGTTTATTTTTCATTATTTTGCCTAAAGGTTCAATAAAATACTGCATAAAATAGTAATAAATTAAATACTTTGGTTATATATCAGGCTTCACTGTATTTATTCTACTTCTGGCCTACAAAATCTACTTGAGAAAACTGTATCAGCTGTTTTATTTGTTTATTTTTAAAATAATAATAATAATTTTAAAAAACTTACCGGAGGTTTAAGGAAGACAGGTTCATTGTCATCAATGTCAGACAGAGCCACCTGCAGTGGCTGCATGGTCTCATAAGGGACAGGCTGCCCTAGGTCATACGCCACCACAACCAGCTACACACAAACACACAGAATTACATTATTTACTTTTTTGACACTTTTCTTCTGTTTTCATATTTTAAGCGTTTTGAATTTTTGTCATTAACGCTTTTCCCACCAGCATTTTTTTTTTTTATAGTTGCCAGCCACCACCGCATTTTTGATGATTTTCACCTAAATCTGACAGCCCTCAAAATGTTTTCTGCCATATCACCAACCGAGCCCCTGCTTTTAACCACACATTTTTTTATTCTATATCCATGTGTTCATGTTTTATCATCATGCTTTATATATATAAAGAGTGTGAAGAGTTTACATGCAAAAGCTCTTTGAAAGCCATTTGATAATTTCTACTAAAAGTAGCATTTTTCTCCTGTTTGCAGGCTCAGTTAGGAACTTTGACTAACTGCAGTCTAGCCAAGGGCTCTGTATGAGAAAGTCTTACCTATGTCTGTGGGTGTCACTATTCAAAATTAAAGCACAGCTTTCCGCTTATAATGTCTTATTGCTCATCGCCATAAATTAAAATAAGGACGCATGACAGCTGAGCGGGACAAAATAAACCATGAAACTCTGACCAATGTAAGAAGAGTTTACTTGCATGTGACTTGTTTTAGCTCTTTTGGTCCGTTTAGAAACTTTGCTGTGTGAAAGCGAACCGCACTAAGAACAAAGAGCAACATTGTAACAATTTAAATCCTTGTTTCCGAATAAATTAATCAATTCACAGGTGTGAAGCACCCTAAAGCATGAGGTGATGTAAAAAAAAATTATCCATTTAAGGTGGAAGTGACAAATTACAAGCTTTGGATCTTTAAATCAGGTTTATATCCTCTAAAACCTGAATTTTGTCAGTTTGGGAACACACTAGCTTATAAATATCCTTAAAACTAACAAAACTAATATCTAAAAAGCTGGTAACACTTTATTTTGATGGTCCATTTGAGTATTAGTAGACTGTCTGCTTAATATCTGTTGATTCTGCTCCTTCGACAGACATTTAACTGACTATAAGAAACTTTGCAAGTTCATTTCAACTTACACTAACCCTAACCCCAACCTAACAGTCTACTTATAATCTATTAAGAATTATGTAGATGCAATGTAACTTAAACTCAACAAACGGACCATCAAAATAAACTGTGAGCTAAAAACTTTTAATTTCAAGGGTTTATTAATGACCTTTCATGCCTCTCGATTGCCAGGATATTGGGTCAATGGCAGGGAAAGAGTTAAAGTGCAACACTAAACATCCACTGGCCTTTGATTGGCCATGGTTATAAATCAAGACTTACGCTGTACAGGGCTTGTTTCTCTCTGTCCAGCTTAACCGCAGTAGTGATCACTCCTGTCACAGCGTCAATATGGAAGTTCTCCCAGTCTCTGTTTCCAGCTCCGGTCTGCAGGAAACTGTAGCGAACCTCTCCGTTCACCCCTTCATCCTCATCTGTGGCAAACACTTCATAGACTACCAGTCCAGGAGGCTGTTCCTGCATTGACAAACACACACACAAAACATAAGAGAATGTGATGTCTGACTTTATTGAAACACAGGTCATCTAATGTCAAACAGCCCTGATATAGAGAATCAAATATGACAAACCACCATGTGACAGATCTGGGTCAAAGCATTGAACAGCAAAGACTCATGTTTATAAATTTCTCCATCAAATGCAATATCATATACAGTTGAAGTCAAAACTATTTGCCCTCCTCTGATTTTCTTTTAATATTTCTCCAATAGAGATTAATAGAGCCAGAAATTTTTCACAGTATGTCTGACAATATTTTTTATTCTGAAGAAAGTCTTGTTTGTGTTATTTTGGCTAGGATGAAAGCAGTTTTAATTTTTTAAAAACAATTTAAGGTCAAAATTCTTATTTTATTTTATTTTTTTAAATCATTGAAAAAGTTGTTTTTAACCAGATAAACAAGTTCTTAAGCTCCAAACGATGTTTAGACAATTTTCAATCTGGTTTCAGAGCACATCACAGTACAGAAAGCACTCTTATAAAGCTAATCAATGATATCCAACTAAATAAATATTTAGGCAAACTAACAGTGCTGGTATTGCTCGATCTCACAGTTGCATTTGACACTGTCGATCACAGCATACTTTGGAAAACTGGGTTGGGCTGACTGGGATCAGATTTTACCTTGAAGGGAGAGGTTACTATGTCAGTATAGCTGACCATAGGTTGAGGTGGACACCCATGACATGCGAGTCCCACAAGAGTCTCCTGTTCAACCTTTATATGCTCCCACTGAGCCGAATAATAATGAGAAAGAACCAAATCTCCTACCACAGCTATGCTGATGACACTCTGATCTACCTAGCCTTGGTGCCTAATGACTTCAGCCCCTTTGACACCCTCTGCCAATGCATTGATGAAATTAACAATTGGATGTGCCAAAACTTTCTTCAGTTAAACAAAGAGAAAACTGAAGTTACTGCATTTGGGAATGGAAATGAGGTTCTCAAGGTGAATGCGTACCTTGGCACTAAGGGTCAAATGACAATAAATAAAGTCAAGAATCTTGGTGTGATTCTGGAGTCATATCTGAGCTTCAGTAGTCATGTCAAAGCAGTCAGTATTTCAGCATACTATCATCTCAAAAACACTGCAAGAATTAGATGCTTTGTTTTCAGTGAAGACTTAGAAAAATGTGTTCATGCTTTTATCAGCAGCAGGGTGGATTACTGTAACGGCCTCCTCATGGGCCTTCCCAAATAAACAGTCAGACAGTTGCAACTCATCCAGAAGGCTGCTGCCAGGATTAGGACCCGAACCAGGAAATCAGAGCACGTCACACCTGTCCTGGGGTCTTAACACTGACTCCCAGTTACATTTAGAATAGTTTTCAAATTATTATTACTGGTCTATAAATCACTAAATAGCCTAGGACCTCAGTACATTTCAGATATGCTCACTGAATAAACACCTAACACATTACTCAGATTAATAGAATCAAGTAAATTAGAAATTCCAAGAGTTCAGTCAAAGCAGGGTGAATCGGCCTTCAGCTATTATGCCCTCCATTGCTGGAATGAGCTTCCAGAAATGATCAGATGTGCTCCAACATTAGGCACATTCAAATCAAGACTAAAAACACATCTGTTTAGCTGTGCCTTGACTGAATGAGCACTGTGCTATGTCCTACAGATGTCTTTCTTTTCTTTTTCATTCTTTTCTAACCTGTTTTAACATATTTTCATTTGTTTTAAACATTTTTAATTCTTTTAATTTCTTTTTTCTAGTTTTTTTATTCTCGTTTATGTAAAGCACTTTGAATTACCATTGTGAAATGAAATGTGCTATATAAACTTGCCTTGCCTTGAATAGTAGTACCTTAAAAACATTGAGTAAAATATTATAAAATAAAAGAAATCAGTTATTAGAAATGTGTTGAAAAAAAATATTCTTTCTGTAAGAAATTGGGGGAAAAATACACAGGAGGAATAATAATTCTGACTTCAGCGATATATAAAAAAATAAAATGAATAATAACAATATACTACTTTTAAACCTACATCTAAATTCATGCTGTGTCATGGACCATTTAGACTTGACATTGCTTCTCTGTTAATTATCTATTAATTATCTTTAAAAATATGTATGTTCTCATCAAGAAGGCAGAACAAGTGACTGACATTCAGAAACAAAAGCGGAAACACATATTTGTGTACAGAAGTGTCTTTGTGCTACTTTTGGTGAATGTCAAAGTCGATGAAATCAAAAGTGGGGGACATTTTTTAAACATGCTAGTCTGAAACATTGTGTCCTGAAGTGCTTTTTGTTTATATACCAACATATCGAATAGATCATGATAAAACGGGGCTGAGGGTCTGCATCTGATATTAAAGATTAATGACAAACACACGTAGAGAATCTTGCAAATTTGCTCATTTTTGTTTGATGCATAAAAAGGGCTAATTTGTACTGCTTGCATCTTAATTGTATCAATTTCGAAGATTTTGTTCATTTCAGACTTCTAGAAGTTGATTAGCTGTGTTAATTTGAGATCTAGCTTTACTAACCTACATATATATGCTTTAATGCTTATGTTCAGTGGAGAAATTACTGTCAGATAAACACCCCATGTGACAGATTTGGGTCAACAGTATTGAACGGTGAGGATTCATCTCTATATGTTCATCCATGCATGACATTTTAGTCAGATTTTTTTTTTTTTCTTCATTTAGAAGCTATTGTCTTTTATTTAGTGTTTCTGAATCTAATCCGATGTGTATTTCAAGAGTTCACACGTAGCTGATGATTGATAATAAAGCTTATTTGGCATGCTGTCTCAGGAGAGAGCCCTGAGTTCAGAATATCCTCGAGCCCAGGGCTCCCTATAATTTGAAGGACGAGAGGAGAGTTTGAGCTCAGGTAGGTCTCGAGAACTCCCCTGCTTGTGAATGTGCTGAGATATATCTGGCTTAGGGTTGTCCTAAGATGCTATTTTGGAGTAGTCAATTTACTTATGGTGTATGTGTTTGGACAGTGGGAGGAAACCCACGCGAACACGGGGAGAACATCCAAACTCGATGGGGGGCCTAACCAGGGGCGTTCTTGCTGTGAGGGAACAGTGCTAACCACTGGGCCGCCGTGCCGCCCTATCAGAGAAGGGGAGGAGTAGGGGTGGAAGGGGGGATTCTTCAACACGAAGATGACTGGAGTGGAAAGCTCTGGTTATTTATAGTGCAGTATTCATTTGATTGAAGCAATATAAGGATCTGATGAGGTACCAGCTGTGTTCAATAAGCACGTGATCCTCTCAAAATGAGTTTATAAATAAACCACACTTAAAAGGGTAGTTCACACACATTTATAATTCTGCTCACTTACTTCAAACCTGTTTGAGCTTCTTTCTGCTGTTGGACACAAAAAGAAGATATTTTGAAGAATGATGAAATCCAGGTGCCCTTTTTTATCCACAAATATGCAAGTCAACAACTACATTCTTCAAAATATCTTCTTTTTATGTTCAACCAAAACAAAATAAACTTCTAGATTTGGAACCACTTGAGTCTGAGTAAATGGTAAGTATATTTTCATCTTTAGCTTAACTATCCCTATGAAGATTGCTTACCTCGAAGGGAACTTACACAATTATCTCAACGTGCTCAAAATACCAACTGCACTTTATCTAAGAGCTCTTTGTGTCACTGGGGCTGGTTTCATCACTTGTGTCCAATAATAAAAAGCTTAAGAATGAAATCTGACACTTAGTCTTGATCAAGCAACATGATCTGGTTATCATAAAAATACAAGAGCAGACCACACAGGTAATATGTCAACTGCATGTTTCAGCACACCTAACCAACAAAGATGTAGCACATATTCCCATCAATTACTCTCTAATGTGAGAAAGACAGTGAAGTTGTGAGATAACAGAGCACACCAAAGTGTACGAGTTGTAATTTGTGAGAGAAAAAAAACATGATCAATGAATGCTTTAGAAATAACACTGAGTGACTGACTGAGTGTTTTTCCAGCAGTACACACCTCTAGTATGTGCATAATGGTGCCATTGGCCGGGCGCACAAAGATCGGTCTGTTGTCGTTGACGTCTATGACAGTGATTTGAAGACTGGCGGTCCCCCAGAGAGGAGGTCTGCCTTGATCAGTCGCCACCACCGTCAGATTGAACCTCTCGAAACTCTGCAGTAACCGCAGAGAGCGAATCAGCCCAGTGTCAGGATCCAGAGAGAACGCGTCTGTGATAGAGAGACAAAAACACATAACAACAATGACAGAGGCAGGTTTACCTAAACTCACAATGACTTGACATTTTTAGTTAATGAGCTTGAGTGGTTATTTAATTAAGGTTAATTTTAAATTAAAGGTGACCTATTATGATATTATGAGATTTTACAAGATGTGAAATATGTCTCTGATCTCCCTAGAGTGTGTATGTGAAGTTCCAACTCGAAATACCACACAAATATAGTTTTATGACTCTTTGAACTGCCCCTTTTAGGCTTTAATCCTGATAGTGCCATTTTGCTGAATCTATCGCTTTAAATTCAAATAAGATTGTGCTCTTTTCAAAGGAGGGCCGGGCTTTAAATGTCTATGCGCCAGCAAAGTCTACATCTTATGCTAATAAGGGAGAGATCATCCCTAATGGGCGGGGCTTTTCCCCTCTGATGACACGTACTAAGGGAGAATGTCAATCAAAGTGTTTCTGCAGACTGTTTTTTGTCAAGTGTGTTTATAAAATAATAATTAATAATAATTCCTTACATTTATATAGCGCTTTTCTGGGCACTCAAAGCGCTGTACACAGTGGGGGGAATCTCCTCATCTACCACCAGTGTGCAGCATCCACCTGGATGACGCGACGGCAGCCATTTTGCGCCAGACCGCACACCACACACCAGCTGATTGGTGGAGAGGAGACAGTGATGCAGCCAATTGAATATGGGGATGGTTAGGAGGCCATGATGGACAAAGGCCAGTGGGCAGATTTGGCCAGGATGCCGGGGTTAAACCCCTACTCTTTTCGAAGGACATCCTGGGATTTTTAACGACCACAGAGAGTCGGTACCTCGGTTTAACGTCTCATCCGAAAGACGGCGCTCACTGAGCAGTATAGCGTCCCCGTCACTATACTGGGGTATTAGGACCCACACAGACCGCAGGTTGGGCACCCCCTGCTGGCCTCACTAACACCACTTCCGGCAGCAACCTAGCTTTCCCATGTGGTCTCCCATCCAGGTACTGACCGGGCGCAGCCCTGCTTAGCTTCAGTGGGCGACCATGTGAGAGTTGCAGAGAGCTAGCTGCCGGCCAGAGCTAGCTGCCGGCCAAATATATATATATATTAGTGTTTATTACTATTAGAAGCTGGCTAGATTCACACACAGTTCCACACAACTGTGCCCTTATAAAAATGATTTTTGCATAATAGGTCCCATTTAAGCAAGCATAATTGAGCACTTTACAAAGAAGTGATATATTGATCAATAAAAAAGCAAAGTGGAAATTTAGTGGAAGATGTACAGTACAACAAAAGAACAAAAGAAAACAAAAGAAATGTCCGGGACAAGAAATATGGGACTAATATATGTTCATATAATAAATACAAAGTTATATACATATATTAAGTTCATATAAAATATATGAACTATAATATAGAAAATAATTTAGAAATAAGTATTGTCAAAACTGAATTGTTGAATGCATATACACTACCCGAGAATGAATATATATATATATATATATATATATATATATATATATATATATATATATATATATATATGTATATACACACACACACACACACACACACACACACACACACACACACACACACACACACACACACACACACACACACACACACACACACACACACACACACACACACACACACACACACACACACAACAGTTCTGTCTGGTTCTTAAATCTGATTGGCTGATAGCTGTAAGATATTCTGCCAGTAACAGCACACAAAGGCCTCTTCACCTTTGTGTATTACTCCACCCACATACAAGCAGAGGACGCTCCTCAGTTTGACAAATATTCCTGCTGTTGGGCAACAATGTACTTTTGATTTTAGTCAAGAATGTAGTTGTTTAGATTGCAACTATGCAATTTATTTATAAGGATAGTGCCTATTTTAAAATATTTATCCTTTGAGAGACAGCGCGTCAGTGTCTATTAGTCAAAGACGGTTGACGTTGTCTATCCACAAGATGGTGCCAGGGCCGCATAATAAGCTTAAAGGATTAAATCCTGTTTTTCAGCTTCTAATTTGAAGTAAAAAAACACGAAGCACCATGGTTTTTAAGGTCGACCAGATATCGTCAATAAGAAGCTGCGAATAAGAAGCTGGATTCAGCCTTGTCCCTCCTTATCACAAACACATCAGCAGTCTGGTAGTGATTGCGCTAATTTTTGGGTTAATTATTGTGATATTGTAACGTTCGCTTAATGTTTTATATGCATTGTGTATAAATGTCATGTCCCCTTTAAGAGGACTTCTTCTGTAGATATTTTACCTTTGAGATGCAATCACGCATGTATATGAGCTCAATTAAGTTCTGGCAAGCTCTGAGAAGAAGTGTGTGATGGTCGCTCTAGAGCTGTATCATTCTTTTATTTCAATAATGTAACATTTTTTTTGCGATGGATGTTTGGGTGTCTTTTTCTTTTCCTTTTGCTTACTCATTGTCATTGACTGGCATGTATGTAGTCGACTGCACTTGGGAAAAATGCATAAAGGCCAATAGGAAGAGCGAAATAGTTTGTCTCCTTTTTTTTTATTCCTTAAAGTCTCCGGGTAAACACTGGGACACCTGGCACCTGTCACAATACAGACGGCAACAGAGAAATACTGTAGACTGTAATAGACTGTAGAGAGATTTCTCTGTAGACGGATGGCATTTCATGTCACGTTCAGCCTTATAATCTTAAAATATGAGCAAAATCAGCTGTTTTGTCATCACTTTAGGAAATGACGCTATAAAGATTCATTCAAATACTGGCTCTAAAGTGATGTTGGTGAATTAGTAATGGCTTCTGCTGTTCTGGCGTCAGCTGCAGATGTGAATGAATGGCGGAAGAAAGTAGTTCCTAATACAAAAGGGTTTTACGCTCTCCATGTTTCACAATTTTTTTTATATACACGATTGTGCCTTCAAACTGTTGTATAAACACAATATCACATGAGTAGCAGTGTGATATGGCTGTATATCAGCACTGGTGGGACCCAAAGCACGCCTCCCACCAGCACTGATATACAGCCATATCGCACTGCTACTCGTGTGACAATTATATCATCTTCAATAATTAGATAACATATTATAATTTTAAACAATATTTATTATGTATCTTTTACTTTTTGCTCAACAAATCTCCTTCATTCGCTATGAAATGCATGCATGTTTTGTTCATGATCTACTAGTTTATCATTACTAGAATTATCTAAGTGACTGCAAAATAAAATAAATTTTTCGGAAAATATTCCCTCTAATGTCATTTCAAATTCCATTACCAAAAGCTGTGTGCCAGTTAAATTAATTTAGAAACTGATTAAAAGTCTAATTTTCATCTCCAATTTTTTTCTAAGCCTTATGTCTATATTTATGTATGTATATATGAATGTATGTATGTATGTATGTATGTATGTATGTATGTATGTATGTATGTATGTATGTATGTATGTATGTATGTATGTATGTATGTATGTATGTATGTATGTGTGTGTTTGTGTGTTATACCCGCTCCAGGGCCCTGTAGACTGTAAGTGAGTAATGCATTCTCCCCTTCATCGAGGTCAGTGGCCTTCATAGTGATCACTGATGTGCCAACCGGCTCGTTCTCAAACACACTAGTGGTGAAGACTCTCTCTGAGAAACGTGGACGGAAATCATTGACATCCAGCACTGTCAATTGCACCTGAGAGACAGAGAGATGCAGAGGTGTTAAAATGGAGCACAAAACAAAAACTCTGCTTGTTTTGCCAAGTTTCTGAGGTTTCCTCATGCAAATCTGCTCGCACGAAACTGAAACTTTCTGCTGCAAAATGCAAACGTGTGCAAAAGAGTTGAGCACAGGTTGGGAATACAAGCTTATATAAATAGCAAACTTATATAAACATCATTCCAATTCAATAAAGTTAACCAACTAGGCTCATAAATGTCGATTTCTATTTGCATTTTACGTCCATATAATGGTTATGCTTAGTCTGTCTTCAACATTGCAACAGCTGATGGTATTTTAATTTTCTGCTTGTTTTGCTTCTGAACTTCCACTTCCTCATATTTTTAAAGTGTCAATAGAGGAAGTGTGAGCCGAACTCACAATCTTCAGCAGTTGTGAAACTTCATTTTCACAGCTGACGGTCTCTTCATATCCTCTTTAAACAGGAACTGGAAGTGAAGGAGACTCCGCCTAGACTGAGTCAGTGTCTATCGTGTTCATATAATTTGTTTGTTTTTTTCTTTGATCTGCTTGTGATTGTGCAGAGTTTAAGAACAGGTTGTTTGAATTTTAATTAATTTAGTACAAATGAGCCAGATATACAACGTACTTTATTTAGCAGCTCATTTAAGAGTGTATTATGGCTCGTTTCCACTCAGTGGTACAGTATGCTTTTTTGGCCGTTTCGATTGTCAAAAAGTACCAAAAAGCGAACCGTCCCGTACCACTTTTTGGGTACCTTTTCAAAAGGATACCCAGCACAACAAAAGGGTATCAAAAGGTGGAGCCAGACATGCAGCTGAACGCTATTGGTTTACTATGATACGTCACCAGCTCGTGCACAAGCCAGGAGAGGGAAAACAAAGGAAGCGCCATTTTTAAATTCACAGCCGAGACATTACACCGTAATAATATATACATATAATAGCGAGCCATGGTCGACCTGAGCTCAAAAAACTTTGTCGTCATCTTGACGAGCAGCCACAAAGCTAAGAAAAAGAGCAGAATCTACCATGTGCCCCGTTGTTGTTTACAAGGCCATCTAAAGCACGATCGGTTTCGCTTTATTGTGTGCACTCGCTGCGGGTCTATATTAACAAATTATAATAACAATTTTTTTGAGTTGATATTAACATGTGCGTGATTATTGAAGCGGATCTGACATCCAATCCTTTCAGAAACAGACAAATGCGAGAGTGACGCGCAAAAAAACAAAGAAGCAAATGATTCTTTCAGCTACCTAAAACTGCCATGTTTAATTATCATCACCTTTTGGACTATTATGAACTCAGAAATACTTTCTAATTAGAGGTTATTTGTGTCTGTGAAAATTACAGACAAAGATGAGGGGTTTGCACTGACCCTGGACTATATGCTGTGTGTTGTTTTTTAACCCAAATAAGGACTAAATGTCTGTTGTGTGTAGTTTTTCAGTAATTGGTAACATATCGCAGACTGTAAAGGTCTTTATGTGTTCTTATATGTTCCTATATGCATTTATTTATTTATTTTATACAATTGCAAACGCTACAGTAGGTCATTTTTGCTTTTTCATTGATCTGCAGTTATGATCAAATCATGTTCATATAAAGGGTAGTAATGAACATTCATACACAATTATCTGTGTATAAAGCTTCTGTTTTGTGAGAAGTGCTTCTCATATCGTATGAGAATGACCCGTACAGCTTTACTTTGACATTTCCTCAAGCAGGAATGACTTCAACGGAAACTTTCTGTTGTAAACCATACCCACCTTTGGTGCCCTTTTGGCAGTGGAAACACAATGCTCATAAAGGTGACCCGTGCCGACCCATAATGTACCATACTGTACCACACAGTGAAAATGGGTCATTAGGCTAAACCAGGGGTGTCCAAACTCGGTCCTGGAGGGCCGTTGTCCTGCATATTTTAGTTCCAACCCCAATTAAACACACCTGAACCAGCTAATCAAGCTCTTTGGTATACTAGAAACTTCAAGGCAGGAGTGTCGAAGGATGCTGGATCTAAACTATTCAGAACAACTGCTCTCTAGGACCGAGTTTGGACACGCCTAGAATAGATTTTCTATAATCATGTTTATATGTTGTAATTTTATGGTTTGTGTTAATTATTCAGATGCAATTAAAGCAACTTTTATGTAAACTAACAAAACTATTACATTTTACAGCCCCTCTGGGGTTAAACGGTTGAGTTTTATCATTTTTTTAATCCATTCAGTTGATCTCTGGGTCTGCTGGGAGCACTATTAGCTTAGCCTAACATAGATCAGTTAATCAGACCATAAGCATCTCGCTCAAAAAAGTTTCGATGTTATTTTTTTTATCAGTTGTTTTTGTTAATAATTTAATATTTAACGCTTGACTCTTCTGTAAGCTTTGTGTACTAAGACAGACAAAAAATTAAAAGTTCCTATTTTCTTGGCCGATAGGGCTAGGAACTATTCTCTCATTCCTGCTTAATAATAAAGAAACTTTGCGGCAGTACCATGGCTTCAGTAGGCAAAATATTACCTCTAACCTGATTTCACCAAGTAGGGCATGATCCTAGATTAACATCAACTGTATGTTGATCTTAGAACAACATTCCAATTAGCCAACTGTTTATGTTAAGTTTAGGTTTACATTTAGGTTTTTGCACTTCTACATGAGTGGTATCCAATTATTATTGCCCTCTGATTCTGGGAATAATTTACAGTTATGGTTGGGTTTAGGGTTAGTGAATAGGTATGGATTACATTTTGAACAAAATTTGGGTTCCAGGATCGCATCGTACATGGCAATATCAAGATGTGCATAATATTATGCAGATTTTAAGTGGTAGTCCAAGTATAGGGCTTGGTCCTGGGGACTATTTTCAGCTGCTGCACAATATCACTGCGAATAGGAAAGTAATTTACTATTTTTTGAATGAGATGCTAATGGTCTACACTGCAAAAAAAGCTTTTCTTACTTAGATTTTTTGTCTTGTTTCTAGTCCAAATATCTGAAAATTCCTAACTCAAGAAGAATTTTCTAGACAAGAAAAACATATTGTCTTGTTTTAAGGAAAAACTCACTTAATATTGGCATATCATTTCTCAAAATGAGACAATATGTTTTGCTTGTCTAGAAAATGCCTCTTGATATTAGAAATTTTAGATATTTAGACTAGAAACAACACAAAAAATCTAAGCAAGAAAAGCATTTTTTTGCAGTGTAATCCAATTAAATGATCTATGCTAAGTTAAAAATGCTCAGACCTGGAGATCAGTAAATGGGTTAAAAATGGGAAAACTTAATATTTTAACTCTAAAGTTAAGCCTATTTTTATTACGTGCTCCTTTAAACAGCCAGAACTTTCCTTTTTTCCAGCTCATCCACAGACTGTTTGTACCTGAACAGAGTTTTCTCTGCGGTTATTGGGGCTGCCGCCGGGATTGTCCCTGGCGTAGGCTGTGAGAGTGTAGCGGTCTTTGGTTTCTCTGTCCAGAGCGGATAAGATGTAGATGTCACCCTAAAAACACAGTACATCAACATTATAAATATATAACAGTATACATATATACCATTTTTTTGTCTTTTCTTTTTCACCACATACTCACCGTAGTGGGAGTGATCCCAAATTTGCCCTCGCCATCTACTAGCCCGTATTCAATGACAGAGAACAGGCCGGAGTCTGCATCTGTCGCTCTCACGCTCACTATAATAGTGCCGAGTGCAACATCCTCAAATATTGACTTCTGCAGATTCAAGCATATACAAAAATTGGCTCACATTTTATTTCAAAGTACAATTACTAAACCATTAACTATTACTTTTGCCTCAATAAACTCCTAATGTGATGCTTATTAGTAATTATTAAGGCATGTAGAAAAGGATCATGCAGAATATGTCCTGTATAAGAACTAATAAACAGCCAATTAATAAATAATAGGTGGCAATAAGCCACTAAATTCTAGTGAGAATTGGATTTAAAAAATAAATTTACCAAAAATTGTGGAAATTTATTAGGTTTAACAAAAATGAATTTAATAACAATAAATAAATAAAAACAGCAAAATGGTGCAATTTAATTATAATAATAATTTCAAAAATTTTATTATTCCTATCATGCTAAAGCTACAGTAATGCTTAGAATGTATGCCTGAAACAATGAACTGTATCAAATTAGCAAAAAAAATTATAATAATGATAATATACACAGTAAACACCAAAAAATACACATAAACACCTTAAATAACTTCCTGAACATAAGCTATGGACTTTTGGAAAAGCCTTACTCTGGCCTGTGCTGACATACTTGATATAACGGCTGCTGAAAAACTGGGTTGTTGTCATTAACATCAATGATGCGTAGATAGACAGGAAGCTCAGTGAAGCGAGGAGGCGAGCCATGATCCTGAGCACGAACCGTGAAGTTCAACCACTGCACTTGCTCAAAATCCACCGTCCGATTGGCCACAATTTTACCTGCGGGTAAAGATTTGGAAGATCACAATTTAGACTGAATATAGAGTTATATAACAAGGCCTTATAAGAAATTTCACCCGCAGAAATGCAAATGAGTGTTTGTGTAACCTGTAGATGGGTCTTCAAGTCTGATGTAGTTTCCACGAGGCAGGTTTAGGAGCTGGTAGATGATCTGTCCGTTGGGTCCTTTATCAGGATCCACAGCTGTGACTGACAGCAGTGTGGTACCAGGCACAGCACCCTCTAGAATGCTCTCGGAAAAGTTCGCCACACCGAAAGGACGGAAACGAGGAGCATTGTCATTCACATCCAGCACATTTATGGTCAGTTTGGCTGTGGAGGGAAATCATGATGATAGAGTCTGAGATTTCCAGGAAAGACAGATATTTCCAGGCTGGTTTAGTAGCTTTTTTCTGTCAAATTAAATCTCCATATTACAATAAAAAAAGCAACTTTAACCACTCAAAAAATTGTTTATATGATATAAATTATATTTTACATCAACTCAATAATAATATAGTTTATTTTCAAAATGTATATTTTGAGCACACTAACAGGCCACTTTATTAGGTACACCTTACTAGTACCGGTTTAAACCACCTTTTGCCTTCAGAACTGCCTTAATCCTAACCTCTGGGATCAACAAGGCATTTGTGCCCACAGTACTGCCGCTCACTGGATATTTTCTCTTTTTCAGACCATCATCTGTAAACCCTAGAGATGCTTGTGCATAAAAATCCCTGTAGTTCAGCATTTTCTGAAATACTCAGACCAGCTCTTCTAGCACCAACAACCATGCCACTTTCCAAATCACTTAAATCACCTTTCCCATTCTGATGCTCAGTTTGAACAGCAGCAGATCGTCTTGACTGTGTCTGCATGCCTAAATGCATTGATTTGCTGCCATGTGATTGGCTGATTAGAAATTTGCGTTAACAAGCAGTTGGTCAGGTGTTCCTAATAAAGTGGCTGGTGCTTGTATATTATAACACAATAATAACTATTAGTTACCAAAAAGTTTGGGCCTCACACATGCTTGGTGTGCACAAATATGAAACACTCCACACAAGTATGAGGCTTATTGGTTTTTCATGAGGCTCAATACAAACTTATGGCTATTCTTAATTGGAAAATTTGCAACACAACAGAAGAAAAAAATTAAAGAGGCAGAAAGATTATTACCATTCGGTACACTGACCGACATTTCAATAACATCACTGGCGTTGTCATGCACTGAAACTATTATCTCAAAAGTGGCGACCAGCTCTCGGTTCAAGGGGTTTCGTACAAACACAGCACCTAAAAGCAAAGACGGAATCAATTAATAATACAGCAAAGCACATCCTTTAAGTAAATATTGCATTTATCTACTTCATAGAAATTAGATTTGATATAAAAACGTACAATGTGTTTGACTGCTAAATTACAGATAAAGATGTAAAAACAGTCTTGTTCCATGTTGAAATTCTTGATTCTGAAACAAGTCAATTTTGATCACAGTTTTGTTAACAAATGCGCTTCCCTCAAACATTAGTAGCAACCATAGCAACTCAGGAACAGTTGTTGTAGTCTTCATTCCTCTGTGCGATCTTTCGGGTGTTGACAAGTGCTTCATTAGATCAACCAACTCACAAATTAGTTTCAAAATATTTGTAATGAGGTACGTACCACGTTACAATGAACTATTAGACATGCCCTTGTCATATGTACTGTCGCTCCCTTACTTTCTGGTTGTGACGGACTCAAAAGTCAGGTATTAGGAGATCTAACATATCACAACTGATGAGAATTCAGTCAAACATTGTGTTGCAAAGAGCTAAATTAGTGTTAACTTGAATATAACTGGCAAGTAATTATAAAATAAGCTGGATAATCAATGGCCTGCAGTGACTTAAAGCAGTGTTTCTCAACCATGTTCCTGGAAGACCACCGACACAGCATGTTTTGGATGTCTCCTTCGTCTGTCACACCTATTACTGGTCTTTCAGTCTTTGCTAATGAGCTGATCATCTGAATCAGGAGTATTTGATAAAGGAGACATGGAAAATGTGCCGAGCTGGTGGTCCTCCAGAAATGTGCTTGAGAAGCAGTGAGGATTTTAAATGCACTTCATGTTGCGTGGTTCCTTGCATCTGCATCATGCATTTAAAATAAAAATCATGCAATTAAAATTAGCGCACAGTAATCCACTGACTATCCCTTACTTTTAATGTTTGTGGTTTGCTTTCTGCATAACAATGCCAAGATTGAATGATTGCAGAAATTACGTCTATACATCAATACGAAATACCTCAAAAAAAGCTAAGTAAAATAAGAATTAAATACAGAGTTACACTAAAAAACAAATAAAAACTGATTTCCACATCAAGCCATATATACACAGTCAAAATCATCACATCAAACACCAAAATGATTGAAAAGTAATTTACAAATTAGAAATTACATGCAAATGTCAACCAAGCCATTAGAAAAATAAAGTTTTCAACAAAATAGTGAAACCCTTTCTAGCTTTTTTTTGCATCGGCTTGTATTTTAAAGTACTGTAAAATTACTCAAAATGTCTCTGTCAATGTTTTTTAAAAAACTCTTAAAAAAATGTAATTTACCAAAGACCCACAAGTGCCAAATTCACATCTGTCACATACACAATGAAGTCTTTTCCTCATAAATCTAAAAATGCTAAATAAAATCAATAATTTTTGTTCAAAAAATCTGTTTTGTTCTTATATAGCCAACTTTGATCCTTTTAAATAGCATTATTACTTTTGGGTTGTGTAGTTTAATTCACAAAATACGTTGTACAAAGTATACTGTAAACTCCAACCGAGGCTCATTGTGGATAGGTACCCAGGTCTACAATTCTGGGGACAGCGAAATACGTAACCGGAGGTACGTCTGCTCGCAGTTTTAGTTTTTTGCAATCCACCAGAGGCCGCTGTGTACACTTTTTGGTGATCTCAAATTTCTCTTGCGCGTCCTTTTCTCACATAAATCCACCAGAGGGCGCAATATACACTTCAGCCGACCAGACCAGCTTGCTTTCGACTGACTGACTGACTCAACCACCCCTTCCCTAAACCAAACTGATAGTATGTTCAATCTACTTTTTCTAGCAATCTAGAAAAAGAAAAGCTGTTGCGGCCGCGTGGTTTCACCATGTTTTTAGCCAGATGTTTATTTAACTTATTTAAATATTTTTTGCTTTTGTTTTGCCTGGTTTCTGGAATTGTCCTTGCCGAACTCAAACCCCGTCGTCACAGTCACTTCTGCTCCGCATCTGGGCAAACTGGTAACACTGGAAAAGCCATCCACACAGAGGTAAGTGGTCAGCTGGTAGCACGAAAAGCAACAGAAGCCGTTGGCGGCATCATACAGCGCCGTAGCGTACATTTTAAAGATGAAATGCAGCCAGATGCATCTCTGGCTACATAATTCGCACTCTCCAGAAATGTAGACGGCTACATGTCCACAATGAGCCTGTGTTGGTAAACTCACATACTTTTTGGTCCCATCTATAACGTGTGTTTATTTTTTTGTAAAATGTTTACAGATTGATATTTTTCTGATCCCATAACTGTGTGGTTAGATGTTTTGGAAAATATAAACAGATGTTTCAATACAATATTAACATATACTTTCTCTGTGTATTTATGTTTTGGGTTTTTAATGCAAATGTCACATCCATAACGCTGGAATTTCTCAGATACTATTAATTGTAAGTCCCTAAGTGTCTGATGTAGTTTGTTATACATAATCGCTCACCTGTGTGAAAGTCAATCCCAAACGACTGCTGTAGACCATCCACTGCATTATTCCCATCATCCTTTGCTTCCACAGAGATGATGTAATACTCCAGACGAGGTTTTAAATCAGGATCCTCTGCGGCTAGCGTAGCCACGACTACACCAGGTGGAGTGGACTCATTGACACTGATGGTCTGGACGGGCTGTATGAAACGAGGACGCGAGTCGTTGACATCGTCCAGAACCACAGTTAATGTTGCGGTCCCTGAGAGTGAAGGTGTGCCTCGATCAGTCGCTATTACAACCAGACGGTATGAGCTTCGTTCCTCTCTGTCCAGTGTAGCATTGCCCACCAGAACAGCACCAGAGAGAGCATCGACAATAAAACGATCCTGAGCACCGCTGTCTAACCGATACTGCAGCCAACCGTTAGAACCAGCGTCAGCATCAGTGGCAGAGAGCTGGGTTACTACTACACCTGGAGAAAAAAGAAATAAAAATACAACACTATTAATAGTTTTCAATCACATGACCTGTGTGGAGACCTGGCAGGCTTAAAAACAATAAGCCATAATGGAAGTTACACTAAGATCTCCATAGAAACACAGCCCAAACTGGTCATATTTCCATTTGTTATAAGCTACGAATATCTGGATTACATATCAACAGAACAGAACCAAGATATGATCACAAACTGTAAATTGTGGACACTTGCAAATCCATATATCCATATAATGTCATTTAAAGCAGTCATGTGTCCCTCAGTAATATTTGCTGGTAGAGGAAAAATCTATTTGTTTACTTCTGCTATTTATACTTTGACTTTGCATTTCAATATATACTTTATTTGCACTTGACCTGCAAATTAGAATAGAAACTGTATAAAAAACTCACAAATGTATTAACAGTTATAGGTACCATAGATTGTTATGGGTCAATGATGCTAATATTCGGCACAATCCATAATATTTCTCCTTTCTGGTTGCTTTCTGTGAAGGAATTCTGTAGAGGCATAGCTCAGGTGTGTCTTCTCATAGGTTAGTAAAGCTAAACCTTATTGCACAACAATTATCTGGCTTTTTGGCTTAAAAAAAAAGGAGAAATTATTCAGCCCGTGACTTGACATGTTTTTTTTCCATTCCCCTAATGGTGTGACAATACGGGAAAACAATCAGTTGAACACGTTGAACATAAATAACAAATACTGGATGTAATACCTATGGGCTTGAGCAAATTTGTATTATTCTAGGTCAAATAAAACATTGTTATCTTGAGTTTTTTTCCTTCTTCTTATGGTAGGTCAGAATTTAAATTCAGTCATTGTAAACCCTGACAAAAGATCAGACTAATTCCACAACATATTGATTTTGTAACTCTTCTAGAGTTATATAAACCATGTCTGGAAACATTGTGGTATTTAATGAAAGCAGCTCTAAAATACCATTTAAAAAAGAAAAAAGAATGTCACCAGTAGTTCACAGAATAAAACAATATATATATAAACATGAGCAATATTACACGAGTAGCAGTGCAATGTGGCTGTATATCGACACTTGAGGGAGGCATGGGTTGGCATTAGGCCACAGGTCGAGTGCCTTAGTGCCCCACCAGTGACGATATACAGCCACATCGCACTGCTACTCGTGTGATATTGCGTTTATACAACAGCTCGATGGCACAATCGTGTATATAAAAAAGAAAATCAAACATGAAAGTCTAAAAACTCTTTTGTAAGAGAAACTACTTTCGCCATTTATTCACATCTGCAGCTGACGTCAGAACAGCAGAAACCGTTGCTACTTCACAAACATCACTTTAGAGCTAGTATTTGAGTGATTCTCAATAGCGAAATGTCTAAAATGATGACAAAACAAGTAATTTTGCTGACATTTTAAGTTATAAGGTTGAACAGCATGATATGCCACCAGTCTACAGAGATTTCCAGTTCTGTCTGGCTCTTGAATCTGATTGGCTGATAGCCGTGCGATATTCTGCAAACAACAGCACTCGTCTAGCCTCTTCACCCTTCATCCTTGTGTATTACTCTGTCCACATACAGCAACAAACAGAGGACACTCTACAGGTTGCCAAATATTGCTGCTCTTGGACATCAGAGTGTACTTTTGAGGCTTTTTTTTTTTAGGAAAGAATGTAGTTGTAACAATATATTTATGTTTATATGTTTGTATACTTAAACATAATTATCCAGGGGAACCTAAAATGTTCAAGTGTTCTTGATTTTTTACACATGTATATATATACACACATAAAAAATTTAATTAAATTATCATTGTAGTATTATTTACAGAATATTTATGATATTTAAAATTCCTATATAATTTATAATATAGGCTATTATTTTTCCTTTTTCTCTTGTTTTTAGACTTCACTTAAAACTGAAAATGTGCTCACTATTTACCCACCATCATCTTGTTCCAAACCTTTATGAATTTCTTTTTCTGTTGAACACAAAACAGTATATTTTAAATATACCTCAAAATCTGTATCCATTAACTTCCATAGAAGGAAAAACGAATACAATGGTTACCGATTTCCAGTTTCTTCAAAATATCTTCTCTTGAGTTTAACAAAAGAAAGAAACCCAAACAGGTTTGCAACAAGGGAAGGATGAGTAAATGATGACAGAACTTTATTTTTTTGGCTGAACTATCCCCTTAAAGTAATTTAGTACATCCACTTTATTACGCTTGAATGGGGACCAAGCAACCAGACTAAATCGGTTTCTGTACATCTGTTCATCCACCTGCTGACACTACTCTCTCACCTGTGGGGCTGTTCTCAGGCAGGCGTACAGTGAAACTGGATGGGTTGAAGACGGGTGGGTTGTCGTTTACATCGAGGATGGTGATTGTGAGTGGAACGCTGCTGTTTAAACCTCCCACATCCACCGAGACCAGAAACAGCTCCACCCGCGGGACAGAGAAAGCCTCCCGGTCCAGGACAGCACCCCCACGCACCGATACCACGCCTACAGACAGATAGAAAGAGAAGCGTCCTGACCGGGAGTGGGAGTTTATTATAGAAAACCTGTGTAGGTGTTGTTATGCAGAACTGACATTGCAGAAGCAGAAGTGTCTGCATACGTAAGGGAAAAAATGAGGAAGAGCTTGAAGACATGGCAGGCAAAAACACTCTCTTTTCTTACAACTATCAGTTTTGGGATTTTGGGCTTTCTGGTTTTTCATAAATAGTTTCTTCACTTGAAAAAAAACCCTTTATCAATTTGTGTCTGTAGATATCAGTTAAAATACATCAGGGGTCACCAAACTTGTTCCTGGAGGGCCGGTGTCCCATAGATCTTAGCTCCAACCCTAATCAAACACACCTGAACGAACTAATCAAGGTCTTACTAGATATACTTAAAACATCCAGGCTGGTGTGCTGAAGCAGGTTGGAGCTAAACCCTGCAGGGACACCGGCCCACCAGGACCGAGATTGGTGACCCCTAAAATACATACTTCTTTTAACATACAAAACATATTTAGTTTTTTTTTCCTTAATTTTTTTCTTCCGCTGTGAGCTATAAATCATCACTTACATATACCGAGCTTCACAGTTTTATTAATATCCCCTTGGTAAAAACAAAAAATATAAGATTTACTTGGTGTCAACAAGAAAAGACATGACTTCATCCACCGTTCAGATTTTTGTGCTAGAAATGTACATAAATGAACACCGACATTTGCATATTAAAATCACATTTTAGAATATTTTTAAAACAAAATTCATAATTTAATAAGTGAACTGGGGAAATAGAGTGATACATGTAAAAAAATAATTTTTACATTTTTTTATCTAAACTTTAAGTAAGGAAAAATGGAGTTTAAAATGCAGAGATTATTATAAGTAAACTAATTGTAAACAAGGTGGATTAGATATTTATGACAAAGAGCATTTGAGTATGTGCATAATTTCAAACAACCAGGCCCGGATTGGCTAATCGGGAGGACCGGGAGAATTCCCGGTGGGCCGGTCCGTTTTTTGGCCGCGAGGCGCGGTGTCCCTAGCTCCAGAATCTGTTGCTCTCAGCAGTCACACTTTTTAAATTAATTTATTTATTTGACCACAGTCTTCTTATTCATTATTTTACTGTAGCTCTGCTCTGTATATACATAACCAGCCTGCAGGTTATTGATGATATAACTAAGATGAGCCACCATTTGATATACAACTGCTGTGGTCCAGTGGTTAGCATGTTAGATTATGATGCCACCGACTGGGGTTTGATCCTCATCTGAGTATGTTTTTTTTATTATTTTTTTTATTGTTAAGACATATAATACTGTTAGGGTTGTTGAACATTTGAAGTTCTAAAGCAGCTATTTTCTTAAAAGACGTGATAGTGTAATTAGAAACTGAATTGGAAATGACCTTATTTTATTATAGTCAGTCGTGAACTGAGGTGGGCCGGTCTGAGGCTTGAAACTCCAGGGCTGAAAAGGAGTCCCACTCCGGCCCTGGTGACAACCTAGTGTCCAATATATAAGCCTAATATTTGTCCTCTGAAAGCTGATATCCAAGATAATAGGCTATCAGAACTCTTCTGAATTAGTCTGAAACATATACAGTTGAAGTAAGAATTATTTTCCCACCTGAATTATTAGCCCACCTGTTTATTTTTTCCCCAATTTCTTTTTAACGGAAAGAAGATTTTTTTTAACACATTTCTAAACATAATAATTTTCATAACTCATTTCTAATAACTGATTTATTTTATCTTTGCGATGATGACAGTCAATAATATTTTACTAGATAAGTAAAGATTAACTAGGTTAATTAGGTTAACTAGGCAGATTAGGGTAATTAAGCAAGTTATTGTATAATGATGGTTTGTACGGTAGACTATCGAAAAATATAGCTTAAAGGGGCTAATAATTTTGTCGTTAAAATGGTGTTTAAAAAATTTAAAATTGCTTTTATTCCAGCCAAAATAAAACAATTAAGTCTTTTTTCAGAAGACAAAATATTATCAGACATACTGTGAAAATTTCCTTGCTCTGTAAAACATCATTTGTGGAATATAAAAAAAAGAAAATAAAAAAAAAGAAAGAAAATTTAAAGGGGGGCTAATAATTCTGACTTCGACTGTATATTATTTTGTTTTAGGTGCCTTTCAAAAGGCTGAAAGTTAAAATCCAAGGTAATAGGCTATCAAAACTCTTCTGAATTAGTCTGTAAAATAAATATTATTTCATTTTATGTGCCTTTCCAGAGGCGTTGTGATGATTTAGTCAACAATAATAGCACTTATAGATGGTATGCCGTTTCCATTTTGCTCCTTTTTTCTTTACCTTCATCTTTCTATTGATTTACTTAATTATTTATTTTTAAGCATTATTATAATTACTTTGCTCTTAAAAAATTGTTGTATTTATTTGTTTGGTAAACGATTAGTTAGCCTCTTTGCCTTTATACTTGCCTTTATAGCACATTTGGAGTGTAACCCATGGGACATTCTTTGTAAAACCTGCCTCTGATTATATCTCTGAAAGCACATTGTACATTCATCCAGATAACTTTAATGTCCTCTAACATGTAAAAAAAAAACCTCTTCTGAATTATAATTATTAATTCAAAATTAATTTTTGAAGGTAGCAAGGATGCATTATTCATTTCCTTTCATATACGATAAACATATCCCAACTATTCCTGCATTTACTGCCCTTTTTAGCAAGAAATCACTAGGCTCACACGGAATCTGCGTGTGCAGAAATCTGTAGATTTCTTTACAGATTTTTAGCTGTCTAGATTTTTCTGTCTTTTAGTAGACATAATATATGTGAGACTTGCTTTGTTTATCAAATAAGTGGATCTAACTAACATTAAAAAAAAGTTAAAAAGGTTTTTTATTTTTATTTCATATATTAGGTTTTTTGGTACAATGCTCCAAAAATCATAAAAAAAATAAAATAAAATAAAAAAGAAATAGCAAAAAATGTCCACAGATTCTGGCCCTAGTTATCACCAAAGCTCTCTCTGTTTTGCTATAGATCAATAAACCTCTATGCTGACTCAGAAAACTGTCCAAAATCTAAAATTGAGAGTTTATTATTATTATTTTTTTTTAAAGATGACTTTGTTTTTAGAAAGCAGGAAAACAAATGGACATAAGCCACAGCCTCTGTGCTGAACTTCTGACCTGTGCGGGAGTCAATGGAAAAGATGTCCACTCTGGTTCCCAGCAGACCGTAGCTCACCACTGCATTCACACCAATGTCTTTGTCCTCTGCTAACACGGGGCCGTTCAGAATCAGCACTGTAGTGCCTGATGGAGAGAGAGAGAGAGAGAGAGAGAGAGAGAGAGAGAGATGTTTTAACACACTTTATTTAACTAATACAATAAACCACAACAACATTCCAAACTGACTTATCCCAAAAAACCTTGTTGCAACACAATAGTAAAGACCAACAAATCTTCTGTAACAGTACACATAATTTAATTAAAATCACATTTACGAAAAAAACAACAACAAAAAAAAAACATACAACATCACTCATCATTTTAAAGAATTCATCTTATCTTGTTATATAAACAGCAAGGTTTCTTGAAACAAAAAATATTTTTTCTTTGGTGCCACTATATTTGTGGCCAAGAATAAATGTCTGATAAGAGAACATCTCTCTAATATTTATGAAAGGCACATTATGAAATCAAAACAAACTAAAGCAAAAAGAGAGAGAAAGAAAGACAGGGAGTTTTATTTATTTTATTTTAATTTGTATTGTAATTGAATTATTATTATTTGTATTAATATTTTTTTTTCCTTCTACTAATACTGCTAGTACTATAACTTACTATGTTTTAAGTATATATGTACAGAGCTCAGCCTAAATGAATACACCCCTTTTCTCAGTGAATATAGCTAATATATTTTGGTGCAAAAAAAATTAAAAACTAAAAAAAATCATCAACAATTTTTTTTTCTCTTGATTTTTGCTCTTTAAAAAAATAATTTTTCTCCCAACAAATTTGAGCTACTAATTTTTGTACGGCAGCACGGTGGCACAGTGAGCAGCACTGGCGCCACACAGCAAGAAGGTCGCTGGTTTGAGTCTCGGCTGGCTCAGTTGGCATTTATGTGTGGAGTTTGCATGTTCTCCCCATGTTGATGTGGGTTTCCTCCGAGTGCTCCTGTTTCCCCCACAGTCCAAAGACATGCCCTATAGATGAATTGGGTAATCTAAATTGTCTGTAGTGTATGAAGGTGAATGACAGTGTATGGTTTCCCAGTGATTGATTGCAGCTGGAAGGAGATCCGCTGCATAAAACATATGCTGAATATGTTGTCGGTTCATTCCACTGTGGCGACCCTAGATTAACTAAGGGACTAGGCTGAAAAGAAAATGAATGAATGAATTTTTGCACTGTTATTGTAAACTATTTTGTTAGATAAGCTCCAGATTGGGCTTCAGTACTGACTAATCTAAAGCATAAGCATAAATAAAAATATCGTATAGCTTCCTATAGAAAATATTAATTAATAATAATAATTTTAATGAGAGATTTGTGAGGGGTGTACTTATATATGCTGAACACTGTATGTTCTTTTCAATGTAAACTAAACTTTATAAATGCTTTAGCAATACATTTGTAACTTTTGTCATGCCAGTAAAGCAATTATTGAATTGAATTAAGAGAGCTACAGTAAATTAATTTTTGTACTTTGTCATATTATTTAAAAAACCCAACAAATGTACATTTTACTTCAGCCATTTTTAAACATTAGTTCTCCATCTTGAACAGAGCACAGCATATCTTTAGAAATCCACACATTTTCAAATTCTTCAATGTTCTTGACATTCTTATCAAATACAAAATCTAAATAAATTTGATTTGAAAACCCTGCACCACATCTCAACAAACTTCATCCTCTGTCCTTTCTTTTCTTGTTATATAAATCGCAGATTGGCATTTCTTACAACAAAATTAATAATTTGCTCTTTTTTTCTATTTTTTTGCAAACCTGAAACCAAAAATGAAACCAACGTTAGAAAAAAAATAACAACCTTAGAATCTGCAAACATAAAACTAAGCATCAAAACCAAACCTGAATGCCTTTCACACTGTTCAAAACTATGAAAAGAGAGAGAGAGAGAGAGAGAGATAGGCACTATTCATGTGGTATTTATTTTGCCATCATTATATATTAAATTAGCCACAACTTCATCTGCCAAAGTTAGTCATAATTCATATTTTATGACTAGAATAATAAATCACGCAGTGCTGCTTCTTTGAGGCCAGACGGAGTTCATTCTTCTGATGGAGTGTGCATTTTTTGTGAGTATGGATTACATTAGCAACTGAACTTCAAAAAAACTTTGACCTAGAAAATGCTGAACTGAATAATGATGACTATTGTCTTCTCTAGAACTGCTAACCAGCTGAATCAGATTTCTGAATTATTAGAACTGTTAAGATGAACAATGAACTAAACTTATTAATAATGAAATCTTTAGATCTGTTTTTTTTATTATTAAAATTTTTCTGGCAAGAAATAGCAAAATAAAAAAAAATGTAGAAAATGAGAAGAATGCCTGGCTCCAACATTAGGAGTCGAGAATCAGAGTCGACTCCAAAAAACTCAAAACCGAACACCCCTAATCTAGAGTATCTTTATTGTATAACAAACTCCTATTTAAAAAAAAAAAAAACTCTATCAAGCATCTTTCATTAATAAGTGTCAGGATGTGGTGAACATTCAGTACCTGTAGGTGAGTTTTCACTGATCTCGCCCCTATAGCTGGACTGGCTGAAAATAGGCCTGTTGTCATTCACATCCAGCAAAGTTACAGTCAACAACTCTGAGTCCTGTGCAGAGAGAGAGAGAGAGAGAGAGAATGCTTCACCTGAGCATCCCATTCAGTGAATCTCGAATTCAAATATTGTTTAGTGCTTACTCTGCGTGCGATGCGAGGGTTGTCTGGGTTGTCTTTGACAGTGATGGTGAGGCTGTATTCAGCAACTCTCTCTCTGTCCAGCGGCCTGTTCACCTGAACCACACCTGACTGGAGGAAAAGACCACATCAGCGTACTGTCAAATGACTGCTTATTTTAAAAAATTACAGTTAAAGTCACAGTTATTAGCGCTCCTGAATTATTAGCCCCACTGTATATTTTTTCCGCAATTTATGTTTAACAAAAAGAAGATTTTATTCATCACATTTCTAAACATAATAGTTTGAATTAGTCACTTCTAATAATTAATGATTCTAATAATTTCTTTGCCAAGATGACAGTACATAATATATATAACAGTAGTTTGTTCAGTAGACAACTGAGTAATATATTTCTTATGAAGGCTAATAATTGACCTTAAAATGACATTAAAAAGTCAAACTGTTTTTCTTCAAGCCAAAATAAAACAAATAAGACTTTGTCAAAAAAAAAAATATTATAGCAAATACTGTGACAAAATCCTTGCTCTGTTAAACATCATTTGGGAAATATTTAAAAACAAAACAAAACAAAAAAAAAATCTAAGGGCTAATAGTTTTGACTTCAACTGTATAAAAGAGCTTCAGGGGTAAATAAAGTATCGGTGTTCTTTTGATATGGGATAATTAAAATAAACAAACAAATCATCAGTCCAACGCACTCGAAAAAGTAGTGAAAAAAAAGTTTAAAAAAGCCTTAATTCACATGGCTAAATTAAAAAGAGCACACAATTACACCTACATGTTTATTCAGTTGATGTCAGAATTAATCAACGTTCTGTGAATGTTTTTATTCTTTTTCAAATATTTCCCAAGTGATGTTTAACAGAGCAAGAACATTTTCACAGTGTTTTATTTAATTTTTTTTTTACTGGAGGAATTTTTGTGTGGCTGGAATACATTTTTATTTTACAGTCAATAATAATATACCCCTTCAGAATATTTTTTTCAGAATGGCTACAGAACAAACCAAAAAAAAAAAAAAAAAAAAAAGAACTGGAAAAACAAAGTGTAGGAAAAAAATATACTCATCATTAAATAGCACTTTTTAGTTTTTAGTTTTAAAAATAATTAAAATTTCACAGGATGACTAATAATTCTGACTTCGACTGTACATGTGCATTTAGAGTTCATGTAAACAACCAATATGCCACATAACAAGTTAAAATGTCTAAACAGTACAGAAAATTATATAACTCCATATGTTAAAGAAGAAGAAAAATATTATAATACATTGTGATTTCCAATAGTCAAACAGGCCATGCTAAAAGGGAAAAAAGATCAAAATTTCAACAATAGGGAAATAATAAAATATCCCAAGAAAAATGTTAATATTGTATTATAATTGTTATAACGATTTTATAGTTACATAAATACACTACCTGACAAAAGTTTTGCCGACTATCCAAGTATTGGGAGTAACAAATAATAACTTGACTTCTAGTTGATCATTTGGTATCAGAAGTGGCTTATATGAAAGGCAAAGGCCTCTAGATTATGCTTATTTTACCAAAATAAAATATGATCATGCTTTAATTTTTAATTATTTAATTAGGACAGTAAGGTCTGACTTTGCTTAGACAAAAGTCTTGTCACTTAACAGAAATAATGTACAGTCTAGAACAGGGATCACCAAACTTGTTCCGTGTCCTGCAGATTTTAGCTCCAACACGAATCAAACACATCTGAACTAGCTAATCAAGGTCTTACTAAGTATCCTTGAAATACCCAAGCAGTTGTGTTAAGGCAAGTTGAAGCTGAACCCTGCAGGGACACTGGCCCTCCAGAACCAAGATTGGTGACCCCTCATCTAGAATATAAAGTCATGGTGCAGCGGAAAAAATAAATAATGTTGTGTATGACTCCCATGAGCTTGGAGGACTGCATCCATACATATCTGCAATGACTCAAATCACATAATAATAAAGTCATCTGGGATGGCAAAGAAGGCTTCTTGCAGGACTCCCGGAGTTCATCAAGATTCTTTGGATTCATCTTTAATGCCTTCTCTTTCATCTTACCCCAGACTTGCTCAATAATGTTTAAACTGGTGACTAGGGTGGCCAATCCCGGAACACCTTGACCTTCTTTGCTTTCAGGGACTTTGATGTGGATGCTGAAGTATGAGAATGAGCGCTATCCTGCTGAAGAATTTGCCCTCTCCTTTAATTTATAATGGGCAACACAAAGGTCTTAATACCTCAGGCTGTTGATGTTGCCATCCACTCTGCAGATCTCTCGCATCCCCATCATGAATTTAACCCCAAACCATGAATTTTTCCTTCACCAAACTTGACTGATTTCTGTGAGAATCTTGAGTCCATGCACTTTCCAATAGTTCTTCTGCAGTATCTGTTATGATTGGGATGCAGTTCAACACATGATTCATCAGAAAAAATAGACCTTCTGCCACTTTTCCAAATGATCAACTAGAAGTCAAGTTATTACTTACGGCTCTTCCAACTGGGATCAACAACAAAACTTTTGTCAGGTAGTCACTTTTTTTCTTTGCCTTAAACTGTTGATTCATTTAACTATTTCTTTTGATCCTATTTGTCTCACCGTCTCATTAATGTAAAATGCTCCGTCACTGTTCCCGGCAGTGATGCTGTATGTGAGGAGAGCATTGCGGCCACTGTCTGAGTCTTGTGCTCGTACTTGTATGATGAAGGTTTGGACCGCAGCGCCTTCACTCACACTAGTGTTAGCCGGGAGGTTAAGCAGGATGGGGTCATTATCATTAATGTCCAACACTAGAATCCCCACTACCACCTAACAGAGAAAAAAAAAAAAAAACATTAGATGAATTATGGGAAATGGGATTCATTCCAATTTAAATTGCACATATAACTTGACTGAAAGGGCATCCACTGTTTAAAAAAACATGCCGGAATAGTTGCCCGTTCATTCTACTGTGGCGACCTCTGATTTTTATTTATTATTTATTTATTGCCACATCAGCAACTTATGTCTATTTAGTGGCAAAATGGAAATACATAAAATATTACATAATAAAAACAAACTCGTATTACACTAAAAAAGTTACTTAGACGATATGATTTTTCAGTTCTATTTTTGATAAATAATTTAAAACTCTTCCTGGTGGTACCCTTTTAAAAATTTCCATCAATGTTTTTGTAAAAGTTTTGTCTAATGGAATTTAAACTTCAACATTCTAATAAAATATGTTTTATGGTAAGAGCAGTTTGCCAGTAATTACATTTAGGTGATTCTTCGTTTTTCAATAAAAATAAATGTGTCAACCTAGAACAGGGGTGGGCAAACTATGTCCTGGAGGGCCGGTGTCCTGCACAGTTAAGCTCCAACTCTAATCAAACACACCTGCTTATAGATTTCTAGTGATCTTGAAGACACTGGCTGTTTCTCAATATGCGTTCTTCAGCGTTCTTGCGTCCTCGTGCAACGTCATCATCAGCTGTCGAAGTTCAGTTCCAATACTCAAGACCGCAAGTACGGAGGACGTGTGAAACTTCCTGGATGTGTTCTTGATATCAAGGTAGCACTGATGCAGACTTGAGCACCGAACTCACTCTGGAAGTCCCAGAAGTCATTGCGACTGGAGATGGGAAGCGCAGCATTTTATTTAGATTTATTATTAAAGTTCAGAGATATCACTTATTTATCTCAGAAGTTTCCCTAAATGAAACGGTGAAAGTAAACATTAACATGAACATCTTAATAAAGGAATAAACACATTAAGGGTATTTGTTTGCTGAAATTCGTATTACAATTTGTTTTTTTTTATATTGTGCAGGGTATATTTATAATGCTTTTATGCAAAGTATATATTTTGAAGAGGGGGGAAACAATAAATCGTTGTATGAGTGCTGTGATGTTTAAATAATTTCCATTTAAAACGCGTGAAGGTCACGTGACCATCAGGAAGAACACAGCATCTCATTTCTTAAAGGACGCGTTCTCTGCCCTCGCGGTCTCCTGAGTTCGTTCTTCCGAGGACACCTAGCAAGACAGGTCTCCACAAGAACGCAAGTCCATTCTCTGCGTTCTTGGAATTGAGAAACAGCCACTGATTAGTTTGTTCAGGTGTGTTTGACTAGTGTTGGAACAAAACTCTGCAGGGACACCGGCCCTCGAGGATCAAGTTTGCCCATCCCTGACCTAGAATGTTCAATTCAACATCTGGTATAGACTGTCTAATCATGCCTGGTCTCAAAATTATAATTTGCTAAATGTTTTTCATTTATTTTCGGGTTGATTTCATGTAATTTATTATTTATGCAGTTGTCCCATTCCCTTTGCCATGTTTCGTTTATGTACAAATGGATTGTGGGTTTCAAGTCCTCAGGTGGAATTAAACATTCGGTCACATTCAAGGAGATATCCTGTTTTGCTTCTTCATCTGCTAGTTCATTTCCATGTAATCCCATATGGCCTGGAATCCAACAGAAGATAATGTTGAACTTCTGATTTTCTAGTGTTGTCATTTACTTTAAAATCATGGACATTATGGGGTGATCACACTTAGAAGCTTCAAGTGCTTGATGACAGGATTTGGAATCTGTGCAGATTAAAAAAGTTACGATGTTGTGTCCTTTCCATTTGTTCTAAAGCCTTATTTATTGCATAAGCTTCTGCTGTTTAAATTTAACTTTCTCCTGGTCACGTGACCATCAGGAAGAACACAGCATCTTATTTCTCAAAGGACGCGTTCTCTGACCTCGTGGTCTCCTGAGTTCGTTCTTCCGAGGACACCTGGCAAGACCGAATCTGAGTACTGGAATCTGAGTACTAAAAACATCTTCTTTAAACACTACTAATGCTTTTACTCCTTTGTCTGTTTTTGATCCATCTGTATATGGGTTCATGATGAGGGAGACTGTCAGTTATTTGTTTGAATTCTTGTTTGTATTTATTTGGGTGAGTCAAGGACTACTTCTGTTTGGTTAAGTTCCATAAGATTCTTATTTTTGTGTTGCCGGCAACCTCTGATAAATAAGGGACTAAACTGAAGGAAAATGAATGAATGAAGATCAACATTTGCATCTGTAACATCTTAAACTACTGTTTGAAAACATAAGCATCAAACTAATTTAATTACCAATGGATCTGTAACTAATTTAGCTTAAACAAAACTGCAATTTGTGTTTGTGCCATCAAGAAGTAATTCAGCATGTTCCAACGCTGACATACTGCCTTTTTACATACTCAGAAGTATGCACTTACCCATCAGTTCATCATTTTTTGTGTAGTAAATTATGAAGTGCGATGAGGGTGTGCTTGCCATACCGTAGCATTGAGCGAAGGCGTTCCCAAATCTTTGGCGGTAATAGTGATGTTGTAATAGGCAATTGTTTCTCTGTCAAGCTCAATGTCTTTCCTCACTCTTAACTCTCCCTCAACTGAGGAGATTACAAACTCATCTGGCAAAGAGATAGACAAAAGGAGATAGACAGATCATTTTTGTATTTTGTGGAAAAGAAAACAACAACAATATAAATTTTTCTAAATAAATCTGAGCTGTGCATCACAGATACACACTTTTCAGGTCCCCTGCGGTGATGCTGTACTCCACTTTTCCATTGGATCCCGAATCAGCATCTGTGGCTTTGACGGTCCAGACACGAGGGCCCGGCTGACCCTCTGTGATCTCAAACGGTCCCTCAAATGGCCTCGGGAAGATGGGTGGGTTATCGTTGACATCTATCACATTCACCAGGACCTGAAGGACAGGACAGTGTGTGGATATGTTATCGACAAGGATTTCTTTGAAAATGTACACAGACATCATCTGTATACTATATACAGTAGGGGAAATTAGTATTAAACATGTAACCATTTTACTCAGAAAACATATTTCTAAAGGTGCCTTTGGCTTGAAATTTTCACCAGATGCTGGTAACAACCAAAGAAATCCATATATGAAATGAAAACAAATCTAATTAGTTTACAAGTGAAGTTATGTGTAAAAAAATGAACTGAAACAGGTAAAAAAAAGTGAACACATGAAGAAAGGGAAGTGTAGAAAGGCAGTGAAGGCCCATCAGCAGCTGAAATCTCTCAGTAGTTCTTCAGCAATCCTCTGTCCTTCCTTATTAGCTATGTTTCCATCCAAATATGCGAATTAACTTTATGCACAAAACTGGATTATTGCATAAAAGATGTGTGAATAAAGCTGCGATGAGTTAAAGCAAACAAAATCGTCCAACCCAGGCTCATTCTGGAAATGTAGCCCTGCGGACGTTTCTGGAGACCGCAAAATACACCCGGGAGGTACGTATTTGTGCAGTTTTTGTTTTTGCGAATCCGAGCATGCGCTGTTCTCGCGTAAAAAGCCGCCGGAGGCCGCTGTCGAGCGGCCGTCATTTTTACTGACAGACAGGCTGAATGACTGAACGACTGACTGGGCGGCCGGCCAATCAGCTGACCCAGTCACCCTCCTCCTCCTTCTTCTTCTTCTTCCCTAAACCCAAGCGATGATTCATGAAAGCCGCGCAGAAAAAGAAAGCCCTCGTCCGATTTTGACCGCGTTTTCCGATTTTACCGCATTCTCGCCTCGTTACGAACTTGTTCGGTTTATTTTTTGGATTCTGTTTTTTGTCTTACCTGATTTCTGGAACTGCTCTTTCCCTGACTCAAACCCAGTTGTTGAGCGCTTCCGGCTCCTCCTCCTCCTCCGCGCCTTCGCCGACGTAACCCGAAGAGCTAACCGGACAAACTGGTTGAAGAGGAGCGGCGTCACACCGCCCCGTAGCGTTCGCTTGAAAAAACTAAATGCGGCCATACGTACCTCTGGCCACGTAAATTGCGGTATCCAGAAATGTCCGCGGGGCTACATTTTCAGAATGAGCTTGGGTTGCAACCGTGACTTCCTGATTAACTTGTGCTAAATATCAACAGTAAAAATGGAATTTGCTGTGGTAAGAGAAGCTGCGTGAATTTTTTCTTTATTTAATAGATGGCTTGCATGTCAGAAGACAATTATGACATGCAATAAGCATGCGGTGGCGTTTGAAAGTGTGAGACGCGGAGCACAGACGCTCTCGATTCTGAAGGTCATTAATAATATAATAACACTAATACTGAAACGGTTATGGTGTTTTAGAATGACCAAAACAACATTTCAGATGTTTAACAATGTGCTCAGCCTGCTGGTTCATCCATTCATACACATTTTTATCATCACATGATCTCTTATAACAAAATCACATGACTTCTTTTAATGCGCATACTGGAATTTGTTCGGTAAAAGTGTTTCAGTGTAGGTTATGTGCATCTTTTCTTACGACAAAAAAAGTTGATCCTACTCAGTTATGCGCATATGTTTTTTGTACGCATTTTCAAAATTTATGTGGATCTTGGCATTTCCATCAGTCGTTTTTATGCACACATCCAAAATGCGCACAAGCAGGATGATGAAGATTAAACCAGTATGGACATTTCAGCAAGAGAATGACCCCAAAACACAGCCAAGGAAACTCTTTGATGATTTCAGAGAAAGCAAATCAAGCTGAAGAATGGCCCAGCCAATCACCTGATCTGAATCCAATAGAAAATAACAATTAAAGCTCAGATTTAAAAGACGAGACCCACAGCACCCAAGATGTTTACACTCTGTTGAAGTCTGTGAAAACTCACACATGAGCAATACAAGTTACTTCATTCTGCATATGAGAGGCGTCTTTAAGCAGCCATCACCAAATAAAGCCTTTTATATAAAGTATTAAATACATTTCAGTAGTTCAGCATTTTCTCCTTATATCATTTGCTTAGTTTTGTTTTATTTTAATGTTTGTATTGTTTGGGTTATAACCTAAACCTGGTTTAATTCCATGTCAACAGCTCCTTTAGAAATATTATTCCCAGGAAAAAAACATGACTTGCTCAATACTTATTTTCCCTGCTGTAACTGCAGGTAACCCATGTTTATATATAATAACCTTTACTGTTAAAAGCTATTAGTTACTAGTTAATTAGTTCAAGTTTTTATTATTTTTATTTGATTGTAATGTAATAATATGGACTTTTTGTAAAGCTGCTTTGAAATGATAATCATTGTGAAAAGCACTATACAATTAAACATTAGTTGAATAAAAAAAGCAACTATGAGGATTATAAACGTGTGTAGTAGATAGTGAACTTACTGTGGTGCTGGAGGTCAGTCTGAGCAGGGGTATCGGACACTGATCTGTGGCTGTGACCGTCAGCACATAGTGACCATTGCTGATCTCGTAATCCAGCGCACTAACCACCACGATCTGACCCTGTGAACACACAAACACACACAATCAACAAACACAGATGAAGGAGTGGATTTTCGGATAAATGTTCACTCCAGGATGGAGTAACAAATATGTTTTTTTTATGACTTTGGTTGAATTTGTGTTTAAGGGTCTATTTTATGATGACCTTAGTGTATTTTAAAGTGTGAAAGAATTTATTATTTTAATGATTCTGTTACACTGTCGCCTCACAGCAAGAAGGTCGCTGGTTCGAGTCCCTGCTGGGCCAGTTGGCATTTCTATGTGGAGTTTGCATGTTTTCCCCATGTTGTCTCTGAGTCCTCCAGTTTCCCCCACAGTCCAAAAACATGCACTATATAGTGAATTGCGGCTGGAAGGGCATCCGCTGCATAAAAGATATGCTGAAATAGTTGGCGATTCATTCTGCTGTGGTGACCCCGGATAAAATAAGGGACTAAGCCGAAGGAAAATGAATGAATGGATGATTCGGTTATTAGAGAAGCTGTCTCTGTAAAAGTTTGTTTATTTTACTGTCCTGATAAAATGCCTGCAAGGGAGCTAGACATCTCTGAGGCAGATAAGTATTCTTTGTGTATGTGTTCTTCATCATTGGAGACATGAAGACGAGCTTAATTTCACTTCTGATCATCCTGACCACAGACACATCCTCCTGTTATGTCTGAACATTGTATGCTTGATGCCTAGGTAATCATTGGAGATGTTGTTCAGAATTATACACACGTGGAAATTTCTATCTCAAGTCTGTTTTAACCAATCAGGTTAAAACACCTATATACAGTGTACACACACACACACACACACACACACACACACACACACACACATATATATATATATATATGACACAATTAGTGACGCAAGTTCGAGTATAATTGCTGTTGATTTGAGACTGTAGCAGAGCGGTCTACGAACTCCTGTGTGAGTGTTGTAGTTGGATCTGCTGATTAAACTGTTCTTTGTAAACTTTCTTTGACTAAATCTCAACAGCACGGTGGCTTAGAAGTTAGCACTGTCGCCTCACAGCAAGAAAGTTGCTGGTTTGAGTCTCGGCTGGGTCAGTTGGCACTTCTGTGTGGAGTTTGCATGTTCTCCCCGTGTTGCTGTGGGTTTCCTCCAGGTGCTCCGGTTTCCCCCACAGTCCAAAGATATGCGCTGAGGTGAATTGGATGAACTAAATTGGCCATGATGTATGAGTTTGTGTGTGTGTGTTTGAATAACAGCGTATGAGTGTTTCCCAGTACTGGGTTAGGGCTGGAATGGCATCTGCTGGAACATATGCTGGGGTAGTTGACAGTTCATTCTGCTGTGGCGACCTCTGATAAATAAGAGATTAAGCTGAAGGAAAATGAATCCCTGACTCTGGCTCTTCTTCATCTGACACACCACTCATTTTGGGGTTAAAACTGACGGTTCCCCAACACAAAAGTAGAGTAGGTGGATCATTCTGAGGAAATTATGAATTTTAAAATTGTTTTGGTTTGTTTTTTTAATGCTTTTAATTATCAAGAATGAGTTAAATTGCTAAAAATCGACATTAATTACAATTTTAAATGTTAATAATACTTTTATTATATTACTCTTTTAGGCCGTACTTACACTAGGTACAGTTGCTTTAAACCGGGCCAAAGCACGCTTGTCCCCCCTCCCGTCTCCCCCGACGGCCCGCACTCACACCACAAACGGGCCTTAGCACGCTTACGTCATCGCTGCTGCGATGTTCAGTGAGAAGCGCTCTCTCACTCAGCAGCACAGTGGAGATTTCTCTAGTTATATTGTTTCAGTCGTTTGTTATGCAGTGACATGCAGTCAAATATTTCGCCAAACAGTCCTTAGGGATGCGGTGACACGCAGTCAGATATTTCGCTGAACAGATCCGCCACTTTTGGCGCTCATAAACAATCATAAAGCTCTCGTGCTGCAGGAATGAGGAGGTCTGCTGAGGGTGCGCACTGCGCAGCTGTCGTACAGTGAGGAGTTTGAGTCTTTAAAAAACGACGGCAGTTTGCGTTCACTGAACAGTAAGAATGATTAATAAATCCATATGAAACAGTCCCTTAAAAGTCACGTCTCGCTTTCAGTTTCGGGTTCAAAGCCCATGTGAACCGCGCTCAGGCCCACCTCTTCCAACCGGGCCAGCGCACTTACACTTTTCAAACGATCCGGGAAACGGGCCTGGGCACGGTACGGATGGCATAATGTGAGTAGGCCCTTAATGTGTTTTGGATCAAACAAATGCAGTCTTGATAATAATAAAGTGACTCCTTTTAAAAACATTACATAATTACTTACTGACCTCAGTGTTTTGGACAGTAGTGTATGGAATAATGTTATTCACGCAATTAAAGAGATAGTTCACAAAAAAATTTAAGGTTTACATTTACTGATACCTCACTTGTTCCAAACCAGTTTGACTTTCTTTCCTCTGTTGAACACTAAAGATATCATGAAGAAACCTGAAAGCCTGTAACCACTGACGTCCATAGCATTTGTTTTTTCTACTATGAAAGTTGATGGATACCGGCAGTGCTTAATTTGTGAATTGCGAGGTCCCGAACAAAAGTGAGCGGGGCGGGGGTGTGGCGGACGACAGTGAAGAGGGTTGGGGAGTCGCAGAAGAAAGCGAAAGTGAACAGCGGTCAGGGAAGGAGGGCGGTTGAGGAGGGGGGTCGGTAAAATGAGGTGCCGGATCAGATCTCAGAGGTGCCGGATCAGGATCTGGCATGTGCCAGCACAAATAAAGCCCTGGTTACCGGTTTTCAGCTGCATTCAAAACATTTTGTGTTCAACAAAGGCAAAACAAAAACTGATTTGGAGTTTGAAACCACTTGAGAGTGACCAAACAGTGAGTAAAATTTCATTTTTTGGTGAAAGATCGCTTTAACTTAAATGTTCCCCTTTAAAAAATGTTTCCCCTTCGCAGCTCATTTAGCTAACAGTGCATTTCTATCAGTACTGGATTACCGTGGTATACTTTATATGCATGCACCTCTGAAAGTTTTAAACAAATTTGGATATTGTTTATGATAGTGCCTTAAGATTTGTCACTGGTTCAAGTGCAGGCACACATCACTGTAATTTACATAAAATGACAGAATGGACCTCATCACATATTTTAGTTTTCATTTTAAAGCTTTAGCTGGTAAATTACCACAGTATAAATCAAATTTGTTAGAGTACTGTTCAAATACTTACGATACCAGATCAGCAGATATACTCTTACTTAAGATGCCATTTTTTCACACAGAGTTAGGTTGATCTGCATTGTCTAAGTATGCTCCAAATGTATGGAATGAGCTTCGAGATATACTACATATGAAATCCGTACCATCTATAGCTATATTTAAAACTATTTTAAAGACTGTCAATTTAGAACAGTGCACATGTTCTAACAATTGATTATGGTTTATACTATTTTTGTGCGTGTCTATGTGTTGCGACATGTATTTTTTATTATTATTTTTGTAACTTTGTCCTATGCTGCCTGTTTTGACCAGGACTCCCTGGTAAAAGAGATATTGTATCTCAATGGGACATTTCTGGTTAAACATTTAAATAAATTAATTAATAAAAAAAAGCTCTTAAAATCCTAATTTAATTTATATATATATATATATATATATATATATATATATATATATACATTTAAGTAGTACTTTTTAATTTATTTATATATAATATACATATTTTTTTGGTCAATATCAGTGTTTATTTTAGTATTTGTTAGTATTGTTTACGTTTATAATGGAATTTTCAAACTCACATTTCAACTGGGATATAAAAGGTGAGGTTTCACTGGGCTATTATGCAAATTTTGTATGTTTGAATGAAAGTAATTATGTAAATTCATTATCTGTGTAATGTTTAACTTTTTGAATAGAGAAAAAAAAACTGTTTGGGCAAAAAATATATATATAAATCAAGTGCTTTAAAACTTCTGAATATTTGGATGATTTATGTACACAAACACAGCAATGTCTCTAACAACCCCGGCTCTGGTTTGTGGTGTGTCATCCTCACCGTTACGCTATTGATCTGAAAGGTCTGTGCCAGGTTGCCCTTAGAGATGGCATAACGGATGGTTCCATTGAGTCCTTCGTCCGGGTCAATGGCGGTGACTGTGGCGATGATGGCTCCTACAGTGTTTGGTCCCTCTCTGAGCTCCGTCACGTACTCTTCCTCTGGAAACTCCGGTGCGTTGTCGTTTTCATCAATTATACGCACCCAAACGGTGGTGGATGTCTATGGAAGTAGATCACAAGCAGCAAGACATTAAAAAAATACTTTTAATAAGTAGGAAAATCTAACGGGACAAATATATAAAGTGTCCTCCACTAATTTTCTACCCTTAGGAATGTTGGTGAGGGGGCTTGACAAACCACTTGTAGGAAATACACACATTCATCTTCATATGCACCAGACACTTTCTTATAAACACTCCATATTTTTGGAAAACATTGTGCAACTTGTCATGGCATATGTACAACTACCTGACAAAAGTCTTGTCGTTGATCACAGTTGTAAGAGCAACAAACAATAACTTGACTTCTAGTTGATCATTTGAAATAGTGGCAAAAGGTAGATTTTTCCCTTGAATCATCCATCGAACTGCATTCCAATCATCACAAATACTGCAGAAGACCTATTGGAACCCACATGGACCCAATATTCTCAGACATCAGTCATGTTTGGTGAAGGAAAAATCATGGTTTGGGGTTATATTCAGTATGGGGGTGTGCGAGAGATCTGCGGAGTGGAGGGCAACATCAGCAGCCTGAGGTATTAAAACATTTGTGTTGCCCATTACATTAAAAACTACAGAAAAAGGGTCAATTCTTCAGCAGGATTGAGCTCCTTCTCATACTTTAGGCTCCACATCAAAGTTACTGCAAGCAAAAAAGGTCAAGGTGCTCCGGGATTGTCCAGCCCAGTCACCAGACAAGAACATTATTGAGTATGTCTCGGGTAAGATGGAGGCATTGACGATAAATCCAAAGCATCTTGATGATCTCTGGGAGTCCTGCGAGAACACTTTCTTTGCCATTCCAGATGACCTAATTGATTTTTTTGTTACACAACTGACTCAGCCGAGGCTCGAACCAGCAACCTTCTTGATGTGAGGTGAAAGTGCTACCCACTGCGCCACCGTGCAGCCCACTTTTCTAATATAATATGTAAATAATATGTAAAATAGTTGTTTCCACACTTTTAGGAGAAGGTTTGAGTGGTCAGTTGGGTCTTGAGGTCAGATAGTCTCCAAAAATATGATCTGGCATCACTTACATCACCGCAAATTGTTTGTAAAGTTTTCATGAACAAAGCATCGACTCTCATCAAACAAAACTTCTCTTCATCTTCAGTTTTTATGTAATGTATTGTTAGTATTTTATGTTAACGTTTTAAGCAAATGTTAAATGATTAAAACAATGTTACTGGACAGCACTGTATGTGTCTCCTCTCAAAATAATCCTAAAAATATAATACAAAAAATAATAATAATAATTTAAACACAATTCCGCAAGTTTCAAAATCTGCAACTGTGACAGTGCAGTTTTCTAGAGAGCAGGACAATGTTTATGTTTGTCTTTGAATGACAGTATTTGCATGTTTCTTCTGAAATGTGGACCTTTAAATTGTGGTATCATAGTAGACTGGAATAGCAAGTTTACATTTGCATAACCTGCTTGCATGTGTGAAGGCAGGAGGTGCCTTTCCACTGGCGATTGATGCTATCAGTGGGTATCAGATGAAAACTGCCACCACAACTCCCCACCAAAATCTCTCTAGAGTTCAGCTCGCAAATGCTGAACCTGATGAACTATGACCAATTATAAAACTGTGAATCTGAAAAGAGACGCGGTGCAACTCTAGACAGTTGAAGTGTGAATGAAACTGAACTTTGTCTGCATTTTAAAAGCATGTGAGAAAGATTTTAAATGAATGAATAGATGTAATTAATTAATTAAAAACCTGTGTTGTAATTAAACAAAGTGTTTTTCTATATACCACAAGTAAACCACTTTCAAGTGAATACTGTAAAAAATGCTACATTTATCAATATGAAGTGCTATACTTTTAAATATGCATTAGAAATTGCTCTGCAGAACTAATACATTTCTATAGATACATAAAGATGAGTGTTTACTACTAATGTCCAGATCTGATCACATGATCTGAAATAGGTTTCAATCACCAGGGCCCGGTTTTTCAAAAGGTTTGATTCGGATAAAATTGATCCAGATTTAGTAATCCTGTTTTTGCGATCCGTGATCAAGTAATCCAGCTTACTTTTTGAGCCAGTTTTTCAAAGCAACATCGGATTGGATCAATCTGATCCGGATAGGAACTTTTCAGGATCACTAAATCTGGATAACCAGTGCTCAATCAGCATAGGACATCACAATGTAGAACTATAGATATGTAAAGAGCGACAAGTAGAATAGCCAGCGTGGGGTCAATATAACTTTATTTTTATTTGAAATGAAAACTAAGAAAATGTAATAATTATTAAAATAATAATAATAATAAATAATAAAACAAGAAAAACAACACCCCATCCTCTTTCAGCAGTCCGCTCATCTGAGACCTACAACACAAACACTGTACATTGAGGATATTTATAATAAGTTTCAAATATAGATGTAAATAAAAAAAGAGTTAATGTCAAAAACTCCACAATAATTTCAGACTTCCTCATCTGATGTGGAGAGAGCAGCTTGTCTGAGCGTAGCCTTTAGGAGGCAAATCTCAAGTCATTGGTCTTGCTGCAGTTTGGTTAGAGTCAGTTTCTCTGCCAGACGAAGCTGTGCTTCTGCCCTTTCAGTCTCTTTTTGCAATTGTTGAAAGTGATTTCAAAAATCAGTGATTGCCATTCTTTGCAATTTTTTTTTGTTATTCTGTAATCATTGCATCACTAATAAATATTCTAAAAACAAAAATATTTTCCATTGTGATGACTATATATATCAATTAGAGACAGAATAAAATTGATTGTTTTTGGTCAATTTTCACAGCTTTTTTTTTCATTATTTTATGAGGCCAAACTCTTTCTACTTTGCTGGAGGCATACTAAAAGGCTAAATACATTAAAGCCAATAATCACTATAGCCTGACAGATGAACAAATACAATAAAAACCTTATGAATAAATAGTATATCTGGTAAGATACTGCATGATCCAAAAATAGTATTATTTAATACATTTTTTAAGTTTTCATTACATTTTGGGCGTAAAATCCACGCTAAATCCACCCTTCTGATGGGATCAGTTTAATCCAGGTTTTTTGGATTAAAGTGATTCAGATTCTACAAAAAAGTCTGAAAAACCCAATACAAAGGTTTGATCCAGATCAAAACCAAGATTGGATTACTTGATCTAATCCGATTACGTAATCCGTTTTTTCTTTTGAAAAACCCATTGGCCCTGGGCCCGGTTTTTCAAAAGTAATCCACTAGGATTTTGGATAAGGGATTGGATCAAATCTTGAAAATGGGTACAGAGTTAGACTATGGGCACAGAGTTAGACCTTTTTCTTAAGAAACAGCATTGTGTGCCGCATGACATCACTTTGTTGCTGATACGCTATTGGTCAAATGCCGGCAAAGTAGAACACGAAAGCAGCTTAAAGCGGAAAGCGCGAGTATATCTGTGGCCTGGATGTTTTATATAGTTGATGACGACAACATTGTCATAGCAAACTGTGAGATATGTAAACTTGGGATTGCCTGCCGGGTATTTTAATTTGAGGAACTATTTGGTTTTATATTAATTTTTTTTTGTTATATATTTACTCCTGCAGTAAAATCCAAAAGAGAAGAATTGATGTTATTTATTACATGATTGTTCAAGCTATCTGTAATGAAAGGTCTGACACAGAGGGATCCATTTGCAGTATATTTATTAAACAGTTTAATAATAATAAGCACACAGATGTTAAGTGTGTGCGAACTCGCATCAAACACAGTTGTAGTTAGTCGAAGGGCTGGCGGCAGGCAAACACAAGGTGAGTATTCAGGCATGGGTCAAAGGCAGGCGGCGAGGATCAAAGTCGGTATTCAGGCTAGAGTACTGGTCAGGCGGCAGGCAAGACAGGGTAGTGAAACAGTCCAAGGTTATCAACGGGAAAGCAGGCAAGGATCAGAAACCCTCAGTAGTGTTAGCCGGGGCAGAACAAGACTTCACACTGAAGCAGCGCGTGTGTGTGCTGCTTATATGTGTGAGCTGAGAGATTGGGAAATGTGCTGCAGGTGTATGTGCCAATCAGTCAGTGGGAATGACGTAATGTCAATAGTCCGGTGATGATGACCTCTGCTGGCCAGCGAGGGGAATGACTGGGACGGAGTCGATGACACTACCTCACAGAAGTGCTCTGTTTGTTAACAGAATTGTTGAATATTAAAATAAGGTGAATTAAATAAAAAAGGCAACATCCTGGATCTGTGTCTTCACTCTTCTTTATACTTTTTATGTATTATAGAAGTATAGGATCGTGTTTCGGTATCAAAATCAAATGACTTGGACTCGGAATCGAGGGAAAAAAACCCTGATCAGGACATCCCTATTCACTGCAATGCACCACTTAATTATATAATAAAATATATATATATGTATTTTAATAATATTAAAATATCCAATAATTATTTCACTACACATTACCAAAAACATTTATTCCGATCTAGTTTAAAATAAATATTCAACAAAGTTAAATGATAAAACATTACTAATAAAGATGACTAGCTAAACTAACTCATCAATAACTCTTCTGCATATTGTATAAGCAAATTACAATATATATTGTTTATTGTTATTTTTATTTACAACAAATATATAATTACACAGTAATATACAAAAATAAGCCAGAGTGTACATAAAACATATAGTAATTCATTAAAAAGACTTATAGTCATTAAGAATATTACAAGTCTGCTTTATTTATTAACGATGTTCTCCAAACTTGTGCAGTAGTCCTTAGTCTCTTAAAGGAAATTAATGAAATTTGGCTTTGATCCAGTCCATTTTTTATATGTAAACAGTATGAAACTTTCCCAAAATAATAAAAAGTACAAGGAAAGTAAATTTGTTGCATGTATTGACATAATAAATGCAAATATCAAAATTTTGCAACTTGAATACAATATTTGTTTTCCTTCTAAGAAAATTTTCACACACCCAAATCCCAAAGTGTCCTACACTTTCGCTCCTCGTTAAATGGCGAGTACAGAAGCTGATCTGGGATCAGTTTATCATATGGAGTGCGATCAATCATCGCTTATACATGCATTCACTGAATCAGAGGTTGCATATGAAGGGTGATAGCGGGATAGAATGGTAAAATACGAAAGAATTCCGGCAAAAATGGGAGGGTTCACATGTATGAAGTGAACAGGAAGGAAGGAGGGAATGCAAAATATCTTTGCAAGGGAATGCAAAAACTTAAAATATATATTTTTTCTTTTCACTCTGTTTTTTTTTCCTCCCACCCAGCTTTTTTTTTTCTTTCACACATTTTTTTTCACACCCAGGTCTCCGTATATATACAATAACAAAGCATATGGACAATAGATTCCTTTTCCAATCAACAAGAATAATCAATATCCAAATAAAATCTCTCTAAAAGCTCTTTAGCTGGATATATACAATGTAAGATGTTAAATGCAACTTGTTTTACTTTGTTATTTGTACATATATATATATAACTGTATCACCAATTATAATATTTCTAATAGTTTATTGGTAAATTTTGTTTGATAATATAAATATCTCCTTAAAAAGGTTTTCTTTAACATATTTTCCTTCTAAAGATTAATCTCCATACTCTCTTAAAACGAAGAAGCTGTTGAGATATGGCATCAAACAAAATAGCATGCTCCTAATTTTTCTAAAAATTCACTGTAAGATAATAAATTACCATTTAAATTTAGAAGTTATCTAACTAATAAAATATAAGTTTCATACCAATTTTGGAAAAAGAGAGATTTATTTTTATATTGAATATATTCAATAATATATATTTATATTATTATTATTATTATTATTATTATTATTATTATTATTATTATTATTATTACTCATTTGTAAGTCGCTTTGGATAAAAGTGTCTGCTAAACGACTAAATGTAAATTATTCCAAATAATATATTTCTTTTGGGGAAAATGTGCTTAAATACCAGGATCCAGGCCAATAAAGCTTGTTTGTGAAATTTAGCTAATTTCACTGGAGGTTTGTCAATTTTTAAATCAGCAAATGACATTATTAAAGAGAAAAGTTGTAGTGGGAGGAGTGATTTAAAGGGAGGAGAGACAGAGAGAGACTCTAAACTAGAACTGCTTGTTTTGTGGGTCACTTGTGATATGATTCAGAGCAGTAAGTTACAGTAAGAGCAGTTCACAACTGACGGGAAAAAGAGGAAGACTGTATAAGATATATGTTTGTTAAACTGTAGAGGACTTCGGACGTGAACAGAAGATATTTCAAGAGATTTGTGGACGTGACAGGAGATCAGGACTGATGGATGTATTTCGGGCTGTGTTGCTCTGCTTTCATGTGTTTACTGCGATTCAAGGTAAATCTGCTGTGAACTTTATTTATGGTCTAGACGCGTTTGCTTTTTAATAACTGTTCTGTTCCCGTGCAAAAGCATTAAAGTGACGCATCTGGCTGTTGCGTCGCGTTTTAGATGTTTGCGATTTAATAAACGTCGCTATATAGTAAGCTCCGCGTTCTTTACATTCCTGCGTTTATGACAGTTTATTTACATGTAAAACAAGTCCTCAAGGCTGATCGGGCGTGTGTCAACTTGTTTTACAACCAGCGGTTAACTTCAACAAAAAGACCGTCATAATGTTAAATCTTTCATCTTACAACGCTCCTCCTAATTCACTGACTTCAGTCGCTGCATTTCATTTCTGCTGTGTTAAGGAGTCTAGTTTTAGTCAGGTTCAAATAGATGACAGCCACGATGACATGAAGAGTTTTGGTAAGCTGTCCCGTCTCTGCGTTTACTCTGCCTCGTCCGTCAACGCTGCAAGTGAATTTGACGTGTTTCTGTTAGGTTCATAAATATCGATCACATAAAGTGCGATTTAACTTAAACACTTAGCTGATTGGTTGCATTGTACTTTGTAGTATGTGGGCGTTAAACAGCAAACGAATCATCATCGGTGAAGACTCCGCTTGTTTATTATTTAGTGCATTGAACGCTGCACGTCGACCATGCCCGATTAATATTCATTATCTAAAGTTGGTCATTAGTAGATTTCCTGCTTTATTCACTCAAAACCAATCTTTAAGTATTTGAACGCAGATGCTGATATCTTAACCCAAATTTAGAAGATGATACACACTTTCAATAATTTAATTACATAGCCCACCTAATAATAAAGCACTTTTTTTATCAAGTTTAAAAAATATATTGTCAAACTTGTACAATAACAGAGAATTATGACAATTATATTTATAACTGTAAATGCCACATATAGAAGGAAAAACAAATAATAATAAAAACAGGAAAATAAAACCCAAAAAAGTGGTTTGCTTGAATGGATTTACATGAATTAAAGCTATTACATAATAGAGAGCGAGAAAAGACAATTCTACTCAACAAGGATTTATTTGTCCTTTAAAAGGTTGTCATAATGCATGAACATTTTTGCAATTTTCTTATTTTTAGAAAGAGGAAACAAGAGTCAAATTCAGCAAGAAAAATGGGGAAAAATAAAAGAGATTTAAGCCATTTCTGCTTATAAATATAAGACACATTTTAAACTCTGTGACTTCTGTCATGACTTTTTATAATCATCGAGACGATTGAAAACATGTTACACTGTAAGAAGTGATTAGTTATCTAAAGCAAGTAAACCAATTGCCTTAAAAGCAACAAGTTGACTTCACAAAGATAGAAGTAAACCCCTGTAACTTGTAGCTGTTATTGTTGACTTGATTTTTCTGATTATGCCAATTGAAATCACTTTTTTTAAGTCAACAAATCACTTTTTGCAGTGTTAGACTATTTTAGCATGTCTGTTTTCAAACAATTATTGTAATTATTACAATATTACATATTTGGTGCTTCATTAAGTTTATTTAATCTACAATTATAGTCTGTATTAAATTTAGAAATCACTGGAGTCTGGAAAAGCAGTGTTATTTTAATGTATGTTATTTTTCTAGATACAAAAAAAACTAGAAAAAAAAAACTAATTTGATAAAGGTGTATTGGAAAAAAGTGATTAATTTACTTGTTTTAAAAATAAAAGTGAGTACAATTTGCATAATTATAAAAATGAAGTCAGCTTAACAGTTCCAATTTACAATGGGTTTACTTTATTGTTGTAAAGTCAACTTGCTTTTAAGGTAATTGGTTTACTTGCTTTAAGTAACAAATCACTTTTTACAGTGTATATAAAGACAGAATATCTACACACACACAAATACATTTGCTGCTCGTTCAAACTACTTAACATGAGCTGAATCAACACAGTTCTTGAGATGTTTTTGGCACAACTTAATTGTTTTATTTTCAATCCACTTGTTAACTTAAGTAATGTGTGTTAGGACAACATAAATGAATTGTGTGGAGCCTTCATATATTTGTAACACTTGTACGTTGTTTTAAAAGTGTATTGTAATGGCTGGTTCATCATTTAGCTAGTATTGATTGTCTCCAATTTTAGCAGAGTTGGTTTAAAGGCAGTCGATATCAGATGTTGTATATGTGGGTCTTCAGGAAGTGTCAGTGTGTTTGAGACTTGTTTACAGGAGAAAACTATTAAAGTGAAGTAGCATATCCGTTGAATCAGCTCTCCATAGCAGGGGGTATCGATCTGATGCCAGGCCTACTTCCTTATCAAAGTATGGAGGCGTGATTTTTATTAGAAAAGAAAAGGTTTCATCTTAACACACTGATTTCTCAGGCCTGGTATCTGACAGAGAGAGACTGAAAGATGGGATGAAGGAAGACTGGAAGTCTGTGGATATTGCAGTGGGATTTACATTCCTGACCCCCTGGGTTTGCAAGTCCCCATGAGAGGCTACACAACATCCCCTCAGTCAGAACTAGAAGCTGATTAAGTGAAAACTAAGAGAAAAATAACAGTGAGGAAGGATGAGGCAGCAGCATTAGTGAGGACATTGTCTGTGCACTTTTTTGTTGTCTGCATAATATATGCACAATACCACAAGACTGAATTAGATTTTCTTCTGTAGAATATTCTATTGCTTACTGTTTATTGCATATGGTTGAGGGAACTTCTGTTTTTGTGGGCAGATACTGATTAGTAAGAGGTTTCAGTTGAAACGGGACAGTCCCTCACAGTCATGCAATCTTTGTATGGGAGGGGGTTCTCGGACCCCTACGGCTTTCATTAGCACTTCTTAATGAGCCTCTTACACAAACAACCGTAGTGAGAAATGAGAGCATAGTATGTGTAGAAGGGGCTGTAAAGGGGTTCTACCTTGTGCAAATGTAAAATGCATGTTATTTATGTATTTTTGCCCTATTTGATAAGGATATTCATTCTTTCATTAATTTTCTTTTCGCCTTACTCCCTTTACTAATCTGCGGTCACCACAGCAGAATGAACCGCCAACTTATCCAGCATATGTTTTACGCAGCTGATGCCCTTCCAGCTGCAACCCATCTCTGGGAAACATCCATACACACTCAATCACACTCATACACTACTGACAATTTAGCCTACCCAATTCACCTGTACCGCATGTCTTTGGACTGTGGGGGAAACCGGAGCACCCGGAGGAAACCCACTCGAACGCAAGGAGAACATGCAAACTCCACACAGAAACGCCTACTGACCCAGCCGAGGCTCGAACTAGTGACCTACTTGCCACTGCGTCACCTGATAAGGATATTATATTGAGAAACCACTAAACAGCATATTGAATGCAAGTATGCTCTAAAAATGCTGGGTTGTCATAAACCAAAATAATGTTAAATATGGACAAATTAATTTTAAATGACTCTTTTTTTTTCTTCTTTTTTTTGTCTTTCTTTTTTTGGATTTGTCCATATTTGACCCAATGTTGACCCAACAAAGCATTTTCACACAGTGTAAAGCATCTACTTTATTTAAAATGCATTTTGTGTAAACAGATGTCAAATATTGAGTGAAATGGTGGCTCAGTGGGTAGCACTGCCACCTCACAGTAAGAAGGTCACTGGTTCAAGTCCCGGCTGGGTCAGTTGGCATTTCTGTGTGGAGTTTGCATGCTTTCCCCGTGTTGGTTTCCTCTGGGTGCTCCGATTTCCCCCACAGACCAAAGACATGCGCTTAAGGTGAATTGAATAAGCTAAATTGGCCATAGTGTGTGTGAATAGGTGTACATGGATGTTTCCCAATAATGGGTTGTAGCTTTGAAGGGCATTCGCTGTGTAAAACATAAGGATAAGTTGGTGGTTCATTTCACTGTGGCAACCCCTGATGAATAAAGAGACTAAGCTGAAGGAAAATGAGTGAATGTTTCATTGTCATAAAGCACAAAAGATAAGAGAATGTACAAGAAAGCACTGGCAAAGTATCCTTTTAAAAAATACACTTAAACTGGTACTGTACTTTAAAGTATATATTATCCCTTAAAGTATACACAATAGTACATAAAAGCACAAAACTACCTTTTAAAAAGACACCATTCCCAGTTGTATCCTTATTTGTGCCTTTTTGTTTACCTTTGCAGTCAATTCTTTGTAATACAAACAAGCCACGTGGCCAATCGAAAATAGTTTCTACAGATAATAATAATAATACTGTCAAACCAATCTTCATCACAATGATCTGCAAAAAACACTAAAGATTGTGTATTAGGCCTGCCACTTTTTGTAATGAAACCCTACATATCTGCACACAAACACAGCACTGCAATCCACAGATTGTTGGTTTGGTTGTGATGTGCATGATGTCAGCACTTACACAATTATGAGTTTTTGCAGACAGTTTATAAAAGTAAACATTTTCAGTCCACCAAAACAGTTAGTAAAAAAAGTAGAAAAGTTTTCATTTTTAGTTGAAATCATTGCAAATATACCTGTTGCCAATGTAAATTCAGTTTGGAGGTCCCAGAAACACACAGATAAACATGTTCAGACAGAAACCCTCAGGCAAGGAACATTAGATTATCATTTCACTCAGCTAATTCTGAGAACACTTTAGACTTCATCCATTTTATGTTACAGTGACACTTTAAAATCGTTCAGCAACCAATTTGCACTAAGCGTATGTTGTTATATTTTATATATATATATATATATATATATATATATATATATATATATATATATATATATATATATATATATATATATATATAAAATCAAAGACTTTCTAAGCTTTTAAAGTAACAGGATTTCACGGGGTGGGAAATAGCACCCTGGACCGGATAATTATAAGCACTGATTGGGACCATGAGGACGGATGAGGTTTATAGGGAATAATAGAGCAGGAGGGGTTTGAACTGTATTGTCTATGAGAGACAGGAATGGACACACCGCCCTGAGCTGCACTTTATCACACAGACGCCGTTTCCTATTGCTCTTCCTGACACACACGCACACACATTTAATGCATGCATTCGCACATACTCTTTTAAAGTGATAAATAGTGGGTGGCATAGCCTGACAAGCGGCCGTGCATTCAGGCAGTCAATATTTGGGTCCGTCATTCATAAATATAGGAAATATGTATCCATTCATGAGAAATCGGGGTTTTTCCCACTCCATTTGATTTGCAGAACAGCATGCAGCACTGGCTCATAGTGTTTGTGTGTGATTAAGGGTGTAGGTCTGTTTTGTCTATTACAGGATAGGAAACAATGCACTCGGTGTGCCACCCTTCTCCAAATACACACACAAACTCATAATAAGACTCAAGTGAATGTGCACACAGACACACATGCACACACACACATACACAGGCATGCACACACGCACACATTCATGAATAAGAAACAATGGCAGCAGAGGATTTTTTTTCCCTCCCAGAACACTACATTTGGTTAAAATATATGTATTAGACAAATGTTTTCATGTGTTGTGAACAAAAATTTGGGTTATTTTACCAAATACAAAAACACTGTTTTGGTGTGGCCTAAAAATGTATATTAGCATGCCTGAAATTAATGTTTTGTTGCAAAAATGTTTCTAAAAATTAAATATCTAACACATTTGATTTTATTTATGCACTTACAAACTGTGGCTTCAATTTTCAGAGATTTCTTTAAAATAAATGTGAGATTAAGATAAAGATTCAAGCCAGCTAAAGACTTGCCACAAACATAGAACTGTAGTAAACAAAGTCTGATAGCTGTGCAGAGGTGCACATGTGGTTAGCTGACTGAACTTCACACATTGACACAAGAGCACACTCTATCAGGAAATGAGCAGCTCAAGGGTTCAAGAAGTTCACTTTGTCAAATATAGACATGGCTGTATGTCGATAAATGGATGGCTGGATGGATGGATTGATTGATGGATGAGTAATTGGATAGGGTAAAATGATGGATGGATGGATGGATGGATGGTTGGATGGGTGATGGAATGATAAGCAGTTGGATAAAGGAATATGATGGATGGTAGATGGGTGGGTGAATGGATGGATGGATGGATGGATGGATGGATAAGCAATTGGATGAAGGAATAGGATGGATGGATGGATAGATGGATGATAAAAGAAAAGCAATTTGATAGAGGAATAGGATGGATGGATAGATGAATGGGTGATGAAATGATAATCATTTAGATAGAGGAATAGGATGGATGGATGGATGGATGGATGGATGGATGGATGGATGGATGGATGGATGGATGGTAGAATGATAAGCAATTGGATAGAGGAATAGGATGGATGGATGAATGGATGGATGGATGGATGGATGGATGGATGATAAAATGAAAAGCAATTGGATAAAGGAATAGGATGGATGGATGGATGGATGGATGGGTGATGGAATGACAAGCAATTGAATGGAGTAATGGGATGGATGGATGATAGTATGAAAAGCAATTGGATAAAGGAATAGGATGGATAGATGGATGGATGGGTGATGGAATGACAGGCAATTGGATGGAGGAATGGGATAGATGGATGGATGATAGAATGAAAAGCAATTAGATAAAGGGATAGGATAGATGGATGGATGAATGATGGATGGGTGATGGAATGATAAGCAATTGGATAGAGGAATAGGATGGATAGATGGATAATAAAATGAAAAGCAATTGCATAAAGGAATGGGATGGATGGATAGATGGATGGGTGATTGAATGATAAGCTATAGGATAGTGGAATATGATGGATAGGCGGATGGATGATGAAATGATAAGCTTTTAGATAAAAGAAAAGGATGGATGGATGGATGGATGGATGAATGAAGAGATAGATGGATTATGGAATAAGCAATTGGATAGAGGAATAGGATGATGGATGGATAATAAAATGAAAAGCAATTGCATAAAGGAATGGGATGGACGGATAGATGGATGGGTGATTGAATGATAAGCTATAGGATAGTGGAATATGATGGATAGGCGGATGGATGATGAAATGATAAGCTTTTAGATAAAAGAAAAGGATGGATGGATGGATGGATGGATGGATGAATGAAGAGATAGATGGATTATGGAATAAGCAATTGGATAGAGGAATAGGATGGATGGATGGATGACGGAATGATAAGCAATTGGATAGAGGAATAGGATGGATGAATGACTGGATTGATGAATGAAGAGATGGATGGATAATGGAATAAGAAATTGGATAGAGGAATAGGATGGATGGATGGATGAATGGATGGATGGATGATAAGTAATTGGATAGAGAGATTGGATGGATGGATGGATGGATGACGGAATGATAAGCAATTAGATAGAGGAATTGGATGGATGGATGGATGGATGGATGGAAAAAATGCTGAGTTCAACATAATTCCATCATGTTGTCCTAACACAAATCAAACAAGTTAACTTTATTATTTTTACAAATTTAAGTGGATTGAACAAAAAAACAATGAAGTTGTCCCCCAAAAAATTCAAGAATTGTGTTGATTCAGCTCATTTAAAATAAGTACTTTGAGCAAACAGAGTAACAGTTAAGTATTCTAAAAGAATGAAACTTCACACAAATCATCTATGAAGAGTTTAATTTACATCTAAAAATCTCTCTTTTTTTCTCCAGCGAGTGGTGATCATCACTCTCTCAGAGTCTCTGTGCCTCATCGGACCTACGAGTGTCCCGAAGGTGCTGATGTCATTCTGAAGTGTGTTCCGTCCGGGACCAAGGCTTACCCGCAGGACACCTTCTGGACTACCTGGCTCTACACGCCTCGTTCACAGGACCACTGTCAGAAGGGAGCACATCCGCGCAAGGCCAATCACACCAACCGCTCTCTAGGAGTGGTATACTCCAGCGGAGACAAGGTCTTCTCAGTCTCACTGAAGAACGTCAAGCATACGGACCAGGGCAAATACTGCTGCTGGCTTCTGGACCTCCATGGCAGGCACAAGGAGCAGGAAGCCCATGACTTCATGTACCTCTCTGTGATGCCAAGTAAGCCAGTCAGAGAGTTCAGATCTGAGGTTCATGTATCCATACATGCATGATCTTAATGTAACTTGTTTCCACAGCACCCAAAGATGCACATAATGGGAGTCTGAAATGTTTGGAATATTCTCACACTGCTTCAGATGGTAAGTTTAACACTACACAGATGATTAAAAGGTGCTAAAGAGTATTAGTACTCACGTCCCACACAAACACACACATTCTATGGAACCAAGCTCTACAAACAAATCATTCAGCAGCTATTTTAAGAACTAGACTTTATTTTCTGCTCACCGAAAGTTCCCCTGAAGTTAACAAATAGGTTTGATATTAAGACGCATGTATAATGAGTTCCTCCTAGTTATAGATATGTTTGTGTTATAGATATGATTGTGTGAAAGGTCCCTCAATGGTCACTACTTTTCTGTCTTATTTACTCACCAAAATCTCTTAGAATTGAAACAGAAATATCTTCTGTTAAACTGAAAACATGATTTAATGAATGTTGGAAACCGGTAACTTGATTTTCACAACAGTTTTTCTAACATGGAAGTCAATAGCCACTGCCATCGACATTCTTAAAAATATCTTCTATGTTCTCTATCAAAAGAAAATGATACCGGTTTGGAGCTACTTGAGTGTGAATAAATGTGTGAGTATTTTTAGGAGAGCTAAGGCGTAAACAAGAATGATGGTTTTGAAAAACCCAAATGTTCATGAAGTGCATTTAGTACCTACAAAAACTGGATTTAACTTGTTAATAAATAAGTTTTTTTTCACTGAAATACTGCACACAAATGGGGTCGACTGATTAGTGGATTTACTCGGAATATTCTATAACACACACAATGAAATCAAATAAAATGCTCTGGATTAAAGATATACAGTTGAAGTCGGAATTATTAGCCTCCTTTTAAATTTCCTTTTTAAATATTTCCCAAATGATGTTTAACTGAGCAAGGAAATTTTCACAGTATGTCTGATAATGTTTTTATTTTTTTCTGGAAAAATCTTGTTTAATTTCGGCTAGAATAAAAGCAGTTTTTAATTTATTTATTTTTTTAAACCATGTTATGGTCAAAATTATTAGCCCCTTTAAGCTATACTTGTTTTCAATAGTGTACAGAACAAACCATCAATATACAACAACTTGCCTAGTTACCCTCACCTGCCAAGTTAACCTAATTAACCTAGTTAAGCCTTTAAATGTCACTTTAAGCTGTATAGAAGTGTCTTGAAAAACATCTAGTAAAATATTATTGACTGTCATCATGGCAAAGATAAAATAAATCAGTTATTAGAAATAAGTTATTAAAACTATTATGTTTAGAAATGTGTTAAAAAAAACTTCTCTCTGTTACACAGAAATTGGGGAAAAAATAAACAGGGGGGCTAATAATATGTGACTTCAACTGTATATCTGATGTGTGTGTGTGTGTATAAAGACCAGCTAATGCAACATAATTGATGCATTGTTTTAAGACTGACTTTACCAGAATGTTTACACAATAATAATGTACTAGACGATTCCGCTGATCTGCAAAAAACACCCTAAAGTGCTAGTCCTGTAGTCCGCAATAGTTATTTAGCTTTTCAAGTACCATCATGTCTACAAAATGAACATGTATCCACTTTTTTCACAAAATACTGTCTTTTTTGACCCCTAAAAGCCATTGTAATGGAAATGACTGGTTAAAAGGTATTTAAAGGGGTGGTCCAGGGTGTATTTTTAAGGCTTGGTTGTGTTTATAAGATGCAAAGCAATGTGTGCTCATGCTTCAGTAGAAAATCTTGTTATTTTTTTTCAGATATCTTACTTTGAATATATACAGCTACTCAGCTAACACAAAGAGCTTAGAATCACCAAAGCGCGACACTGTCAGCTGTCTATTGGATCTTATTGCTGCGGTGATGGCAAGCAGCTGCTTTGTTTCTTATTCATTTATTTAAAAAGTGCATTAAAGCTGAGATACAACCTGAAAGATGACAATACAACACTTACTATTACAATCTTTTTTTACCAATACAATCTCTTTTTTAGCACTTTTAATAGTTTATTTTACAGACTTATAATATGCTGTTGTTCTGTTAGAATTTTCACTCCAAAATGCCCGCTGCGCCATCTAGTGGCTGTTTCACAAATTGCACTAGAGTGTCGCCTCTTGGTGATTCTATGCTCTTTTGCTAACATGAAAACAACAGTCATATTTCCTAGTTCCTCCAAAAGGCCTGCCCTCAAGTGGCTCTGATTGGTCAGCTAACATAATGTGCTTCAGGTCAAGCCCCTACAGGCATGCGCTTTTGCCCTGTGTAAACAGTAGCTGAATCAGACAGAAAATGAAAGCACAGAGCTAAGCCTCTCGTCTGCTCAAAATAAAATCTGACAAGCGTCTTTCACATATATTAGGGTAATAAGCATGTGTGAATAATATAAAAAGTATGTTATTATAGATGTAAAATGCACAGAAAGGGTACACAGAGAGACACTAAAAGTGGCAGCATAGAGACACTGCGGCGCTGCTGAAGATTGTGAGTGTTTACAGCAGTTTGGCTGATTAATAGCTTTACAATGCACAGCTTTGTCGGTTGAAGGAGTTTTTAGCGGAATCCAGCAGTAAACTGGGAGAAATTCTTAAAGTTCCCCTTTGTAAAATGCTGGCAATATCTTTTTTTAATATAATTTTCAGGAACATAGTTTAAATTATTCTGTAAGCACTTCTCTCTTTGTGTCGTGTTTTTGAAAACCCAAATACAGAAACAGAAGAAGCTCTGTGCAAATAGCAGCGTTTGGACGGCATTTTAGCTTTCTCTGCTGTAACATTATAACACCTCTGGCCAGGCTCCGTTGCTGTGCAGGGTGTATGGGCAGAGAATGCTTGTAACCTGAAATGCTTGTGATCTCAGTAGCCTGGATGTAATTGTTTTGTAGTCCCCAAATTTGTTCACTGTAGGCTTTGCTAAGCTAACTCTGTAAAATCCAATGTCTCCCTTTGCATTGAACTTTGAGCGTATTACATTCAGAGATGTTGTTTATGTTCACAAAGCTACATTACACATCAACTAAAGTTTAAAATATGATATTGTGGTGGAACACCCCTTTATATCCATCAGTTTTTAGCTAAAACAATGTCATGTAAACGTCCCCTTGGTGTAATTTTAGGATGATTCACAATTTCTTGTCTCTTTTCCACCAGTAATGTCTTTGTGATTGTCTTTTAGACTCTGTGGCTGAAGGTCTGGCTATCGCAGCCTGTGTTGCTTTTGTTCTGTGCCTCCCGCTTATTCTGATGCTGGTTTACAGACAGAGACAAACAGTAGAGCGACACAGACGTGAGTACACACACACAGACACACAGACACACACACACACACACACACACACACACAAACACACACACACACACGCACGCACGCACGCACGCACGCACGCACGCACGCACGCACGCACGCACGCACGCACGCACGCACGCACGCACACACACACACACACACACACACACACACACACACACACACACACACGCACACGCACACGCACACGCACACGCACACGCACACACACACGCATACACACACACACACACACACACAGTTAGTCATGTACTGCTCACACATTTACGCTGACCTACATTGTGTTTGAGAGTGTGCTACACAGCCTGCAGAATGGAAGTACAGTAGCTGCACTCATTCTTTTAAAGAGTCTGCATTTCCTTTCTCACTATGAACCATTTCCTCTTCCTGTTTTTCCCAGGTGCACATGAACTGGTGCGAATGGACAGGTGAGTTTCCAAAGAGACCGAAACACATTACTCTAGACTTAAAGTACATTCAGCTAACTTTAACCCAATTGGAATTGATGCCAAAATCGATATCAATAAAACTAAGTAATAAAAGTTAATATAAAGATAAGAACAAAGCAAATGTGGTTGTTCTAGTTGCAACATTTTAAAAATAATAAAGTATATTTTATGTCTAAAACTTGTTACTGAAATGCATCCAAAAAAATCTCATTTTTTGTTTTAGATATAAATAATTAATAGTCTTGAATAAAATAAATAAATACTGTAAATAAGCATAAAGGCAGTACAGCAAATGCCCTACTTATAACTTACAAATGATATTTATATTCGATCCTGACATTGATCTAGGTTATAAGAGCAACAAATATTAACTCGACTTCTAGTTAATCATTTGGAAAAGTTCCAGAAGGTCGTTTTTTTCGTGATTCATTGATCACCAATTTCGTGATTCAATTGATCATCATTGAACTGCATCCCAATCATCACAAATACTGCAGTACATCTATTGGAACCCACATGGACCCAAAATTCTCACGGAAATCAGTCAAGTTTGGTAAAGGAAAAATCATGGTTTGGGTTGCGACATTACTATCCTAATTAAATAATAAAGAATCAAGGCATGATCCTATTTTATTTTGGTAAAATAAGCGTAATCGGTCACACTTTACAATAAGGTTCATTAGTTAATCTTAATTAATGCATTTACTAAAATGAACAAACAATGAACAACACATTTACTACTGTATTTGTTCATGTTAGTTAACGTTAGTAGTTCATTGTTAGTTCATGTTAACTCATGGTGCATTAACTAATGTTAACAAGCATGGACTTGGTTGTTATTAATGCATTAGTAAATGTTCAATTATGATTAATAAATGCTGTACATGTGTTGTTTATGATTAGTTCATGTTAGTAAATGCATTAACTAATGAACCTTATTGTAAAGTGTTACAGCATATTCTAAGGCCTTTGCCTTTCAAATAAGCCACTTCTGATACCAAATAATCAACTAGAAGTCAAGTTTTTATTTGTTGTTCCTAAAACTTAGATAGGCGACAAGACTTTTGTCAGGTAGTGTAAGTGTGTGTGAGTGTGTGTGTGTGTGTATAGATATATACACACACACACACACACACACACACACACACACACACACACACACACACACACACACACACACACACACACACACACACACACACACACACACACACACACACACACACACATACTAATAGCAATAAACTTGTGAATTATATATATATATATAATTAGCAAGTTTATTTACTAATATGGCAATATATATTATTAATTATTAATATGTTTACACTGCATAATCTTTAGAATAATTTTTTAAATAATGATGATAATATCTATACAGAAGAATGACAAATATAATCTACAAATTAGAAGGAAAATGTCCAAAAAATAGTCCTTAAATAGGCTAACAAATTTTTAGGCAAAACATGATTCAATATTAGTTATTTTTGTATAATCATGAGGTGAAATTTATTCTCAGCAAGTATTTGACAGGTTTTATAGGACTCTAATATACAAATATATTTATACTCCTTTCTTTTTCTCTCTAGTGAAGCACAGGGGCATGAGAACCCAGTGTTTTTGGGTGATTCTCCAGAACCTAAAATGCGGACAGTATCCCAAATAATGATGAGGCAGCCATCTGAAACAGGACACCACCTCCTGTCAGAACCAGGAACTCCATTCTCTCCAAACATACAAGGAGAACTGTTTTTCTCAGCACAGGGTATGAAACACACTCTCTCTCTCTCTCTAACACACACACACATACACACATAGAGTACACAGTCATCCAACGGCTCGATAGCTAAAGCTTGTCACTGCTAAACAGGCGACAAGAAACATCTGTAGAAGCACTACACACAAAGATACACACACAACCATGACACTCTCACACAAATGCACACACAGCACTTAAACAGAGTTTTTCGTCTTCTTGAATTTCCCCTTCTTATACACAAGCCAAACCCACTCGTTTTCAAGGAGCAATTTAAACATGCGTACAAATGTGCATAGATCCAGATAAAGTGTGTGTGTGGGCGAACGTCATGAAGTCCAGCTCACAGACAGACATACGCCTCCTCTACTTAACCTTTAACGCAGCGGAATTTACAGAAAGTCAGTTTCCCCTTTTTCTCCCTCATTTCACAACACGCATTTCTGCTTCTGAGATTCTGAGAAACCGAGAACGTGTTAGCATGAGCGTCTGCTTTTGTGTGTTTCTCCATTATATCGGCTCATACGCGACACAGCTAATGTTAACATTTATCAACTCACTTCCTTAATGTCACTTACGTTGGAGTGCAAGAGAACATTTTGTGGTCTAAAAGATAGGGTGGGAATTAATTTCAAATTACAGTGCTCAGCATAATTGAGTACACCGAATTTTGAAAATAAGTATTTGGATCCATTTCTCAGTGATTATAAGCAATGTATTTTGATGCATTTAAACAAAACAGATTTATTAAACAGATGTGTTTATTAAAATAATATTTTAGTGACCAAACATATTCAGAAATTGAAAGATAATACAATTAAATTCAAGCTAAATATTGCAAAAAATAAATTATTACAACCTACAATACTTCAACTCAATTTTTTTATTTTCTCTTGATTTTTCCTCTTTTTTTAAATTGTATTTAATATTTTTCTATAACATATAAATTTATGTGTACTAGTTTTTGTATATATTGGGGGATTATTGTATTTTGTAAAAAGATTACAAACATTTGCAATTTTTCCCCTAGTTTTTTCATGAAAACAAACCAAATTTTTAATTAGATCTAGAAAAATCTGAAAAATCTCGTTAGATCCTGAATAAAATAAATAAGTACTGTAAATAAACATAGGCAGTAGCAAACACACTAAATATAACTTAATTTTTTTTTTTGCGACTGAGTATTAATAATATGCTTACATCACATTCTTTTTATAAAAAAAATATTCCCCTTGGTATGCACAAGCCAAACCCACTCAAGTTTCGAGTTCAACTTTCATGTGTTTCTCCATTATATCGGCTCATACGCAACACAGCTAACGTCAACATTTACCAACTCATTTTACTTCTTCAATGTCACTTATGTTGGAGTGAAACTGAATATTTTGTGATGAAAAATAAAGGGTGGAAATTAATTTTATATGATTTCATATTATATATATTATGGGAATATTGTATTTTCTTAAAAGATTGAATTAGAATCTGGAAAATCTCATTTTTGTTTTTTAGCTTAAATAAAATAAATAAGTACTGTACATAAACAAAATGGCTATAGCAATTAATTTTTTTTGCAACTGAGAATTATTAACATGTTTACAGTACATTATTTTTTATAAAGAAAATATTCCCCTTGTAATAAACAAGCCAAACCCACTCAAGTTTCAAGTTCAAGTTTAAACTTTCATTTGTTTCTCCATTATATCGGCTCATACGCAAGACAGTTAACATCAACATTTACCAACTCAATTTACTTCCTTAATGTTACTCATGTTGGAGTAAAACAGAATATTTTGTGCTAAATATTATACATTTAAATTCTTTTAATTTCATATTATTTCACGTTATATTCTAGGTTAGTCATGCATGATACTGGAATTCTGTACCAATCGATACTGGAATTTTAAAAATGTTAATTTCTCGCTAACATTTAAGTGTGTTCTTAAACTAATTTCCCATTGTGTTCACATGCTCAACAGAAATGACTGTGATTGGCCGTGAAGGTCATCATCAGTTTATCGAACTTACTGCTGTTTACTGAGTGTAAACACAGATAGAACTGAATCGTTTCAAAGTTACATCGATCAGCTGGTTTGTCTAAAAGCTGACATATGAGTGATCCGCTGATGAATCGCAGCTTTAAAACTGGTACCGAATTCCAGTATCGTGACAACCCTAATATATATGTTTTGTTAAAACACTACAAACATTTGCATTTTTTTTGTTTTTTTTCTGAAAACAAACCAAATTTTGAATAATGTAACACACATAATTTGTTTAAATCATGTTTTTTTTTAACCAATGAGATGTATTTCATGATAAAGTATCCCTTTGTTGTATGTTGATTCTCATTACTGTAATAATACTTTGTAATAAAGTAAACGATTACCGTAAATAAGCGTAAATTGAATGCAGTGTCATTTAAAAATTAAATAATACATGCTTATTTTTGAGGAAGTAAATAGGATTAATAATTTTGTCATTGCTATCCTGACCCAAATTGCATGACACATACAACATGATGCATTTTTGAAGCTCAGTAAAACATGGCACTATGAATGTCAAGATCATGGATTTTTTCACAGGAAATAAAAAAACCCAATAGAAATGTGCACATTAGATGCAGTAGAACTCGAAGTGTTTGTTGAATGCATGAAAGCTGAAACAGTTATTAAATGACATAGAATTACTACTACTACTACTACTACTACTACTACTACTACTACTACTACTACTACATGTAAACATACGCTAATATTTGTAATGCAAAGCTTCCACTAACTGCCACCCACACTATTCATTTACACTAAGCTGCAAAAGCATTGCCATCTCCACATTTACATATAAAACACCCACGCAGCATGGCAAGACAAATTATTACCATATGCAAACACTTTACATAATCATGTCACTTGGATATTACATGGAGGCTTGAAGAGACAGTTCATGAAAAAATACTCTCCATTCACTTGTTCAAAACTTGCTTGAGTTTCTTTCTTCGGTTGAACACAAAATAAGATATTTTGAAGAATGCTGGTTGCTGCCACCCATTGACTTCTAAAGTATTTTTTTTCCGACTATACATGTCATTGGGTGCCAACCAGCATTCTACAAAATATCTTATTTTGTGTTTGTGTCGTTTAAAACAACAAGAGGCATAAAAAATTAGAAGGTCAGTTTAATTTTTTGGGTTAACTGTCCCTTTAAAGCAGGGGTGTCACACTCAGTTCCTAAAGGGCCGCAGCTCTGCACAGTTTAGTTCCAACCCTGCTTCAACACACTTACCTGTGGGTCTCAAACAAGCCTGAATGACTGAATTATTTGGATTTAGTTTAGTTTATTTATTTATAAAGTGCAATAAAACAACAGCTGTTGAAAACTTTTGTTTTTTTCCAGGTTTGCCAGAAAGCAATATCTGAGCATTTCACAACGCGATCACAGGGAAATTTCATCAAGAGGGTCCAAAGATGTCCTTTTTATGCTGTTCGAGTTGCACACACCTCTGTTTATCACAAGCTGAGATGCACCGCGGCTTCATTTGCACTTAAATATGTCTCTTTTTATCCAATCTGTATCTCTTCTAGACTTCAGGGATATTTTAATACCTCACGCTCTCTTGTTTTGGAGTACTCAGCGCTTCTTGAGTACTTCCTCGATGCAAACTGCCAAAGCACTCGCTTTGTCGCTGAATCAATGCTGGTGCTGGTCCCAGATTTGAAGGTTGACCAGACGAATCAGCAGATCTCAGAACTTCTATGACTGTGCTTGTTTTAAAGCTTCAAAACTGCTGATGATGCCACAAAGGCTCTATCCTGGGACCTTCACCGTTGTGAATCAGTGAAAAAGCAATGTTCTCGAAACACTCGCCATCAAGCCTGCTGAGCAATGATGGGCTTTTTAAAATCTTTTCGCGGTGAGTGTGGTGCTTTAACCATATTTGTAGCTTATTTTAAATGCATTCTTGAAGAACGAGTGCAGATGATTGTGGTAAATGTTGCATTGGTGACAATCAAACACAGTTGCGCCTCTAACGTCACCTGTGGCTTTAAGGAGCTGAAGACTCATGAAAGATTTTTATCTTTTGTACTCATTTTTTTATTGGATGTGTGGGGTATGAGTGAAAGTGTATAACTGTTCCTTCAAATGGTAAAAAAAAATAAGCAAAGAGCTTGTAAACAGGAAGCTTACATTTAAAACCACTGCCATAAAGAGTGCCATAACCTTGCTTTGTATATGAATGAAGAATGATTGCAAACACACATTGTAAATATGCTGATGAATTTGCCAGTTTGTACATTTGAACATGTGACTGTATAAAAGATGTAACATATATGTAGCTCTGATGACATGTCAAAAAACAAATGCTTATTACTCTTTTATAAAAGTACAAAGAAAATAAAAAGTTCTGCTGAAAGTTGAATGTCTCCGTGGTGTATTTATGCAACATTTAAAGTTGCAGTAGGTGATTGTCTTCAGAAACATTTTTTGTAGTGCTGGATGAAAGTCTCTTCACATTCCTCTAGTAATGATTAAAGTAAATGATTTAAATGTATTTATGTATTTTTATATATTGGGTAAGGCATAAGACAAATGTTCATCCAATTAAAAGTTGTTAGGCTGACAATTCCCATAATTCTGATAAATAGTCCAAAACGGTCTGTCAACAAATGAAGAGTTTAAATGCCTAAACCTCTAATGCCATCTGAAGTTTTCCTCTAAGGTGAGCATTTTTATCAGGCTCCTGTGTGTATGTTCAACAATATCACTTTTGTGGCAAAGAATAAGTCATTTTCCTGGTCTTTAAAGTGAAATATCTCAATATAAACAAAGGAGGCTGAGAAAAATATTCATTTTTGATGAAAATTTTAGATGGCATTTGGAGGTTTCTGCATCTGAACTCTTCAAATCAAGATTTGTGACCTCTGTTCACGCAGATCCGCCAGTTGCGAATGACTGTGGTAAAAACAAATGCTGAATCAAAACTTCAATCCTAAATCAATGTTGGAGTTAGTTTTGCACACTGGAGGATAGACAACACTATAGCTGAAGTATTTCTTTCAGACAGGTAATGTTCTGTTTTAAAACTCATTTAGTCAAGCAAAGCTTATGTAGGTTGTGTTGTTTTACGAATGGGTTATATGCACAGAAGTGTTGTTCAGCCACTGAATTCATCCGGCTGAAAAATTGATGTGACTATTTTCAACTTTATAAGGTCCTTTTACAGCATCAGTGATGTAGATTTATATGTAGTTTAACAACAAATCAACAGTAAATAGCGCTGTTCCGCCTAGCCTGCTTTACTGAGCTGAAGTTGGTTTTATATTCACGTGTGTTCATTTTTGATCAATGACAACATATGACGCGCTCCCGATATTGTTTACCGCTACTCTGAATATACGGTCTGAAACAGCATGTCAATATGGCTTAGTAATAATTCCTGCATGCCGCAGGCCGACCACTAAGCATACAGTAGTCCCTTTAGGACAGGAGTTTCCAAATTCGGTCTTGGAGGGCCAGGTTCCCGCAGATTTTAGCTCCAACTTGCCTCAACACACCTGCTTCTAGAAAGCCTACAAAGAGCTTAATTAGCTAGCCCAGGTGTGTCTGATTAGGGTTGGAACTAAACTTTGCAGGACATCGGCCCTTTAGGACCATGTGTGGACACCCCTGCTTTAGGACAAAGCATGTGAGAGGCCAGTGATCCTTGCATGCATGAAATATTGCACATTAGACAAGTTTTTATAGCTACACGACTGTAAACGTGCTATACAGTTTTTCATTCAGAATTGTGGTATTATAAAGTACCATAAATTGTTCTTACTGGTGAATGACATGATCTAGTGGGAGGTCTTTTGTCATTTTTAAGGTGAGCGTTCATGGTATCAGGAGGTCTGGCTTTGGACTGCAGGGGTGGAACTGTGTTTTAAAGATATTATGCTAACCAGTTAACATTTTTTCTGATCATCTACTGCATCTTTAATCTTTTCAATCACATAGAACCATCTAAGACAGCAAACAATCAGCCAATGATTGACAAGGACTTTAAACTACGAGGAACTTATTCAGCAATCATTTATTCATTTTTCTTCGGTTTAGTCCCTTATTTCTCAGGGGTCGCCACAGTGGAATGAACCGTCAACTATTCACCATGTTTGGCGCAGCAGATGCCCTTCCAGCCTTAACCCAGTACTGGGAAATACCTTTACAGTCTCACATACACACACACACTCACATACACTAAGGTCAATTTTGTTTACCAAGTCACCTATAGCACATGTCTTTGGACTGTCAAACCCATACCAACCCGGGGAGAACATGCAAATTCCACACAGAAATGCCAAGTGGCCCAGCTGGTACTCAAACCAGCGACTTTTTTGCTAACCACTAAGCTGTGCCGCCTACCTTATTCAACATTTGCTTCAAAAAATAATAAACACCAACATTAGTAAACTGTTTTTTTTCTGCTTAAAATGTAGTTGTAGTTGACATTTTTAGAGCATAAATGTATTTATTATTCTAGAAAGTAGATGTAGATATCCAAAAGTCACACTTGATGAAACCCAGACCGCTGTGAGGTTGACAACAGGAATCAATGAGCTGGTGTAAGTGCAGCTTCCTGTTTCAAAATAAAAGAAGGTTGTGGTTTCCTGTTTTTCGCTGTTTGGTTGTTTAAGACTGGCTTTTTAAAACAGCAGACCTTGTGTATCTTATGTTAAGCGTCAGATAACGTAAAGAAAAATCTGTTCAAAAGAAGCTGCAGGAACATCTGAGGTACTGATTTTATCCGTGGTACTGACTGGGATAGGGATAGTTCACTCGAAAATAAAAACACTTCATTTATTCTTCCTCATGTGGTTTTAAACCTTTAGGAGATTCTTTAGTTTACTGAACACACAGCAAGATATTTTGAAGAATGCTGGTTGATGGCACCTATTGACTTAAGTAAAAAAAACAGTAACACTTTAGAATAACGGTCCAGTAGTTAATGTATTTACTGACTATTGTTGTCACAATACTGGAATTTGGTACCAATCGATACTGAAATTTTAAAGCGTAAATTTATGAGCGTGTCTGAAACACCACTGATTTGAAAATGTGTTTGCATGCTCAGTAGAAATGAATGTGATTGGCTTTAAAGGTCATCGATTTATTAAACTGTAAATGCCCTGAGAGCTTCTCTGCTGTTTGGAGTGCATTGTGAACAACTGAGATATACATTTCACTGGTGTTGGAGGTTTTTACTAAACATTATGGTTCAGCAGATCATAGATAGCGCTTTACTTTTTCAACATTTTTTTAGGTTACAGCCCTATTCCAAAATGGATCAAATTCATTTATTTCCTCAAAATTCTACACACAATACCCCATAATGACAATGTGAAAAAAGAGTTTTTGAAATTGCAGAAAATGTATTAAAAATAAAAAGTTGAAACATCACATGTACAGAAGTATTCACAACCTTTGCTCAATACTTTGTTGATGCACCTTTGGCAGCAATTACAGCCTCAAGTCTTTTTGAATTTGATGCCAGAAGCTTGGTACACCTATCTTTGGGAATTTTTCCCCATTTCCTCTTTGCAGTACCTCTCAAGCGCTATCAGGTTGGATGAAACGGAGTATAGCAATTTTCAGATCTCTCCAGAGATGTTTAATAGGATTTAGTTCTGGGCTCTGGCTGGGCCACACAAGGACATTCACAGTGTTGTTGTGAAGCCACTCCATTGATATTTTGGCGGTGTGCTTTGGGTCATTGTCCTGCTGGAAGATAAATAGTCGCCCCACTCTGAGGTCAAGAGCGCTTTGAAGCAAGTTTACATTCAGGATATCTCTGTACATTGCTGCATTAATCTTTCCCTCTATCCTGACTAGTCTTTCAGTCCCTGCTGCTAAAAAACATCCCCACAGCATGATGCTGCCACCATCATGCTTCACTGTAGGGATTGTATTAGCCTGGGGATGAGCGGTGCCAGGTTTTCTCCAAACGTAACGCCTGACATTCACTCCAAAGAGTTACATTTTAGTCTCATCAAACCAGAGATTTTGTTTCCTATGGTCAGATGCCTTTTGGCAGATTCCAGGCGGGGAGTGTCTTCCGTCTGGCCACTCTATCATACAGGCCTGATTGGTGGATTGCTGCACAGATGGTTGTTCTTCTGTAAGGTTCTCCTCTCTTTACAGAAGAATGCTGGAGCTCAGACAGAGTGACCAACAGGTTATTGATCACCTCCCTGGCTAAGGCGCTTCTCCCCTGATCACTCGGCTTAGATGGCCGGCCAGCTCTAGAAGGAGTCTTGGCAGTAAAAACATCTTCCACTTACGGATGATGGAGGCCACTGTGCTCATTGAGTTTCAGAGCAGCAGAAATTTTTCTGTAATCTTCCCCAGCCTTGTGCCTCGAGGCAATCCTGTCTCGGAGGTCTACAGACAATTCCTTTGTCTTCATGCTTGGTTTGTGCTTTGACATGCACTGTCAACCCTGGGACCTAATATAGACAGGTGTATGCCTTTTCAAATCATGTCCAATCAACTGAATTTACCACAGGTCAACTCCAATTAAGCTGCTGAAACATCTTCAAGGCGAAGGCTGTGAATACTGATATACATGTGATTTTTCAGGTTTTTTATTTTTAATAAATTTGTAACAAGTTCAACAAATATTTTTTCACATTGTCATTTTGGGGTATTGTGTGTATAATTTTGAGGAAATAAATTAATTTAATCCATTTTGGAATAAGGCTGAAACATGGAAAAGGAGAAGCACTTTTGAATAGCTTCCGGATGCCCTTATTAACTTTAAATACTGTTGTTTTTGGGTGAGTTGTCTGATCCCCAGTAATAGGCTGTATGTCCTAAAGTCCATGACTACGACAAACTGTAGCAAAGCCTCGAGTAAATGTACAGAAAATAAAGCTAATACAGACACGTCACAAATTAGGAACAAAACACAGTTCGAGGTATCATCAGAAGCATCATAACCAGTATTTGTTTAATTGTTAAGCAAAATATTGATTTAATTTAGTCTCATTTGAATGTGTTGCGGTTGTGAGTGTGACCATATCGGACACAAATATGCCGGCGAGCCTAGCGGAAGAGACGTTTTGGTCGCATGAATAAGCTGACATACGAGCGATCCGCTAATAAGTCGAGACTTTAAAATGCTCCAGTGTCCCTGTATCTATTTCAGTTTCGATTGGTAACAAATTCCAGTATCAAGACCACACTATTACTAACATTAACTTAGTATGCATAATCTTGTAAAGCATTCAATAATCATAGTTCAACATTAATTAATGCACTATTAAAATCCAAAGCTATGCTTGTTAACATAAGTTAATGCACCGTGAGTTAACATTAACTATGTGATTTAATTCAAATAACTAATGTTAACAAAGATGAATAAGTACAGTACTAAATGTATTACTAATTGTTTGTTCATGTTACCAAATGCATCAACTAATAGACCATTATTTAATAATAATAATAATAATAATAATAATAATAATAATAATAATAATAATAATAATAAGTGTTACCAAGAAAATGTTGACTTATGAAACCCATTGACTTAAAGAAGAAAAAAATACTATGGAAGTCAATAGAGACCATATAAACAATCCAGAATTCTTCAAAGTATATTATTGTGTGTTCAACAGAAGAAAGAAACAAGTGAAGGGTAACAGAATGATTTTCCATTTCTGGGTGAACTATCCCTTTAAATGTGATGGCAGGAAATATATAACAATTAGAGTTGGAAATATTCTAATGGAAACACATGCACTCTGACACTTACTGATAAGGTCGGAGTGCCGTCATCTTCCACCGTGACAGTGAGTGTGTACTGCTGCTGTTTTTCTCTGTCTGGAGGTGACGGTCGGGTCACTATCTCTCCTGTCATGCGGTCCATTCTGAAGGTCAGGTCCTGGTTTCCAGCAGTGATGTAGTATGAGAGCATGGCATTAGCTCCAATGTCCCGATCTGTTGCTACGACGCGCAGGACTGATGTTCCACCACCCACATTCTACAACACACATATATTACCAGTGTTATTTTATATTGTGTTGGAGAAAAGTCTTTCATTGGCAAGTTCATATTTTTGAAATTGATAAACGCATTCAAATCAATTTATTTGATAAATGAATGATACATTTACTGTATACATTTATTGATGTTGAATTAATTTATTTATAATTTGTTCATAGTTAAATCATTTATAATTAAATTTATCCAAGTATAAATACATTTATTTAATCAATTAATAATTGATAAATAAATGTATTAATTTATAATTTATCTGTATAAATATTTCATATTTTGTGTAATAAATATTCTTAATTAAAAATTTTAAACATGAATTGACACGGATAAAAGTAAATTCATATTAACAAATGGTGACACTTTACAACAAGGTCACATTTATTAAAATTAGTTTAAAAGGGTTTTGCCTTAGTTACATAATTTCAGTGTTTGCCTATATATCATGAAATGCAAAAGATGTGTTTAAGCATTATTCAATGGACTTGAGCGAAAATAAACATTTAAGCAAGATTAATATTTAACAACATTAATAAATGCGACAACAAATGTTTTGCTTATTGTTAAATATGTATTAACTAATGAAAGTGAAAAAAACATGACTATAACCAACTTGACACTCATATATATAATTGAGCAAATGTGCCTTTCAGACAGAGGTTCTGCAGCCTTCGACTACATTTCTTCTCTTTAAAAAAGAAATACTCTTTTTCTTTTTCACTCTACTTTCTTTCTTTCTTTCTTTCTTTCTTTCTTTCTTTCTTTCTTTCTTTCTTTCTTTCTTTCTTTCTTTCTTTCTTTGTTTATTCATTTATTCATTAGTTTATTTATTATGTTGCCTATTAATTAATTAAATTTTTGTCTATTAATTATTTAATTTATAAATTTTTCTATTAATTATTTAATTAATTAATTTTTCTATTACTTATTTTATTTATTTATTCATTCATTTATTTGTTTGTTTATTTATTCTTTTATTTATTTTATTATTTGTCTATTAATAATTTATTTATTTATTTGTGTATTTATTTATTCATTAATTTGTCTATTAATTAATGTGTCTATTAATTAATTAATTAATTAATTAATTAATTAATTTTTCTATTAATTAATCAATTGCTTAATTATTTATTTATTTATTTATTCATTAAATCAATTATATAGTTATTTATTTATTTATTTATTTATTCATTTATTTCTTCATTTACTCATTTATTTATTTATTCATTCATTCATTCATTCATTCATTCATTTATTCATTTATTTGTTTATTTATTTATTTGTTCATTCATTCATTTATTTGTTCATTTATTCATTATTCTGTCATTTATTTTCAGTGTAAAATTATGACTCATGTTTAAATACCAAAAACGTTTTTTCACTTTTAAGTCCAAATAGAAAAGGACAATTGTTTGTTTTTATTATTATTTTGTGTTGTATTATTTGGTTACTGAGCAAAAATAAAAAACAATAACAGTAGTGTTTTGAAATTAAAGAGTGCATAATAACCGTGAAACCGTGATTATTCCTCAGACTATAATGGTACAACCAAAACCTATAATTGTTGCATTCCTACATCAAATATATATTAGTAGTGGGCAAAGATTATTGCAGTAAATAAATAATCTAAAAAAAATACATAAATAATCGCAAGTTTTTGCATTAAAAATAAAAATTTGTTTTGACACAAGATATATGTGTGTACTATATAGTCATTATGTTTATATAATACAAACATAAATAAAAGTAAAACTACACGTAACAATTTTGTTATATATTAATTTTAATTAATATATAAATTTGTATCATATACACATATATTTTATATTTAAATATAAATAAACGTGTAAAAACATGTCAAAACACTTTTATTTTAGATTTGATTAATCGCGATTAACTTTTGCCCAACACTATATATATATATATATATATATAAATTAGCAAGAAAATAAATAAACAAAAACAAAATTAATAAATATAAATTAAACAAATTACTTTTATCTTTATTTTTGTCTTTTATGCAAATATGCGAATATTTTTGTCTTTTATGCAAATATGCGAATGATTGACAGCCAGGGTGCTGATGGCGTCTCTGGTTTGAGGTGCTGTGTTCTGACCTCACTGACGCTGACGTTGTACCCTCGAGGACTCTGCAGTACGGGAGGGTTATCGTTCACATCTACAATATTCACCGTCAGCGAAACATCGGTGTACCTCGGAGGAGAACCATTATCCATCGCCCGCACCTGATTAAAGCACATGAAAACAAATAGACATGCTTGCTGAGCTTAGCAAACAACCACACATACACATCAGAAGTAGTTATGCAAAATCTGATGCTTTTAACAGTACAAGGAAACATGTCCAAAGTCACGCAACTCCACACTGTGACCATATATAGAGATGTCTGCTGAAGTTACCAAATACATTTTAAATGAAATGACTGACAGTAAATGAAGGCAGTAAAAGTTCCAAAAACGAGCTGCCAACATATTTAATATACAGATAACCAGGCCTTTATCCCCTCTAATTAAATGTTAATATTTGTCTAGTTTCAGCCATTGCTGACTGAAACACACTACCACTTAAAAGTTTGAGGGTCACCAAGGTCAATTGTTTGACCAAAAATGTTGAAAATTTCTAAATATACAGTTGAAGTCAGAAATATAAGTACTCCTGAATTATTAGCCCCCCTGTATATTCTTTCCTTAATTTCTGTTTGAGGAAAAGATTATTTTTTCCAACCCATTTCTAAACATACTAGTTTTAATAACTCATTTCTAAAAACTGATTTATTGGACCCCCAAACTAGGGCCCGCAGGCCAAAGTTGGCCCATGGTAACCTTTGATTTGGCTAGCCATCCCATCTGAGAAGAGAGAGAGAATAATGGGGATGGTTTCGAGATAGTCAATATAAATTTAATGTAACCTTATGTTTGTTTGTTTTGTTAAAAGCTAACCGAAATTAAATGTTTCAATTATTGGTATAAATTAATCAGATTTTGTTTACATGTATAGTTAAAGTCAGATTTATTTATTTAATAATATTTAACAGAGCAAGGAAATTTTCACAGTATGTCAGATAATATTTCTTCTTCTGGAGAAAGTCTTATTTGTTTTATTTTGGGTAGAATAAAAGCTGTTTTTAATTTTTAAAAAAACATTTTAAGGTCAAAATTATTTAAGCTATTTATTAAGCCTTTAAGCTATATTTGTTTTTGATAGTCTACAGAACAAACCTGCCTAGCTAACCTAATTAACCTAGCTAAGCCTTTAAATGCTGTATAGAAGTGTCTTAAAAATATCTAGTAAAATATTATTTACTGTCATCATGGCAAACATAAAATAAATTAGTTATTAGAAATGAGTTATTAAAACTATTATGTTTAAAATGTGTTGAAAAAAATCTGCTCTCCGTTAAACAGAAATAACAGGGGGTGGCTAATAATTATGACTTCAACTGTACATACTGATACCCAAAAATGCAAAGACTGTAGTGAGCAAACGTGGACAGCACATTTTTAGCTCTTAAGTGTCTATTTAAAATACTTTGAATGATTTATATTTTTGTTACAGACAGACAGTGTCATCCTACAACTGTTTTGCAGCACATGAAATATCCTAATGCTATTTTTAACTGTCCAAAATGGGAAAAAAGTTTGTTTTTACTCTTTGATAGTCAAAGAAAAATATTTTCAAAAAAAAAAAAAAATCGGGGAAAAGTGTTTTATGTAAATTTGGCCCACGAGTCCACATATATGGACATAACATTTCTCTAAAAGTACATTATATCAAAAGATGAAACTCTAATTAGGTTCTAATAAGCCCAAATACATGCATATAAAAAACACCTTGGGCCTTAAGAGGTTAAACTTAACTTTGGCCCATGGCTTGCAATGATATTTGTTTTTTGGCCATATTTGATTTTTTGCCCTTCATAGAAAAAAAGTTTGGGCTCGCCTGCTCTAGACAATCGAAAATGAATATTGCTTAATATTGACCTTAAAATGATTTTTAAAAAAATTTTAAACCACTTTTTATTCTTTTATTCTTTCTCAGTGAAAAATTCCTTGCTCTTTTAACATCATTTGGGAAAATTTTGAAAAAGAAAATATGCAAAATTCACTAATATTTTTGACTTCAACTGTATATTAAGAATGTAAAATAACTATTTTCTGTTTGAATACACAATGCTTCAGAAATAATTCTATATGTTTCCTATTATTTCCTATTATTCACACAGGTGAGTAGGCTTGACAAACCACCTGTAGTAACACTTTCTCTCTCATTCTCTCTCTCTCTTTCAAAAAAAAAAAAAAATACACTCCAGCACTAAATTCTCTGAGCACTTAGTATAATAAGCACTTCTTGTGTATTGCCTCTTTTTGTTGTATTGCTGAATACCTCCTCAAAAGCGTCTGCTGAATGACTAAATGTAAATATAACAAAAAATCCACAGCGTGTGTTTTTCTCTCACTTTAAGCAGGTAGCGGTCCACAGATTCACGGTCCAGAGGGGCGTTCAAGTAAACCTCTCCATACGTATTATTGACTGTGTTGATCTTAAACACGTCCTGCATGTTCCCCGCGATTAAGGTGAAGTTTACCTGAAAGACACAAGAGGGTGATGGGGATGGAGTTATGCAAGACTGACAGCCTATTTGACAGCGTTTTAAATATATTTCTCTTAATCACCAGTCCATTTCGTCCAGCGTCTTTGTCTCGCGCCAAAACGACCGCGACTCTCTTCCCAATGGCTGTGTCTTCTGGAATATTCACAGACAGGTCTGAAGTGATGTCAAATTCTGGGCTGTTGTCGTTTTCATCTAGAATGGTGATTGACACCTGTCAAAACAATGAGCAGAATTAGATTTGCTTTTGAATGACACTGACATATGCTGCAATTAAAATGATCACATTCTCATGATAAAGAATCACTTACCTTCTACAAATGTGCATCAGAAAGTAAAAGAGCAAAACAGAAAATAAAAAGCAGGTTGAATTACATTAGTATCATCATGTTAAATACACCTCACTATCACATGAGCCAAAGAGCTTAGAATGAACAAGAGGCGACACTCTAGTGTAATTTGGGAAACAGCCACTAGAGGGCACGGCGGCCATTTTGGAATGAAAACTCCAAAAGAACAACAGCATATTAAAAGTCTGTTAAATAAACTACTAAAAGTGCTGATGATTGTGATAGTAAGTGTTGTATTGTCGTCTTTCAGGTTGTATCTCAGCTTTAATGCACTTTTAAAATAAATAAATAAAAAACAAAGCAGCTGCTTGCCATCGCGACAGTAATGAGATCCAATGGATGGCCGATCACTTTCACTCTAAAATGGCGGTATCCGGGGCTGTTGCTGGGCGCTGCTGTTGCAATGGAACGTTCTATTGAGCGTCGCCTCTTGGTCATTCTAAGCTCTTTGCATTAACTGCAGGGTACAGTTTTGTTTGCTTACAAATTACAGAATTAAAATGCACACTGCCTGGCAAAAGTCTTGTCGTCGATCCCAGTCATAAGAGCAACAAATAACAACTTGACTTCTAGTTTGATCATTTGAAAAAGCGGCTGGTGGTCGATTTTTCCAACAAGTCATCTGTTGAGCTGCATCCCAATCATCACAAATACTGCAGAACACCTATTGGAACCCGCATGGAGCCAAGATTCTCACAGAAATCAGTCAAGTTTGGTGAGGGAAAAATCATGGTTTGGGGTTACATTCACGATGGGGACATTTGTGCTGCCTATTATATTACAAACCACAGTAGAGGGCAAATTCTTCTGCAGGAAAGAGCTCCTTTATAAGAGTCATGCACAATATCCAAGCTTTTTCCACTGCACCATGACTTTATATTCTATACTGGACATTATTTCTGTTAAGTGACAAAACTTCTGTCTAAGCAAACTCAGACCTTACTTTCCTAATTAAATAATTCAAAATCAAGACATGATCATATTTTATTTTGGTAAAATAAGCATAATCTAGAGGCCTTTGCCTTTCATATAAGCCACTTTTGATACCAAATGATCAACTATAAGTCAAGTTATTATTTGTTGTTCCTAAAACTTGGATAGGCGACAAGATTTTGTCAGGTAGTGTACTTGTGCAAAATTTAGGAAAAAAAATCTGATTTGATTAAGTTCGTCCTACAGATTGAAGATATAATGGAGGAACTCATTACCACAGTGGAGCCTCTTTTTGGTCCTCCATCATCAGCCACAACAGTGAGTGTGTATGAATCGCCCCGCTCTCTGTCCAACAGTCCCGTCACAGTGATACGACCCTGCAGAGCACACACAACCTTATTATTTTACATGACCCAGGTAGAGAAATAATGACATCTTTTCTTGATTGTATTACATTACCCCGTTAGACAATACAGTCAGCATAACTGCAAATTAGCTTTGATGGTCACTGATCTATTCACACCAAGCAGGATTTTATGTTGTGAGGATAAAAAAAACTCACAGTAAAAAAAATAAACTGATGTGATGAAGCTGATTTGGAGTTCTTTTTAAGGGTTACAAACATCTAGCCAAACTTTTACGTTCATGCTTGCTTTGGTTGGCAAACAACTTTGAACCGATTGCATAAAAGTCATGTGTAGTTTTGTATTTTCTTTGGCACTGAAATCTTCTCCAGCTCATTTCTTCTGTTCGAGTCATCAAGATCAGATGTCCATGGGCCAAAACAAACACGAAGAGCTGCTTTATATTCTAACAGTGAAACAGTTTTACTTTAAAACAGTCTTCTGAATAAAGCTTTACACAGTAAACAAACATTACTTTATATGCAAACCAGGCTCATTGTAAATTGGTGCCCAGGGCTACGTATTTGCAAACCCTGAAATATGTTTCTCCAGCGACATTTCCTTGCAGCTTGTGTTGACTAATCCACTAGAGGACGTTACATAAAGGCATAGAGAAGGCCTTCTACATTCATACAAATCTTAAATATGCTACTGGGCTACGTTTTCTCACATGTGCCATTTAATAGTCCTTCTCGTGCGCATCTTTGAGAAGTCAGCCAACATATTGCTTTTTAACCTGCTTTCTGTAACTATCTTTTGCCAGACTAGAACCAAGTCTGCTCCACGTTCCAAGCAAGACACCATACAAGGCAAGCTACCGAGTAAACTGACTGCTCAGAAAAAGCTGTCCATACCGAGGTTAAGGCTAACGTTTTTGATTATGGCTCACAGACATGCTTAAGTTGATTTTGTGGTATTTATTCAGTGCTTCATGATGGATCATATGAAAACAAGCCTTTATTCGTCAAAAAGATGTCCATGAAAACGTCTGTAGTGTGAAAAGGACCAAAAGTTGGCACCATCATACTGCAAGGTAGTACTCGTTTTACACAGAAACCAAAGGCAAATGTATGCTGAACACGTTTTTGCGGTTTCACAAAAATGTAGCCCCGGGCACATATTTCCAATGAGCCTGTGTTGGTTATATGGCTGAAGTGCTAAATAAACACCTCTAAATTCAGTATTCTATACTGACACTGTACAATTTACTTTCATTGCTTCATTCTAGGTGAGTGACAAACTTTATAAAACTTATACAATTTTATTCTATACTATTTTATAAATGTAAAAAAAAAAGATTGTGGCTTTAATTTTTTTTTAGCTTTTTAGCGATCTTAACTTGCATTAGTCTAACTGGCTAAAAATATTAACTTTGTATAACTTTCACATTTTTCTGTATAACTATTTAAATAAGTTAAAGTAAAATAAAAAAAAATAAAAACATTAGTTTGTTCTAATTTTGTCATGATTTTTAGGGTAGTAACGAGTGGACACAAATCTTGAATCTTGGGCCAGTTCCTGCAAGGATTTTAGACAAAATTAGAATTGAGAGCACATAGGCAAGTGTGGAAAAGGGAACTGAAACCACTACATATGTTTTGCTAACCTTGGCAGAAATTGCTGACAGAACTGAAGCTGCATGAGTCACTTCTATGAGTCAAACACTAACCTGCTGACGGCTGGTAAAACAATTAGTTCACATAGGTAAAATCACAGTGTTTACATCACTTCATTACATCTTTCTTGATTTGAATAGGCTCAGTAAGATGTCAAATAGTTCACATTTTATAGGGGTCCTTTTATGCCTTTCACACTTAAATTATTGTGTAATGCTGTTATTACTCTGCAAAGTTACAAAACACAATGTCACTCCAAAGTTTTCTGTCTCTGATCAAACTCAAATGCCTCTATTGTAGGAGTTTGTATGTATTCTGTGTGTGCTTATTTGACATAACCTGCCAACAAGCTTTTTGCATGCGCACTTTGTGTCTGTATGCTTCAAGCACTATATATCAGGAGTTTAATCCGACAAGGCTTTATTTACACATGCAAATACTAACAGGCTCACAAGCCGTAAAGGCTCGACCCTCTTCAGGAAAGGGGGCAGGGAAGAGCAGCTCATTTGCATTTAAAGAGGCACCATTGGCATATTATTGATGTAATAAATGATTTCTAAAATATTTTGAGCTGAAACCTCACAGACACATTCTGGGGATACCAGAGACTTAAAATAATCCACTTGTTAAGCATTGCATATTAAATACTGTTTCGAAGCTTTTATTCATCTAAATTAGGAAAGTAGCTATTGATGACCACTTCTTAGCCATATCACACAGTATAGACAGTTTTCTTGACAAAATCAATCAGTACTGTATAATCTCTAATATTTAAATGCTGACATAAGGCATGGATGTTAACATTAATATCATAGTATTTAAGAGTATTTCGTAGTGCACATTGAACATTTACTAATACCATTTGTTGAGCCTTCCTGTATAATCTAATAAGCTCAGAAACTGTGGTGCGTAACATCAGACTATAAAAGTGAATAGGAGCCCTTTAAAGGGATAGTTCACCCAAAAAACGTTATTCTGTAAATTTACTCACCCTTCACTTGTTCTAAACCTATTTGAGTTTCTTTCTTCCTTTGTTTTTTACCAGAAGAAAGAAACTAAAATTTCTTTAAAGGACCTATGTTTGTTTTCAAGCACTTTCAAGAAGCGTGGGAACCCTGAGAATAAATGATGAGTTAATTTTTGGATGAACTATGCCTTTAAAATCACCACATTCTCAAAACAGATTGTTCTTTTGTGCAATATTGTGTTCGCTTACCGTGACACTGTCAATCTTAAAGAGCGCGAGGGCAGCAGGCGAGGTGTCGGGGTCAAATCGGTACGACAGCTGGTTCAGGTTATCAGCGGATTGCGCCTTCACCTGCACCACCTCTGTTCCTGTAGCGATGTTCTCTCTCAGTGAAACTTCATATCCAGCTGAAAGAAAGGCCACCGCTTCGTCCAGTTCATTGAGTAACGTGACGTACACGGTGCAGTAGCTGCGGTGGAATGGCGGTGACTGATCTGTGGCTGAGACGTTCATTAAATAACTCGTCTTGGTCTCGTAGTCCAAATAGTCCACCGTGGTTAGCAGACCAGTACTCACGTCCACCTCAAATTTACGATCAGAGCCAGAGACCAGAGAATAGGCCACAGCGCCCCCATCCCCTGAACAGAGGAAAACAGGAAAGGCTTGGGTCATCATACGGGACATAATTTGGACATTTTTAGAATTTAAAGGTCTTGTGAAATTAAAATAAAGTTTTTTAGATGTTAGTATCGGTATGTTAGCCTTAAGGACATCTATAAGCTAGTGTGTTCCAAAACAGTGACAAAAGTCACATTTAGAAGATACAAAGGTGAAAATATGTATTGAAAACGTCACCATTTTTCTCAGAAAACACATTTCAAAGGATGTTGATAGCAACAAAAAAAAAATACATATGCGAAGAAAACAATATTGATTAGTTTGGAAATTAAGTTGTGTTATAAAAGGAAATGACGCATGGAAAAAAGTATTGAAGACATGAAGAAACGGAGGTGTAGAAAGGTAGCAAAAGCCCAGACAAGAGCCGAAATCTCTCAGTAGTTCTTCAGCAACCCTCTGCCCTTCGTCATTGTAAATAAATATTAGCTGCTTCGATCCAACATCTAAATAAGCAAGATGATGAAGATAAAACCAGGGTGGACATGTCAGCAAAACAATAAACCAAAACACAGCCAAGAAAACTCTTAAATGATTTCAGAGAAAGAAAATCAAGCTGTAGAATGGCCCAGCCAATCACCTGACCGAAATCTAATATAAAATACAAAATAAAACTCAAATTTGATAGATGAGACTCACAGAACATCAAGATTTTTACACTCTGTTGAAGTCTGTGAAAAACTCACACCTAAGCAATGCATGTGACTTCAGTTTCTCATCAAATCTTGACCAATCAAAAGCTCTCTAGTATCTGACATGCCTCGCCCACTTCAAGATGTTCTTATTTGGTTTTCATTAGATGCGCTCAACAACTCTCACTGGCTAAACAGAGCTAAACAGACAGTAATGTAGAAGTAGGCAGTGATTGTTCTCTGTGGAGGCGGAGATTAGCCACTCTATTACATAATAAAGACACACATTAATTGACCAGTTATTCAGGCAGATTGGCTTCAATAAAAGCTATTATTAGACTTACAAAAACAAGCATTGAATTTTGAAACTTCCAGGATGTTTTTTATAATTGAACAGCCGCTAAAATTTTGATCTCCTACTTCATAACCATTTTAAACTGATCAATATTGACAATGACATCTGTTTTGAATGTTTATAGGGAGATTTTTTCTTTAGCAGTGACATAGCATAGGTGACCCTGGAGAACAAAAACCAGTTTTATGCTGCACGAGTACATGTTCGACAATTGTCAAAAAAAAAAAAGACATTGTATGCGTCACAATTCTTCTTTTATGCCAAAAATAATTCCTATTTATATTTTATAAACTATTTAGAAACTCATATAAAAACATTATTTATTATACATTTGCACTGCTAAGCATTTAATTTCGCCAACTTGATTTCCTCAGTATTTAGACTATTCTGAAACCTCTGATTCCAGATTTTCATAATTAAATCTAGTCGTATCGCGACCAAATATCCTATACTAACAAAGTATGCATCAATGGAAGGCTTATTATATGACTCTTATGACTGGTTTTGTGTTCCAGGGTTACACTATAGTAGGAGTCAGTAGTGTAGCCAGCTATTTTCTCAAGAGCAGCGGTTCTTCATTTTTCAGCATTATCTACAGGACTGAACTCCAGCACATTGTACTTTAATCCGAGGTCTGCAAAGTTGCAAACTGAAGGACGCCTGTCCTGCTGACAACACGATGGACATTCTTTAAGAGGAAAGGAAAAAGGGAAGCAGAAGTGCAACAGAAATGTTATGATATTGTTTGGCATTAACAATCAATGGAAAAATACAACGCATCTTGTATGGCACAAACTTAGTTACGGCTTTTAAAATAGGTCAAAATAAATAAGGAGTGTTATGAAAACACACTAGTTGCTATCATGGGTGTCAGTATCATTTCTTTGTTAAAGACAAACTGCCAGGTCTACTCACTTACAGAACATTCATGGAGGTCAAGGTGATTGCTAAAATGCATGTACAGTGTGATTATCAAGTTGTGTACCAGTGTCGGGGTCTGTAGCTCGGACCACTACCACAGATGTGCCGATCCCAGCAGTCTCTCGAAGCCCCAGACGGTTGTACTGCGACTGAGTGAAGACTGGAAACTCGTCATTCACATCCTCCACATACACAATCACCTGCAGTCACAAACTCACAATCACAAACTGAACAGACAAAAACTGCTACACACACATCACATTCAAATACTTTTATTCTCCCAAGAAAAAGGATAAAAGATAGAATAAATAGATATGTGAAACATTTAAAAATTTTATTGTCATCCACATTGCGAAAAAATGAATGTGTATTGAAAGTCAAAATGCATTTATTTCACGTTGTGAAGAAGATTTTTATTCTGTCACTGTGAAGTATTTTCTAAGTGTAAAGCAGTTAATTTTCTTTTCTCAAAAAGTAAGGAGTGTTTGCAGCAAACATGCCAGCCTGTGGTAAAGTCAAAATGCATTCATTGCATGTTGAAGCCTACTAGAATGCATTTAAATGTACGCTCACCAGCCACTTTATTAGATACACCTTACTAGTACCGGGTTGGACCCCCTTTTGCCTTCAGAACTGCCTTAATCCTTCATGGCATTGATTTAACAAGGTAGTTGAAATATTCCTAAAAGATTTTGGTCCATATTGACAAAATAGCATCACACAGTTGATGCAGATTGGTCGGTTGCACATCCATGATCTGAATCTCCCATCCTATCACATCCCAAAGGTCCTCTATAGGATTGAGATCTGGTGACTGTGGAGGCCATTTGAGTACAGTGAACTCATTGTCATGTTCAAGAAACCAGTCTGAGATGATTCACACTTTGACATGATGTGTTTTCCTGCTGGAAGTAGCCATCAGAAGATGGGTACACTGTGGTCATAAAAGGATGGACATGGTCAGCAACAATACTCAGGTAGACTGTGGCGTTGACACAATGCTCAATTGGTACTATTGGGCCCAAAGTGTGCCAAGAAAATATCCCCCACACCATTACACCACCATCACCATCACCAGCCTGAAGCATTGATACAAGGCAGGATGGATCCATGCTTTCATGTTGTTGATGCCAAATTCTGACCCTGAACCCCAGTTTAATGAGAGGTTATTAGATAATGAGTGGCCGCTCACTGGATATTTTCTTTTTTTTTCAGACTATTCTCTGTAAACCCTTGAGATGGTTGTGCGTGAAAATTCCAGTAGAACTTCCCCATTCTGATGCTCAGTTTGAACTACAGCAGCTCATCTTGACCATGTATACATGCCTAAATGCATTGAGTTGCTGCCATGTCATTGGCTGATTAGAAATTTGCATTAACAAGCAGTTGGACAGGTGTACCTAATAAAGTGGCCAGTGAGTGTATACTATAATTTTATAGTATACATTAAGTTCTAGGGCTGCATGATATTGGAAAAATCTGACATAGCGATTTGTTTTGCCACAATATATATATATATATATATATATATATATATATATATATATATGAACATAAATCTTCTAGGTGATTTGAATATCTCTATTTGGAGATCGACTGGGATGATCAAGTCTTTATGTATGCAGAGCATCTGCATGAATTATAATAAATTACATGCAAAAATAAATAAATAAACAGTGCTTTATAGTCTTCTCAGGAGTCTAGCAGTATTCAAGTACAGAAATTCAACCATCAAATGTAAAATAACATGGCCATTGCTCAAATAATAAAAAATAAATAATCTAAACTTGCAATGTGATTATTGCAGAAACGCAAATTGTGATATCGACGCTCAAACTACATATTGTTCAGCATTAGGCTGCAAAAAAATATACCTGTACAGTATGCTTTTACTCCTTAAGTTTATATGAGATATAGTCAAGTAATACAGCAATCAAGAGTTCTGTTTTTTTCAAATATCAGTATGTGAATGTGATCACAAATGTGATACTGATTCACCAACATTAAGTTTTTTGACTAAAGAAAATCATTCCAAACAAAGTCAGAGCAGAATATTTGTGCATCTTATTGCAAAACTGTGGTGTTTGTTTCTAAATGAACCTGAGTGAGCCAATGAATTACTCAGACAGGTACATGGCTTTGGCAGCTCAAACAAGCCAAAGTACACACATAAAAACACTTAAAAATACTGCTTAATCTCTGTTATCAGACAACTCACAAATAATAAGACCACTGAAGGGCAACTATAATGCAAATCAGCTTTTGTAAACTGTTAGGACAGAACTGTCTGTGTTTATAGTGCGTCCACTGTCATAATGGAGTTATAGAAACACAAAAAGTCTCTTTTATACACACACACACACACACACACACACACACCCACACATATATATATATATATATATATATATATATATATATATATATATATATATATATATATATATATATATATATATATATATATATATATATATATATATATATATATATATATAAAATGTGTTAACAAACAGTTTCCATATTTTGTGATTCACAAGTGTTTTCCGTTAATTTACGGTTGTGAACTGCATTATAGGAGCTTGATCTCTGCTGAAAATTCAACTCTACAGTTTAATAAAGTGACTTTTAGTGACATTTTAGTTGCATGAAATAATATAATGTATAAGAAATAATATGTAGAAAAAAGTCTGTAAAATAACAGAAAATGTTCTGGCAGTTTATTACAAGGATTTTGTAGTGCAATATACAACACCAACCCAGACAATATATCACTATAAACAATTAAAAATGTGAATATAAGTCACTTTTCAAGGTTAACCGTTGTTGCAAGAAAGATAAAGGTCCCATAATGCAATTTAAAAGCATAAACAAGAGGAAAAATGATCACAAAATCCAAAAATATGCTAATTTCTGTATATTTTTAGTGTAGTTTTGAAATGTAATAATTATTAAATAACTATGCAGGCGTTGTTTTGGCAACCTTCATCTTACACTCCCTTCTAACAGTCAATGCATACTTTTTTAAACTCAATCCCTACTATACACTTTCCATGTGTGAAGGAAATGTGCCACAGCAACAGTAAGATATAAATATACAGTTGTAAACAGTCATTTAAATGGACTTTAGTGTAATCTTCTAAATAAGTAGCTTTAAGCAGTTTTGTGAGGTGTATAATTTTGTCGCACACACCCTGACAGTGCTGCGCATGCTGCCCAGGTCACTGTTATATGCCTCCACCTCCAGCACATTAGAGCTGCGCGTCTCTCTGTCCAGAGCCACGCTTCCTCTGCTGATGAGTCCAGACAGACTGTCCATGCTAAACTGACCATTGTTGCCTAGATATAACAGATTACACACACACATAAAAGCCAAAGCGTGAATAAGACAGTCAAATTTCAAAAGAACAAATCATTTAAAATAATTATATGAAAATGTTGTACAGTCAAAGTCAGAATTAGCCCTCCTCTTAAATTCAAATTCAATAATTTAAATAAGGTATTTAATAATTTAATAATTAAGTTTATAATATAAGTCAATAATATTTTACTAGATATTTTTCAAGATGCTAGTATTCAGCTAAATTAGGTTAACTAGGCAAATTAGGGTAATTAGGCAGGTCACTGTACACTGTAAAAAGCAATAGCTTTACTCACTAATAAAATCAAGTGCAGTTAACTTTTTATAAATAAGTCTGTTTACCTTACAATATTTAAACAAGTAATCCCAATTTGTTAGCACATTAAGCTGTAATCCTGATTTACAATAATATGCATTCACAACTTTTGAGTGGCCATGTGTCAAAAGCCTGTTAATGATAGAGAATGGTGAACCGAGACAACAGTTGTCGCAGTGGGTAGCCTCACAAAGCCGCACATACTGTAGTATTGTTCATAATTAGGTATGACAGTAAATATAATACCTAATGAAACCTTTTAAAGTATGAGCCAAAATTAATATAAAACATGACATTGTATCAGGCAGGAAACATTAAAAAAAAAAAAGTTACCAGAGAGAATTCGATACAGAACTTTTCCATTCTCGCCCTGATCTGCATCTGTGGCCTGGACCTGCAGACGGACACAAACAAACATTATCACTTCGCACGCACGTACTGTTAAATAACGTAAGTGAAAGTGACACCTAACACACTTCGTACCCACATAGACCTAAACATCTCACAACAAGAAACAGTACACTCAAACACACGGCATATTCTACAATAGATTTTTTCCTACACAGTTTCAGATCCTCAGGCGGGGATGGGGGATTGGGGGTTTGGGTCGTTCGGAAGACCCACCCCTCACTGACAAAGGTCCAGTTTTGACCCATACATGAGCTCATTTGTCCTATTTTGACTAATATGCCATAATAAATTGTGAAAATAATCCATTGAAGAAGGATTTAACATCAAGCAGAGTCCTATGTTGGCTGTGGCTTCAGCGTGACTGAGGCAAGTTGAAGTGCCGACTGGTTTGATATTTAAATGAATGACATTTAATGACAAAAGGCTTCTTTTTGCACTCAACATTACACTGCATGCTTTTTAAAAATTAGCCTACATTAGTAACAGTTAATTTTGTTATGGTATGAACTTCAATCCTAGGAAAGGCAAATATAAATAAATACATTAAGACCTTTGTAACAAAATCCAAGAGTTTGTAAACCAAATTCAAGGCTACTAAGGCCTTAATGTAAGATTATCAAATTTAAGACTTTTGCAATGCTTTTAAGGTACTCTGGCTTGTTTATAATGTGATTAAACACACTGCAAGCACATTTCTAGCATGCTTTAACCCACATCAAGCAAACACAAAATGCTATAAGCCGACTGGTACTGTGGCTGTTTACCACAGCTTTGAAGATCGTGAAAGTAAGTGATCAGCAATTGATCCTCAATCTTTTTATGCACATAAAAAGATCATATTAAGCATTTAAATCATTTCACACACACTGAACACAGCCCTATATTAGTCAGATTGTGCTGGCAGTGAGGAGGATAGCCCCTCATTCAGACTCATTAGCTTTATAAAGAGATGTGGAGAGCAGAAGAAAAGATGAGGAGGAGGAGGGAGAAAGGAGTTTGTGAGGGGGTCTGTTGGAGAAAGATGAATAGAGCACACAGACTGGACCATACCATCACATGGGGGGTTAAAACTTCAGCCATGAGTTTGCCTCACAATGAGTTTTGTAGCTCATGAAACACACGCCATGGTCTGCTGAACGCAAATCATTGAAAAAAATAATACAGAGAAACTTAGAGGCTCTAAACGGATAATATACATTCTGATCCCCATCTTCCAGCATCTCATCTCCAACACTTCTTGGTAACAACGTGATTTGAAACAAGGGGAATTTTGAAGGAGCTACAAACTGCGCCCAACGCTGAAGGTAAAGTTGAACCACAAAGAAAAAGCTGGATAATAAATGTTAAAAACACTGAGATGTGATGTGTTTTGGATGCTGGTGTCATTACAAGGGATTTTACTTTTTCATTTGCTGGGAAACAGCACCAAACCTGAGCTAGCCAGCATAAACCAGCATGGACTTCCATTTAGCACAGCCCAAACCATTTTTATATTGTCCGTGGTCAAAACAATGTCAATCAAGTAGTACTTGACAACATAACTTTTCAAAACTGGCAATATGAAAGCATTCAGGAGCAGCATATTTTAAATGTTATCGGAAAAATATGTGACAGTGAAAAGTGGAGCAATGATGCTTAAAATTCAGCTTTGCCATCATGTTATTAGATACACAAATACAAAAATATATATGTATATATTAAAATTATAGTTTTTTTAATTTTATTTTTACTAAGAATTGCATTCTTAATGAGCATTAGAAAATTTTATAAATTGTGCTGACCCCAAGCATTTGAATAAATGAAACTAACTTTAAAGAGCACCTGTTTTACCTTTTACAAGATGTACGATAAACTTTTTTTGTCACCAGAATGTGTCTGTAAAGTTTTAGCTCAAAATACCCATAATATAATTTATTATAGCCTCCAGATTCTGCACATTTTAGTGTCTGAGTACAGTGTAGCTGTTTTTGTAGCCTCTATCTTTAAATGCAAATGAGCTGCTTCTCCCCGCCCACCGCTCCCATGTGTGTGTCTGCTTCTTATGTATTATGTCAGATAAACAGACATCAGCGATAGAGACAGACACGAAATGAAGCTGAAATACAGCTCATTAATCAAAAAATATGAATGTGGTCAATGCTGTGATAACACTTAGTAGCAATCAGTTTGACAGATCATGTTAAATAAATGCTAGTGATGTGTATCTATACACCCACATGGCAAAATATCTCTGGCCCAGCTCTGGCCCACTTAGCTTTTGCTTGGCCCACATGCTGGAGAGAATTACGGTACATGCAGTGCCTAGTTTGTGAATTGCGAGGTCCCGGAGCAGATCAGGGTAACAGATCTGGCATGTATCGTTGGATGAAAGATGAAAGTGAAGAGCGGAGGGGTGTCGCGGACGAAAGTGAAGAGGGTTGGGTAGTCACGGAAGAAATTGAAAGTGAACAGCGGACAGGGGAGGAGGACGGTTGAGGAGGGGGACCAAGTCTGTCATCCAGACAAGGGCCAAACATGGACCATATCTAGGCCAAGTCTCAGCCAAGTTAATAACCCATAACTAAGACTGAACTGGGCCTGATATGTTGGTGTGTCACTGCAATTTAACTGATAAACCCATGAACCATTGTGCTTTAGGTGGGCTATGGGCGTGTTTTTTCTCAAAGCGACCTGATTGGTAGAATTTTTTTCTTTATTTGAAAATAATAAAAATGTGTTTTAAATGTGGGTCAAGATAGACCAAACGTATGTGGCCCACATATAAATTAACATCTGGGCCAAACACTACATTTTACATCAGGCCCTAGTTTTGTCCGCCTTAAAGACAGAGCCACCTCTGCCAAACCAGGGCCATGTTTGGCCCACATATTGTATGCAGTGCCAGATGAATACCTGCTGTGGCATTTTTATGCCTAATCTGGGCCAGAAATCTTTGCTACCTGGGAAAATTGACTTGATTTTTTGATCCAGAAAAATAAGATTAGGATACATTCTAATGCACAATATAGGAGTAAAAAAAATCAAAGCTGTATTACACTTTTATCATGCGGAAGCTTGAAAAGCCCTTTTCATCGTTGACCCACAAAAAAATAACCAAATACACCTAGTGTACCAAATAGAATGAGCAACAAAAGATTGCCTGCTTGAGCAACGCATAAATATGATGATGTGTGCATAAATGCATTTAGCAGATCCGCGGTAACTAATGAAGTGTTTCACTAACAATAGTTCTCGTCTGAGTGGCCTTTTCATCCTGTTTGTGGCATTTAAGATGAAGAATAATTTCATGTCTCAGTGTGTTTTCAGCAAAGCGATAAGTCACACACGGTGTGCTCAGAATTTAACATGCTGGCCTTTAGAAGCAGAGAAGCAGAGTAATTGGTGACTCGCCTGCTAGACTGTGTGTGTTTCAGGAACTGTAGATTGAGAGTTATTTTAACAGACTCAATTTAGCTAGCAAAAAGAAAACCAACCAGCCACATTCATCATCTGACTGCTCACTTACACTGAAAAATGCACATCCACATAATTCCTTTATGTTTTTGTCCCAACACAAATCGATTAAGTTAACTTAATAGTTTTTACAAATTTTAGTGGATTGAATATAAAACAATAAGTTTTCCCAAAAAAATCTGTGTTGTTTCAACTCATTAAAAATAAGTAGTTTATTTTTTTCAGTGTAGTGAGTATTTTTACATTCAACAATATTTTAATGTCAAATGCTGTTTCTGATTTATTTAAAGAAGCAATGTTGGCCAGAAATGTATTCTACTACACGAATACACAAACAGATGTGAAAGCTTAGCAAATGCATTTACCCTACCTGTTTGTATTTACTTTCCAGTAAGAGTTCTACAGTACTGTGATCAACTGAATCAAACTGCATGTTGATTCAGACTTTGCACACTCAGCAAAAAGTAAAAATTACATCCTAAAGCAATCTTTTTCCCATGAACATATTCCAAAAATTAAAGGGATAGTTCACCTAAAAATAACAAATTGGTCATCATTCTGACCCTCATTTGTTCTGTTATTCATTTATTGTTGAAAACTGCTATCCACTGACTTTCATAGTATATTTCCCTTCCATGGATGCCAGTGGTAACCCATTTTCAACATGCTTCAAAATAACTCCTTTTGAGCTCAACAGAACAAAAGAAACTCATAAACGTAGCCAAATAATATATGAATGGCGACCAAATTATATATACTTTTTCCCTTTTTGGAAGAACTATTCAATTAATAGTGATAATAATTCCTTACATTTATATAACACTTTTCTGGACACTCAAAGCGCTTTACACATTGGGGGGGAATCTTCTCATTCACCACCAGGGTGCAGCATCCACTTGAATGATGCGTTGGCAGCCATATTGCGCCAGACCACACACCACACACCAGCTGATTGGTGGAGATGAGAGTGATGAAGCCAATTATAATATGGGAATGGTTATGAGGCCATGATGGACAAAGGCTGGTGGGCAAATTTGGTTAGAATGCCGGGGTTGAAGCCCTACTCTTTTTTAAAGGACATCCTGGGATTTTTAGTGACCACAAAGAGGCAGGACCTCGGTTTTAACATCTCATCAGAAAGACAGCGCTTACTGAGCAGTATAGAGTAGAATCAATATACTGGGGCATTAGGACCTACACAGACCACAGGTTGAGCGCCCCCTGCTGGTCTCACTAACATCACTACCGGCAGCAACTTAGCTTTCCCATGTGGTCTGCCATCTGTACTGATCAGGTGCAGCCCTGCTTAGCTTCAGTGGGCGACCATGTGCCATCAGCTACAGTAGCTGCCAGCATTTAATCAACTATGCATGTTATGAGATTGTTTTCAGAGAATTAATCTTTAGTATAGATGCTTTTTTTGTTCTACATTTATCTGTCAGTGCATAATAAGAAAAAAGCACAAATATTAAAGATATTCTGGCAACACTTTACAACAAGGCTGTATTAGTTAATGTTAGTTAATGCTAA